ATCAATAGTGGGTCTTTCCTACTTTAGTCAAGGGGCTCTATGGGCAGTGCTTAATTGACGTTCTTCTATACCCGTAATACCCGTGCCTTGCAGCTAGCTACCTTGTCCGTGTCCGCTGACGACTTCACCTCTATGTAAGTTCAACAACCGTGGTCTTTCATTTAGTCGAATTCCACATATTTCGATACAGTGGTGGTTGAAACTTCAGTCGTGTCCTTTATCGTATGAAGCTGGCAAAACAAATTATAAGCTACTATCGCGTCTACACTCAACTTTGATGGATATGGGTATTGATTTCATGCCATGCCTAAGGTAAATACCAGAATAGAGAATAGAGCTAGGTAGATCTTTGGGAACATCCACACTCCCTCACGAGCCTATTCTAGACACGGTGAATGCCAGCGCATTTCATAGTGGTCTCACATCGTTCAGGATTAGTAGAAGTCCCGATGCTAGCCACGAGGATGCGGGCCCGCCTGGCCTCGTCCTGTCCGGCCCTCTCATGCAAAAGGTTGGGTCTTTAACACCATTAGATTCTATCTGTCCAATAACGCTTGCCACGTTTTGCAATCATCATGCAGCAAATGTTGGAAATGTGACCTGGTTGACACGCCAACGCCCTGGATTCATGTTTGATTTCCTGCATCATCCTTATTTCAATGATGTGCATGGCTAATAAAGCGCATTTTGACGATCCAGGAAGGTTGCTGAATGATTACATCCAATTAGGCATTTTTTGTGGTGCTGGACAAAATTTGGCGATAAATGCACTCAGGATGAGTATGTATAGTTCGCATGATGCGCCTAAGGCTTTGTATTGTGGCTACCTAGGACGGTTAGAATCGGATACCTCAAGCGGATTCCGAAGAGACCACAATGTGCTAGTGAGTTCTGAATCACGTTTCACTCCATGTGTGTGCTGGGTCCAAAATCTGAAGCTGAATACAGCCTTGTTCTACTAAGTTCATAGCTTGCTCTAATTGGCTTGCTAACTGTTGAATTTCGAATAATGACTATGTTGCAGGAGTCAAGAAAAGTGTTTTAGGAGCAAGACCATAATTCTAACGCAATCTGAGAATTATGACTCTAATGCTACATAAGGTAGGCTGTATTCTAGAATGTTCTCAAAAATTAGTATTTGTAATGTTTTTAGGTGTTAACAGTGATAAGTCCGCAAAGACCGATGGAAGATTTTTGGATGAATGACGTTTGATACTGGTATGCTCATCCGTCGTAAGAGCTAATTCAAGAGCCTCAGGCCGCTGTATGTAAGATCCTCGCTAAAGGTTGCGTTCTGCCTAAAAGTCCGAAGAGAACCGGAACTAAAAAGATACTCTGCAGCTGTCTATGCCGAGTCCCAATTAATGGACCTCTGTGCATTGAGTGATGTAAAAACAAGGCAGATCAGTGAGGAGCAGCCTCGTCCTGGGTTCAAGGGGTTGTTCTAGCCTTGCGGCACCGACAATTGTTCAAGTCAGGCTCAAGACTTTTGGATGCAGCCAACGGAGCTGACCACACCATCTCACTCTATCCGTTGAGGACTTTGCAATTGGCTTGTGATGATTCAGTCCGTCGTTGGTTGCCTGCACGTTGCCCTGTCGTCGAATAGTTGCACCGTTGCTTACCCCTGGCTCCTGAGAGCCCGGGAAGAGCTGACACTAGGCATTGTGGGCAAATGCAGCGTGATAATGGTGGCCAGCCATAGGACGATCCACTCTGAACGATCGGTGAAGTAGATGAATCGATTCGTTCCAGATGCTTCGGAGCCAAGGCAGCTGCGACAGTGATGATTCTGGTGATATCCAATCTCAGCCCAGAGTTGTACATGGCTGAGGTGAATGTCTCCAGACGCCGGACGCCTGATCTAACAGAGTTCCACGGGTCATTGAGTAAACGGTCAGCGCCAATTGCGCACAGAAGGCCCGAATAAAAACATGCGTTTGTATGGAGCGTGAGTATTTCGTAATGTCGTTACGGGTCCAGTCGGCATACGAGTATCGGTTATCGAGTTAGGGCTCAGCCAGCCTCGTCGTATTAGCTCGGGCGACATTGTAGAGTCGCCTTCTTACGTATACGATGTCTGCAAGTCTATTTCAGCTGGAACTCATGTGGGGTAGTGTCCTTGAGAGGCTTCAAAACCATGCGTAACCACCCACGTGCCACTGTCGATATTGGCCACCAGGACCTTCCTCTCCGCCAAAACAAACCATCCAGCTGCAGCCGAGCAACCCAGTGTCGGGTTTCATCATTCAAAGTTTTTGAGAGACCGCGGAAAAATCGATCAGTGGTGGCTGGTACGAGAATTTCGGGGTGATAAATTATCCGCTTCATCATTGTTGCGTTGCTTTACGGGCTTGCCGATGCGATACGGTAATTTGTGTGGCTGTGTTCAACCAACCTGGTGGCGTTGAGGACTGAGAAGTCGGGTTGGTCGCCACATGACTGAGAAAATTTGTCAGACCAAGAGGAAGAACCGAGAATTATGTGATCAGAAGCAATATGTTTGCCACGAGGCCTCCGATTCTTAGAATCTTTCCCACCAGACCATCTCCTTGAAAGGTCAGAAGTTGAAGATGTTTCCCGGTAGTACCCGTGTGGCTGTTGACTCAGTTGAGATGGGGACTTGTGGTTCAGTGCAGTTCTAACCAATGAAAGAGGTAGTATGTAGAGCCAATGACACCTCAGAGCGAGCTCCACAGCTTGAGAGAGAAGAAAGGCAGTAGGTAGCCAGGCTGACAGCCTGGCGGAAGTTGGCTTGAATGCGAGACTCTGACACTCAAGGCCTAGTATTGGTTGTGGGTTTGGGACAAAGCATCAAGCCAACAAGACAATGAGACTCGCCCAAACTCGCACTGGCAATGTCTTCTTGTGAAAAGAAAGATGTATGAACATAGGAGAAGAAGCACTGTCAATACCTTTCTGGTGGCACATATGGCCGGGATTTCGGTCAGCAGAGCCCAACGTTCGTAGTAGCAATTCTCGAGACTGTCAGCTGGACAGAAGAGCCGGCGGCCTGACACGATAAAATGTCTCCAGGGTGAAGAAGTGCGGGACGATTCCATATTTATTGGGTTGGCCAGTTGAACTTATGTAAGTAAGCCGACGTCAAGTGATCGCGAAACACTTCTCATGGAGGTGGGTTGGGCCAGATTTTGGCCCCCAAGCGGCTACGGTCGCCGCTAAACAAAAGGCACATGATCCCCCGGCACCCGACACCGCGACTTGAATTTGTGCACAAGTCTTCTCATCCCATTTGATGCGAGTACATCGCGTAGAAACGCTGGTCAGAAGTGGCTGACACCGTTTACGAGACTCCATTTTCATGACTCTTGAAGGTGCAAATGACGGGACCGGAAAGTGCAAAAACGCATCCTGACCACTGATCTGAGAAGACGAGATCGATCTTGTCGGGCAGCGTGAGGAACAGCTTGGGTGCGGGTGGACAGCACCTAATTATATGTGATGGTGCGCTTACGGAGTACTAGTGGAAGAGATTGGGCAGTGAGGGGGGTTTCTTGGGAGCTGATGTGGGCGAAGGGGAAGTCCCCCAGGACAAGAAAACTGCCTGGCGTGGCTGGTTCGCGGACCAGATTGCGGCTCAAGGTAAGGCAACCGAGCTAAAGCCCAGGTGGCGGTAGGGGGCGGGGATATATGCCTAGATATGTACACCCGCTTTGAACATACCTGGAAATGGTTCGCCGCGCATCCGCCTCACTGTTAGGCAGGCTCATGGCCTTCTATGAGAAAGATCCTCGAAGATAGCTTCCGAGCTTTCTTTCATGGAAATCTTGCGAACAGTTCGCACGATCCAGCAAGATTTTTAGTCCCCATGATATGAAGGGGATGAAGCCAGCTGAAGTACTGTTGAATTTCCGTCTCCTCACTTCCCTCGGCTCGAAAAGCCATCAGGAATTACGTTTCCCCGAAGCTTTGACGTCTTTGCTGTCCTCGCGACAGTTCTGCACGGAACACGCACGAATATACGTTGAATATGACGGATAAATCTCGCGGTGGTGGTCTCGACCTTTCCAAAAGACTCACAAATTACAAGCGGGCCAACGACATAAGTCTTCGAAAATGCGCCCATTGTCCCGACTATACGTTTCCTGTACGTCCCACAAGGAAGACGTGGGCGGCACTTCCTAGAGTCTGGCCATAGCCATAGTAGGCATGACAGCGACCAAAACGATTTAGTAGACAGGACTTGGTTACGGTAATGCCGTCAGTCGCAGAGCCGCATATTCCAGTGCTAACGTTTACTGCTATAGCATTAAGGGACAACAAGTACGCCCAACGTCGAACCAACCACAGTCCGCAACCGATCAACATACAACAGCATCAAAAGACAATGCGGACCCAAGCACTCAGACGTCCGTCGCCGGGCACGATAGGCAAGGAGCTACTAGCCCCTCCTCGGAAAAGAATAAGAGGAAGGATGGGGATCATAGGTCTTCGCATCCAAAGCGTAGTCGTGCCCGGCAGCAACCACAAGTTTCTGGTGCCAGCCATGCTGAAGACAGTGACTTCCAAAGAGACCCGGCACACAAGGCGGGCAGGCTGTGGACTCCTGAGGAGGGGGCATCTACGCCGCGACGGCCCGATGCTGGGCGCTCGAAAGAGAAAGATGGTGCAGACCTACCTCGGGCAGCTTCCAATCGGACGTTCGAGCATCCGCGTTCCTCTGATTTTGATAACACTGAAGTATTAATCAAACAGCCAGAGACGCGCCCTATTAGCCAAGAACAACTTGTAGCTGAGGTAAAAGGCATTTACGCTGGGCTCGTCATGGTTGAGTCGAAGTGTATCGAGGTCGACAACGCTCAAAGTTCAAATAACGAGACCAATCCCAAGCTGAATAATGAGCAGTGGCAGGCATTGATTGCTTTACACCGAACTCTGCTACACGAACACCATGATTTCTTCCTTGCTTCGCAACATCCGTCTGCAAGTCCAGCATTGCGTCGGCTTGAGCAAGTACGCAATGCCGGCGCGCATGTGCCATGGCATTCATTCATTTGGAGCTTTTGCGTCATCGTCTTCCTGCCTCGCTCGAACATATGCTTACATTCATTTATTTGGCATACTCGATGATGGCTTTGTTGTATGAGACTGTTCCGACGTTCGAAGACACTTGGATTGAGTGTCTTGGCGACTTGGGCCGCTATCGGTCAGTAAATTCAAGACAGACATTGTTACCCATCTTCCTGCTGCACACGTATTGACTCTTTACTACAGCATGGCTATTGAGGATGATGATCTCAAGGATAGAGAAGTGTGGACTTCAGTGTCTCGACACTGGTACTCAAAGGCTAGTGATAAGGCTCCTCAAACGGGCCGTCTTTACCACCATCTCGCAATTTTGGCGCGCCCAAATGCTCTGCAGCAGCTTTTCTATTACACGAAGTCTCTCTGCGTGCCAGTTCCCTTTCTGTCTGCTCGCGAGTCAATTATGACTCTATTTGACCCGCATCTCAATGGCACACAGACGAGGCTGCAGGAGATCGACGCCGCCTTTGTGCGCGCTCATGCAATCCTATTTTCGGGCAAGAATACTGATCAACTCTTATCGTCAATCAACGAGTTCATCGATAGCTTGGACAATCACATCGCACGTCACACTCGTCGCTGGCTGGATAGCGCATACTATATTTCTATCGCGTTGGGTTGCTCACTTCTCGAATACGGTAGCGAAAGCAATCCCATCATGAGAGCTCTTAAATCTGGCCGTGCCGATGACGCAGACGTCCCAATGGAAGAGGCTGAGACTTTCGCTGCTCCAACACAGAAGTTCCTGGACGCCTTGGATTTCGCAGCTCGCACTCATAATGTTGTGCTGAGACGGTTCGAGAACATCCGACCATACCTACGTCACTCTCTCACTCCTTCAGCACTTGTCTCAGTTCCCTGCAGCAATGGGACTGATAGAAGAGAAGATGCCTTGGAAGCTCATGGCTTTGCTTCTTAACACCGTCATGCCAACCGATATCACTACTGAAACAATCAAGATCATTGAGTCGGAAGAATTCCCCCGGCCAGATAAAGGTGACCCTCGTCCCCTGCCGGACGATTTTGCGCAGCGAGGCCTCCTTTGGGTTGATAAATACTATCCAAACGATTGGTTCACGGCCACGAAAGTGGATGACGATGAAAAGTATTTCGAGGTTGCGTCAATGATGGAAGAGCGCTCACAGCGCTGTCTTTGGCTGGGTTGTCGATTAGCAACATCGGGCAAGTGGTTGACTTACGACGAGGAAGCGAAGCAATTCGGCGTGTCGCCGCAATTCGATATAGAAATCCCTGATCTGAGCACCGATGTCACACCTGCGGGAGCATCTGAAGATGCCGATGTGATCATTCCAGATGCGCCTGACGCAAGCCAATGACGGTGGTGGACTGGTATTTTCCCTTGGTGGGAAGCGTTGCTATGGATTCTTTTGGGTAGAAATAGGGCGTTTCTCAGGCGTTTTGATTGTTTGTTTCTCCTGCTTCTGGTTTGTTTTCCTTTCCGCTGCAACGCTTCTCGCTTAGGTGAACCAGTCATCTGGGCTACATATCTGTTATCTCTGGCCGAAGCTTGGGCTACAGACCAGAGACGAAAACGATCTGCGAGTGCACACACGCGCAAGGCAGTATCGTTGTCACTCGCTCAACAATTGATCCGGCGAGTGCAAATTGGGGTATATTAGCGAGCCGCTCGCTTCTCATAAGTTGGAAAGACGTTGGGGAGAATTGCAACAGGTGGGTCACTAAGATTCCATTCTCAAAGTCTGCGCTGATTTTGTTCTCAAGTATATTTATATTGCCTGAAGTAGATATTTCAAAATACAATTTCGCCAGTATAATGTTTCCGTTATCTGATTCTGATGAGATGGCCGTGAATCAAGCCCGGGTGCGGGATGCAGTTCGGCCCGGCCCCGGCGGGAGATCGGCGCTGCATATGCCAACTGGCCGCAATTAAGTGAATCTGATCGATCGTGATTCTGCCACTTTTTGAAACTATAGAGACTTACTGTAATACAATGCTGAGTAGAAATGTTTCAGATTTGTACCGTATGTACGTACTCGGAACGGGTTAGATATCCCGTCGGCATTCTGGGGATCGGCACCGGAGTCTCTCTATAAGGGTCCGTTCAGGCCAATAAAATTACTCTATCCTCTTATGCACATGACTGTACGAATTCGGAACTTGGTGCAGAGACTTTGCAACTGTATGCAATGATTCGTTACGTAGTAGTTCATCGGGGCCTATTCGTCGGATGAGGACTGCTTAGATTCTCGTATAGATAACATCTGATTCTCACAATGCAGGCATGAAAGTTCGTGGCATCCCCCTCCAGAGTTAGCCTGATCAACAGCTGGACACGCGCAACCTCTATGGGAACCTGCACGCAACGAACTAATATGCACCGACCATTGGTTCATCATTACCAAGGTGCCATCGATGTGAAATGTAATTTCACAAGGCAACCCACCATTGAAGTCAGACGTCGGTGACGATGCTACGCGTGATCAGCCACCGTATTGACGAAACCGTCGATATACGCCCGCAATTCTGCCCCCAACATACTTTCCCGGCCGACAAGGCGACTTCAATCCTACGCCCGGATGGGTTGGAGAATGGCGTGTGCAAGGTGTCGTAATTTTGCGGCGGAGCGAAAGGTAGATCTGGGGCTAATACGACCCTCGACCGGAAGGTACGGGACATGCACATGTACGAAACAGCACGATTTCTCATACCACTACGGACCGAATCTTGCAGCATTAGGTAGCGCACTTGCCGAATTACCTCGGGAACTGTCAGCATAAGGCAAATATGCAGAAGAAGCCTTCTTCCTCAAACACACATCTCCGTCCGAGGTCGGGGGTGTCGGGTGGTTTCAAATACGAAAGTCGCCGCGAGTTCAGGTCCAGTCCGGCGTTGCCGAACGGCAGACGTCCGTCAACCCGGTGTCTCCACGGGAACCATTCCGGGATGCTGGGAGCCAGTGGCACTGTTCAATTGATCTTACCAGCGTCCGGTTCCACGGACCCTGAATGCTGACTGCGCAGCGGGTATTCCTCCGCTTGGTCGTCCGAAACTAATTACTGCGTCACAAAGTGTTCCAACTTCCAGCTGCGGTTATTAGTGGTTGCCTCGCGTGCTTGGACACAGCCTAGCAGCTGCCTTGCGACGGCTGCCTTGCGACGGATTTTGTGGGAACTCGGGCCCGGACAGGTAAGGTAGCTTTGGTTCAGCGTTGAGTCTCTTCCAAAGGTCGGAACTTCTCAGGTGCACTGAACTTCGCCATGCGCCGGACTTCATATCGCAATGGACTTATGTGCACCAATATCTAACTTTAGCATTGACTGATGATTACTGTGCTGGAAGGGTGAACTCCTTCGTGACGCGGCGGGGGCTTATGCTGCTTATACATATATCTATCCGTTGTGGGATTGATCGTCAGCTCACTAACCTCTCGAGACTTGTCAGCTTCGCCCGATCTCGCAGCCAACTGGTCCAAGGGATTTGGTGCGCCTTTTCAAATCCTTGGAGGACGAGAGGTAAGCCCAGAAGAAAGACCCGGTCACCGGTGGGATGCGGAATAGTCGCTATTTGACGAGCTGCATGTCATCAATCATGGGTATTATTCTATCTGGTAATTTGGTTTTAAAAGATGATTCTCTTTAATATGAAGTGTTTTGTCTCGCAATGCAGCCCATATCTCCCCCTGCAACCCCGATACGGGTACCTCATACGGGTTCGGGACGCCTCGTTTTGGAGCGATTGCCTAATGCCCCTTGCAAGTCATGCCTTGATTATTGGTTATGCTAGTTAGACGAAGAGCTCTAAGTGCAACAAAAGTTCGCATCTCAATCATCCCTGTGGCCCATGTGCTCTCCTCGTGCTACGCACGAGCATGAGCGAAACGCGCCAACCGTCTTCGAAAACCTACTACAGTAGACGACCAGGCTGCGAGCAGCTCTCCAAATCTCACCGCATGTTCCATTCGCAACAAAGCACAATCTTACAAGGCAATGGCTACGTTGTTTACCTATTTCATAATGGCTTGATCTCTGCTGAGCTGCACTAAGCGCCCAAGGTGCTCTGGTGGTATTTCTCTTCGGTGTTTTCTCAAAGATTTGTATTGGGTGCCATCCAGCTCGAGATTTGAGGGGTACCATCATTGCACTGTTAACGCCCGCAGATCATGCAAGGCATGCACCCTCTCATTGAATTGAGAAGCCACAAGACACAGTTCAAACCCCTCCATTCCAACTTCCTCGGTGAGGCATTTGTCATTCTGCGCGTCATTGTACACCGAAATGCTGACGTCTAGATGCACTGTCCAGGTGATAGGAACACCGTGATTCAACGATTTCAGACTTTAGAACTTGTTGAGATGAGCATGAGATTGCCGTTGTCATTAGGAGTGAACAAATTGGACATACTCGAGTTCGGTGATCAGCACAAGAGCTCATTAGAACAGATCGTGATCTCAGCCTCTCAGAAGAGCTTGCATCCGACTTCTCGACGAGGGTTGGCTGCACAGCAGCCAACTCTGGCACCTGGCACCACGATAGCCACGGTGACCATGCAGCCTAGCGCGCAGGCATACATGCATGTATCCCGTTATGGTAATGCAAGTGTGTTCAACGATTTGTATATCATTGTCAGAATCGGCATGTTTCGGCCCAGAAACCCATAAAGGAGAAGATTCACACGCGCGGGAAATTCTCAGAAAACCATGGCAGCCTGGCGCCAGGCAATCTTCTAGATAATTCCTGTATGTATGCAAGCGATGCAGAGAGACGTAGGAGATTATCCTGGCGTTCAACTCTTACTGGTTCGCCTACTGACCGGTCTTCATAATCTGCCTGAAATGCGGGGATTCAGCGTGTAAATTCCACAGGCATCGAACCGACTGATGCGGGAGCCTGTCGCACGGTAGCCTGCAACCAGTATCACCCTTGAATGGGAAAGGGAGCGAAGGGCTTTTCCGACTTGCCGCGATTGGCTGGCCATGGTAGCCGAGAAAGTACCAACTGTTGCACTTCCAAGTTTCCATACTGCGTGCTTTCTATGCCGAACACCAGAAGTACGATGGTGAAAGAGATGTGCATGTCAGATCATCAAGGTTGCTAGTGTTGAGCAAGTTTCGAGATATTACGTTTCAGCCAATGAAGTTTGAGCGAGTGAGATTTCTTGAAGCAGGCTGTGTGAGGCGTCACGTTGTGTACGCACATGGAAGGGTGCTAGCCTGCTAGGCGACAGAGGGATGTCGAGGTCATCCAATTGTCAGATCAAAATGTGATAGCGTTTTGTTTTTGTTCAAGTTTGAAGACGCCAGGGGTATTTAGATTTGATATGAGGCAAGTATTGAAAGGCTGCCATCACAATGATGGGATATTTACATGTTGTCAGACTGCTCATCTAGACTGGCATGGGAAAGCTCAACGTCAATGTGCAATTCATCGAAGACGCATGGGCAAGAGGGTGTGATTCTCAGGTACTTCCACACCGAGATCTTTGAAAACGATTCAGGCTGTAAATTAGCCTCTATGTTTCTTGAGTCGTTGCAGGTTGCCTAACCCCGCCTTCTTAGATTGATCATGTCGTCGTCAAATAAGGTACGTGACGACAGGATGATTGGATTTTAAAATGAATGCTTTACGTCACGAGGTAGGGAAGAGCAGTGAAAGGCAGCTACACTAACGAGGGGGACGGTGGATAGCCGGGCAACCCTTCCCGGAGAATGGCAAATATAGTTCTGAGATAATCTGCAATTCCAAGCGGCATGGCTGATCTCTTTGCATTCAGTGTCGTACAGATAGCATTCGAGCTACAACACCAGGAAGAGACTGGGGTAGCAAAAGCGATTCTCGTTCCCAGGCATTGTATATAAGATGAGCATATCTCATGTGCGTGCACATATGTGCCTAGAAAACGACTCGAGACCAGGCTAAGACGGGCTGCCGGGCTGAGGAGCAGCCGCATACTTAGGACAGTGTGCGTAGCCGTCACGGGAATGCAACAACAAGATCACGCACGACACCAAGATTGCGAATACATTCCAGATCTAGGTAGTTTTGACTCACAACCCTCTTTTCTCCTGGAAAGACAAATCGGAAAAAGGGGCAGGACGGCCCGGTCAGGCAACTAAATGGGCGTTCATGAGTCCAAAAACTGCCGCTTATGGTGCGGGATGTTGCATATTGGTGACACGGATTTGTTTCGGTCAAGAGCTTTCGAATTAAAGCGAAGAACGTTTTGGAATTCCCAATGCACACCTCCTTGGTGTGGTGTGGGCAAGCAGGCTGCGGCTTAAAGTTAGCACTGAGAGCGCCTCGCCACCGAAGGCATTAGCACTATCACCCGACTTTCGGCGACCAATCTTCCTTAAACTATGGGTTTAGATGGGGATAATTATTTGCACTTGGTACTACAGAATATGTGAAACATCAGATATTCTGCAGAGAAATGGTGGTGTGATTGGAAGGGACTGAAGGGCACACTGTTGAAAGGTTGGCACATCAGGCTCTGTTGTGATCCAATAATACTGATTTGTTCTACGCCAGCTCATTATTATGTTTCGTTCAATGATTAGGAACCTTGTACGAGACAACAATGGCAAGACACTCCATGGCGAAGACATAAATCGTTCAATGGTTTTCAGAATACTAGAAGGATTGAAGTCGAAGTTTAACTCTACAAACATATCAACATTGGATCATTCTCTGAATATAACGATCTGGGTTAAAGATTCACATGGTTCCATGAAGTTTTAATTGAATACGAAGACAAGTTTCGATAGAATTTTCAAACCTCGTGAGCCCTGGAACAAATTTGTAAACGCAAGTTCTGTCCGGAACTATCGTTGTTGAATCAGTACTTTGCATGGCCGCATGAAAACCAGAGGTAATTTAGGCGTCGTAATGTCTCAGAGTGATGCAATGTCTCAGAAGAGGGATTCAGTATATCTAAGCACTGATTTATTAGACAAGGCGGTCAACACCGCAGCTCAGGGGATGGGGAGGAGGTCAGTTTGCGGGTGGTTCAAGATTCAAAACTTGTGATTGAAGAAAAATAGGAAGCATAACGATTATGAGAAAGTCTTCACTACCTATGTGCAGAAAACAATCAAATGTTGGCTAAACTCGCGCATGTATGATCTGAAAACATGTATAATGCAGAGTTGCAAGCTCAATATTGCTCAATATTATAACAGCATTACTAGTTTTGAACAACTCTAATCTTGGAATATTGACGAGAACTACACGAGATATCGAAAGGAAAGAAATTCATTAAGCCAAACTTAATGTTACTTCATAGTGCTCGAGGCTCCCTGATGAGAAAATTGAATTGTATATAAGCTATTTTACCCTCATATCACTTGAAGTTATTTTCATGGGAACTTGATTTGAATGTGATCCATTAGGAGGCGATCTTTGTGCTAGACAATCGACTTAGCTCACATACACTTGATCGAGGACAATCTAAAATACGCTTAGTGGATGTAGGCTTACCGAAATACTCATGGGTGACATAACTTGACCATTACGACGCTGTAGATGAAAATCAGTCGTGTTTTGAGTGGATAGTGTTGACATCTTACAACAGCAACATTTGAAGCCGGTTCTCATATGCTTTACCTCCTAATTCACTCCAAATACCCGAGTTTGAGTAACATCTAGAGAGCAGAGAGTGCCATACTGTCTTCGTATTTGGCAAATGGCTGCATCTGGAGGCTTTAAATGAGTCGTCATGACTTGTGCTGAATTGCTGTAAAGCTTCTTTCATTCAGTATTTACTGAAGTCCATTTACAACACCCTCTCCGACGTTGGTATTTCACAACAAAGTGCGTTCTCAACATCTTGCCACAATCAAAATCTTCACGTTTCAAGGCGATTGAAAGAGAGAGATGTTTTTCGACAAGCCCGTCCTTTTACATTTTCCTATCTACCCGTAAAAGAGACCAGAGAGCCTGAGGTACCTCACATCACACGGCGGGGCACGATTAGTCGTCACCTGTGACTTCTAGATGGACGACGAGCTCCCGCCCTGGATAGAGTAACAGGAAAAAGAAGAATAGTCTGAGCGACCTTGTTGCTGCCACGAGGGAAAACAGAAACAAGGAACCTGCCTCGAGTTTCCTCCCTTGGCCTCGTCGCTTCTTTCCTCCACCATATTGTTACAATTGCGTCTTCTTCCACCCAGAATTTCCCCATTCCACGAAAAGCCATCGCAACAATTATTGCAGACTCAGAGCAAAGACCAACAAGCACAGATTCATCGAAGAATATGTCAAACGAGAGCGAGGAAGATGAGAACATCGCTCTCGCAGCGGAAGGACGAGTAGAGGTCATCGAAGGAAAGTTCAGGGAACTGAACATCCCTCTCAAATTCAACTACGAACGTATCAAGGCTGCGAGAGCAGACAAAATGGCGAAATCACTGATCCACCAGGGCCGCGACTCCGTTTCGACTGCATGGTTCGCCTGGTGTGTCGACTTCAACGTATGGGACTACATCCATGAGAAGTGTGAGTACTGTCGCAGACATCAAGTCCGAACCCTTTTGCTAACGTTCTTGAACTGCCTTCTAGTCGCCAAACATGGCGATTACGAGACATTCCCGTGGATCGACCTCGAACCGGCCGTGAAGCCCAAGACCCCCGAAGACGCCTCCGCCTGGTTCAACGGCTTGAAGGACGCCATCAAGCAAACGTACGACCTTCCCGCCCTGGAGCGGAAGAAGCTGGGCCTCACCTTGATGAGACCGGAAAAATACCTTGTGCGTGACCACGACAAAGTCGCCGCGCGTTTACGTGAAGACACTTGGAACAACGTCTTCCCCGGAAGAGTGCCTCCCCACGGCATCGCCTTTGAAGTCATCGTTCCATCTGCCGTCAAGATGTCCTCGGATCTGAAGTGGGACCTGACCCATCGAACACATCATGTCCCGGATAGAGTCAAGATTTCCACGGTTGGACGAGTTCACCGCCGCGGCCACTTTGTCATGGCGATGGTTCTCGGTTATAACCGTGGCGTCGTTGACGACCCGGAGAGCAGATTGATCCTGGCCAAGACGTACGATATCTTCTTGAAATGGGCCGTAACGATCATCATCACCGGCAGAAGCATGAAGCTTACCAGAGCTCTCAAGAACTTCGTTTTGCCGCAGCCTAATCTTGACGTTGGTGGAGAGGATACGATCATGGGAGGCACGGGAGACGAGATGGAGCTCACGCGGGAGCAGCTCGCCCTCTGCGCTGAAGAGTTTGATGTGGTGCCGTTGACTTCCGTTCCGGACTACGCTGTTTTCCGGCTGAGCGAGTGGCTCCACCGGGAGGTTGGCCGCACGTCGGCGGAGGACCGTTGCCGATTGCTACGGGAGTGGTGCCAGCTTGAGGATGGCAAGTTCCACCAGAACCTCGAGGGAATGACTCGAGAGGACCTGCAGAAGGCTTGTCATGAAGCGTGGATGGAGAAGACGGATAACTGGAAGGAAACGCTTGACGTCACGGTGTGGTCGTGGACTGAGGAGGTTTACTGGGCGAAGAAGATTGCAGAGCCGTTTGGCGCTTGAGTGAGATGATACCCGGATGAGGGAGAGGAATCATGGTACTTATGTTCATCTTCTTACTAATGGCATGGCACTCTGTTGAGTTCTGAGCAAGGACAGAAAGGGGCGACGCATAAGTCAAACTGTGGAATCATGAAGGCCGTTTTGTATTGAGTATTGTATCAATCATGTCTATTATTCACCAAACCACGCTCTCCATCCATTTTTTCCCACTCCAAAAAACAGGCCACCACACCTCAGATGACATTCTTCAACGACTGACTAGCACGGAACCGCCTCGTTATACGCAATGCCCTGCGGCCTTCCGCCAGCAGCATGCGGCGAGACAACGACATTCGGCGCCTTCCACAACCGGCTCGACTCGGGCAACGGCTCGGTAACAAACACGTCCAGCGCCGCGCCGCCGACCTCGCCGGCCTCGAGCGCGTCCACGAGCGCCTCCTCGTCAATGGACGTGCCGCGGCCGACGTTGACGATCCACGCGTGCTTGGGCAGCTGCTTGAGGCGCGCGGCGTTGAGCGCGTTCTTGGTGGACTCGGAGCCGGGGAGGATCATGACGAGGGCGTCGGTCTCGGGGAGGAGCTCGGCGAGCTTGTCCTCGCCGTAGACCTCGACGCCGTCGCGGATACCGGCGTTGCGCGCGACGCCCTTGACCTGGGCGCCGAGGCCGCGGAGGTGCGGGGTGAGCGACTTGGCGATGTTGCCGAAGCCCCAGATGAGCACGCGGGCGTCGCGGAGGGTGGTGAAGGCGTTGGCGGGGCGGTCGGGCTGCGGGCCGCCGAGGTGGCCGGGCCACTTTGACTGGAGCTGGTAGTCGCGCATCTCGTAGAAGCGGCGGGCGGCGTTGAGGAGGAGGCCGAGGGCGTGCTCTGCGACGGTGTGGTCGTGGAGGCCCGAGCCGGTGGTGACTGTGACCTTGGAGGTGTCGAAGCCGGCAGAGAGGACGTCGTTGGGGCCGGCGGCGAGGGACTGGATCCACTTGATGTTCTTGAGGCGGGCGGCGGCGTCCTTGAGGTTGTCGGCGGAGTTTGTCCAGGTGACGAGGATCTCGGCGTCTGTGTGCTCCTCGGGGATGGTGGTCTTGACGTCGTAGGGGACGAGGTCGACGGAGAAGCCCTGGAGGCTGTCGACGTCGAGCTTGAGGGAGGTGGGGTAGAGGAGCTTCATGGTTGTGACGTGTGTGGTGTTGAGGGTTTGTGAGATCTAGAGGTTGGCGTGTTAGTGATGTTGGTTCCCAATTGGAAGCTTGGGGAGGCACAGGAGGCTCTTACATTATGAGGGGTATGAGAGGTATGAGGAGAGAATCTGGAAACTGAAGAGATCGTGAAGAAACATCAAAGAAACGAGAGCAATCTGGAAGAAAATGAGCGAGGGGTCACGTCTGGTTTTACCTAACCTCGGGGCAAGGCATACCGATGACGGAGAGACCGCGATCCAATAGAACACAATGCGCGCGACAGCTTCCGGTAAATGGACACTCAAGGACCATGGACGGGCTGGATGGGTGGGATGGTGGGGAACAGCGCCAAATCCGCACCAGTTCCCACTCGCCCACTCGACGACGTCAAAAACGAAGCCATCCGGGCTTGTCGTTGGCGTCGTCAAGGTGGGAGGGGCGGGAGGAAAGAACCCCGAACTTGGCTTGCTGACATGATCCCAGCAGCCATTTGCGTGATGGCAAGCACCGCAAGCTCACAATGATGGCCCCTCTATTAGAGAGCAAAGAGTCCCCAGAGGCTAAATTTACCCAGATTGTCCAAGATCCCAAACTAAAGTAGCGCATTGCATGTACACAGTACTGACTCGTCTCATAACCCGCAACCTTCTGCGTAGCAACACGTGTAGACGTGGAGTTGAGTTCGGAGAAATTTGCTACTATTGGACGAAAGCGTGGCCTTTTTTGGTCACTTTGGACCAGCGCGCCCGGGTTTCAGCGGCTATTGAGCGGCATAAACACCGATAGTTGCGGCAACTCACCGGATACTTTACCGTTCCATATCCGCCACGGCGAAACGCCTCTTGGGGGGTTAACCAGGGAAGCTGGCTCTCTTTTTTTTGGGATGACATTGTTTGGTCGTGTGATTTGCGATTGCTCTGAATCTAATTCTGGCTATCGAAAAGTCAAGTCTAGATTCCCTTTACGGCTTTTGATCGAACTTCTGATTGCCGTCACTCTTTTTCGACGTCTTGACGTCTCCAATGAGTTTCGGAGAACTTTCTGCAATACCCCAAACTTGGACAGAGGCCCTGGCAATGGCTTTCGGTTCGGCCTCCAAAGCTTGAACACCCATCAAGATTTCCTGGTTTAAATAGGTAACTTGGGTTGATTGCCGAAATCCGACATGCGCAATGATGCACTACATTCAGTCAGATCCAATGTCACCCTAGCGTCCTTAGCTCCGCGGAATCAGGTGGGGTATTGTCTCCATCCATCGCCTTCTCCATATGAACAAGAAACTCAATCGTGGGCGAGCAATTACCTATAGCTGAATACTCTCAAGTCGGCCTTCCAAATCTCGGTTTGAAAACGAGTGCGAGAGACTCTGAGACTCTGAGGTTCACTTTAAGTTGGTGCTCGTAGCCACTCATACTAGGGAACAGCGTGAAACTTCAGACCTAGGTCTTACCGTGGGCTCGGGTGTCACAGCGATTCCTCTCCTCATGAACCTACCTCGTGTCGTTGAGGTTATCAGCAAAGTCTAGATGACTGGATTTTCTGCAAATCGCCGGAACCCTTGGAGTAGCTCAGGTGATCTTGCTATAACAAATATCTATCACTAACAAAACGGGCAATCATACTCTCGGCATAGCAAAAGTCTTCCCAACCCTCACACACATGTCCATTTCCATGAGCCTGTACTTGGGCAAATTAGCATGATAGACATCACAAATGTTTCAAGGCCAAGAAGGCGGAGCATTCGTTTGGGCTGATTATTTGAAGCCTGACTTTTGCCTCGTAGGCCCTAGAGATCTACTGGTTGCTATCTTCGCCCTCAGTGGCGGAGCTTGCATTCTTTGGCAAGGGCCATTCCTTTCCAGCCAAAAAGAAGGTGAATAGTAAGTCCAACCACTTTCCGTCAAGCTTTTATTCCTACACGTAACTATACCAACCCTACCTCCAAAGATTGCTTGAATGGCTGTCATCGCGGCAGCCTTTCCCAGCCAGTCTTTAAAGAACTCCTTAAACCTTGGGAAAGGATGCGCCTCTGTATTGAACACGACCTCTGTTAATGGCATGTAGTCCGTCGGCGAGAACAGCAAGTATAAATACTTCAGAGTCTCAGCCTGCAGTCGGCAACGTCAGCTCAAAGTCTACTTCTTATGTAACTTTGTCTTTCGACCACTTGATATATCACTTACCAGCCAGAAACTCTCCATATTATCCCTCGTCGCCGCCGGCACCGTCCGTACATCATTCATACTAGTGTACCCCTCTCCGTCGGGCACCAAAGTATGCTTCTGGAACGATTGGAAAATCTTCCAGCCCCATTCTCGGTACATGGCATTGCCAGTGATGCGGTACATCATGAACAGACTCTCTACCGTCTCGGGTCTTTGCAGGTTGTGAGCGTCGAGGGGCTTGATGATGAAGTCCTTTTTCCACTTCGACAGCGCTAACCATTCTATTAGCACAAGGGTCTTTTGCTTGGAAAGGTTGGAAGAAAGTCGTCAACGTACAATTGCTTTCTTTTCGCAACCACCTGTCGCCAGGTCCGGGCTGTAAGTCTGCTTCTGTGGCGTTGAACCATGTAATCTCAGGAGCGAGACCAGTGTCAGTGACGGCATACATGCCCCAACAAGTGTTCATGATCTCGATCGCGAGTTCAATGTCGTCTTCATGCTGGGGCGTCCATCCCGAATCGCGGCGGGCTTCCGCAAGGGGCCGCCCTTCTGTAGCCTGTCACGGTGAGGATCAGCCGGCTGTTTCCTTAGGAAATGACAACAGCTAGAGACTTGATAAACTCACAGCCATGGCTATTGTGCCCGGGAGAAAGCAGACGAGGTGGTCCATCTTGGGAGAGAGCGGTCCTCCCACGCCTGTCGGAAGCTCCGCGACGAACTTCAGTGCTGCGTTCCGCGTTGTCGTGACGAGGTGTTTCGCAATGCCGCCCAAGGCGTCATCCCACATGTCGCGGTAGATGGGTTCGCCTGTTTGGAGGTACTGCTTCGCAAGATACTCTATGAGGCGTCAGTCTCGGAGCTATCACGCAAAGTGGGCTTGATCCTACCATAGTACGAGTCACCTCGACTTCCGAGCCGAATCTCCCTCGTCGTGAACTGTCCGTGGCTCGGATGCACAAAGATGGGAAGCAGTCCACCCTCCATCTTCTGGTCATCCAGCACCTTCATGACGCGCTCTGCTTTCTTCCAGTACACGTCATTGCCAGTCAATTGAGAAAGGTACTTCATCTCGAGCTGTACAGTAGCAGCCTCAGCAGTGGACGAAGCCCCGCCATCCGCATGTGATGCGATGCCTTCCCTCTTGCCGATATTGACGCTCGCATACGGGATTCCAGAATTGGAGTCAAACGCGACCAAGAGGCGATCGGCCAGATCGATTGCTTTGGAGAGGTATATGGAGTCTCTTTTAGACGCGACGTGCGGCAGCTGGGTCGAGAGGTAGTGTGCTGAGAGGAGGCCGCCCAGCATACGGATCGTGGTCTCAAAGGTGTTAACGTCTTGGTCTTGGTCCCAAGTAAGGCTGCGGTGCAGCCATCTCCTGGCGTCAGCGAGTGGCTGGGTCAGGTTCATGAGCATCATTGTGTCCAAGCTGTCGACGATGATCCATCCTAGGCCCTTGGGAGACATGTTTTCTCCTCCCTTGGACAGAGGATGAAAGACATCGTTACCTTGAAAAGAGTTGGCGTATTAGTTGCATTCGAACAAGGGAACGACTTGTCGTGTAGGACATCTTACCCCATGCGTGTTTCTTGTAAGCATTCCAGCTCGTCAGAAAAGCATCTCTCACTTCCTCTCTTCTGTCATCCCAGTCGGCGAATTGAGATTGCGGGCTGTACTGCATGTGTCCCAGAGCATGACCAGAGAAATATTCTCTAAAGCAAGCGACAAGAATTGCGGAGACAATCACGCCAATGAAGACATTGCGTATCCTCCGTCTCAATGAATTCTTTCTCTCGCTGGACAAGTGCAAAGAAATCCGCGAATCACGACCGGCCGAACCAGCGGCCTTGGATCGTGTGGGTGAGCGCCGACCTCGTCGGTTCGGTGAGGTGCCCATCGTGGTGTTTATGCTGCCGAAAACGAGTGTGAATGATCCAGAACTAGAATCGATCGTGTCTTCCAAGACACAACTAAGAGATAATAGTCTTGATGCAAAAGAAACAGAGGAGTAGATACCTAAGTACGTTCTTACATTCAAAACCAACAGTCAGAAGCGCCAGCGCTTAGCGCCTTCGGGCCTTGCCTGCAGTCTGAGGAAGAGGTACCCGATGAGCCATCATGCAAGGGCAAGAACAACCAACGGGCGGTAATCGCAACGGACGAAAGACGTAGTTTTCTCAAGTTCTCGCTTGCGGATTTGGGAAGGCACAAACAAGCGCTTTCCCTTTCAATTGGATACCGGAGAGTTGGTAACGGCCTGATTGAATCTTGGCAGCCCCGAGATCTCGAGATGCCATTCGCCCAGGTTCCACAAAACTGCACGATGTTGGAACTCGTTACTCGGGGGGGTTCTTTCCATCTTGTGCCGCGCGCTACGCTTGGGAAACTGCGGCCGTAAGACTACCTTACCTGCCTTATCTTCACATGGCATGTTGTTGGGGCCTGATTTCTCGAGAAACGCAAGCGTTGGACATTTTCTTCAGATTCCACCTCAGACCAGGCCAACACATGGCTCACATCCAACATGCAGGCCAGAAAAGAGCCCTCATTGTCTAAATGTGGGAATTGAATTCAGAACCAACACAAGAAGACATCACAATCTTGCAGGGATTCATCATGCAAGACCGATGCAAGAATACAAGCATGCCGGTTCCACCCACTTGAAAGACAACCTGAGGGCATTCAACCTACAGCATTGGCAACAGATAGATCAACGTTGCCTTCGTTGAGTCCCATGGATCAAAGGTCTCAGCAACTTTACCATCTTTCCACTTTCATTATCATCATTATTATCTCGTTATATGGATGTAACAGCTTGGAGACTTCGGTGACAATGGCGACAGCATATCCCGCCGTGACCGACGAGAACGGCACCGTCACGTCCTTCATAGCGCTTCCGACCGCCTTCACACCACCGACGAGCTGTTCGACCATCTATCGCCTCAATGGCTTCTCTCTCGCGGCGTATGACCCAGGTTACGGCATCGACATTGACACCAGAGTACGATGTGCGCCGCCAGCAGTCACAACGTGGTGGGAGCAAGGACGCCTTGGCCTCAACGACGGCGAGGGTCATACTGCCGTTAGTATAGGGCCACTGGTATGTCCTGAGCGCTGGGTTACGGTTGCAACGTCAGTCAAAAACGATACGAGCAGTACACTTGCCATGTGCTGCCCACAGTGAGTGTCGCTGGTGATCGAGAGTTTCTCAGTAGATGGTTGATCGTTGCTGATAAGTCGTCGTAGAGACTACACTCTGATCAGAGGTATTGCCGGATCGGTTGAAGGAGACTGCCGTTCAGATCTCCTTTCCGGAGCAGTGATCACCTATGCATCAACATCCGCTCCAGATACTTCAAGTTGGACAATGGTGACGTCAACCCTCACCCAACCAGGTTTCGTTGGTGCCATCGCAGTGCTAGGTTGGAATATCGAAGAGACATCAGCCACTCCAATAGCAAGGGTCACTGTCACTGAGGCAACTCCAACACCCACAAACGTAGTCAATATCAACACCCCCGCCCTGCCTCGAGAAACTACATTGACCACGACACTTTCGCCCTCGGGAGCGACATCGACTCCCGAGCCCGCAGCCCTCCCGTTGACGACCACCATTGGAATCGGCGTAGGTGCTGTGGCAGGGGTCATCGCACTGGCCATCCTCGGGTTCTTCTTATGGCGTAGAAAGCGCAAGCAGCAGCGAAGGGCAGAAGAAATTGTGCCAGTCGTCGAAGAACATCATGCGAAGCCTCTTGAGCAGGATAAATTCACGTCTCCCGCGCCACGGTATCACGAGCTTTACGTACATCATCATGATGGGAATCGGCAAGAAGTGACAGAGCTGCCTGTTCCACAGTACTATGCTGAGCTGGACGGAAGTAGGCCGGCGTCAATGTTAGATAATTCAGGTCGGGCTAGAAGGTGAACATGTGATTCAAGAGCATGAGGAGTTTGGTGGGGAGGAGGGGAGTATGGACTTGTTCTTTCGAGATACCTGCGGCGCTGCGGATGATTGTGTCTATTAGGAGTTCTTCTGATGTGTACATGACGCTAGAAATACCTTGAATCTATTATAATAGTCGAAATGGAACTTCTACTTTTGAACGTCCAACATGACACCGGTCACAACCCCAGCTTCGTCAACTCGCTTTCCAGAGTCACCCTCCACGCCTTCGCCTTCTCCCCCTTACCCCTCGGACAAACCTCACAAATCGCCCTCGTAAAGTTCACGACCTTCTGCACCGTCTCCTGAACGCCCTTATAAGGCCACCCAGCCACAACCTCAACCTCGATAGCCTTCGTCCGACAAACCTCCCTCGCCCACCCCCTCATCCTCTCCCTCTCCGCCTTGGCCACCATCTCATCATCTCCTCCACCCCAAGGAAACAAAAACGCATTTGGCGGATCCCACCTCGGCCCAGGCACCACCCCGCCAAACTCCCAATCCAAAATCCCCGTCACGTTTCCCTCCCCGTCCACCATGACGTTCGCGAGGTGCAGGTCCCGGTGCGAGAGTACATACCGCGTATCATCCACCTCGTCCGCGTGAAGCCTAACATACTCCCTGTACGCCTCCAGCCTCGGCACGAGATCCCTCATCCACTCGAGCGAAGCGTGCCTCCCAATAGCGTAGACATACTTCTCGACGCTCTTATCGAGATGCTCCGCCCACCCCGAAAACGCACCCCCAACAGGATTCAACGTCTCGGTCGTCTCCGCCTCCCAGCACTGCGAAACCTCAGGCTCCATCCAGAACCACTCATCCACAACCGGGCCCGGCACAATCTCCCCCGTATCATCGACCCTCAACCCGCCAACATGCTTCCACACACCACCCCTCGAACTTTCCCACAACTCCGCGAGAAAGCCCACAAGCTGCTCGACAAGCCTCCTCCTCGCAACCTCCCCCAGCTCCCAAAACACCTTATCCGCACTTACACCGTCAACCCTCTCCAACAGCGTAAACTCGTACCCCAGCGTATTCTCAGAAGAAGAATCCCAGCGCAGCACGGCGGGTACGGGGACCGAGGTGTGTTGCCGGACCCAGCGCATCATGGCGACTTCGTTTTCTGTCTTTATGCGTGGTAAGTGGCGGCCTGCTACGCGGAGGACGAGAGTTGTGGTGCCGTCTGCGTTGGGACGTGCCGGTGCGAGACGCGTGGCATCTGAAGGGGAAAAGTGGAGGAGGTAGATGCTGTGGAAGGCTGCTGTTACTGTGAGTGGCTCTGTGTGGGTTGGTGGTGGGAGGTTGAGGGATGTTGTGAAGGCGAGGAGTTGGTTTGGTGTGAGGAGGGGTGGGAGGTTTGCCGCGGGGTCGGCCATTTTGAGGCTTTTCGTGGAGGGATGGGTTCTTGTGATTTAACGGTTGACGCGGAAGGAATTTGGTCAAGGAAGAAGACGGGCTCGGCGTCTTGTCTTTATATGTTTTCTTCTAATCGAAACTTTTCTTGGACGTTGTCAAAATGCGCAGATCTACTGATCCTTTCCACCCGCAAGGGAAGGTGATGTTGATGCAAAGTAAGCGCTACCGTCCCGGCCCCACACGCCCACGGTCTACCTAACCAGTATCGGGCCCGGCGCCGAAGAGCAGGTCCACTTAAACCCGGATGAGCCATCGCGCATCATCCGCCCACCGGCAACGCTTTGAGGAACTCGCCACAGGACCTCAAGATGCAATCGAAATAAACCACATCTGTAGCAAAGTAAGAACCGGAAGATGAGAAATTGGTCACTCTTATACAAATCGCCACATAACTGTGCCAGCAGGGCAAGAAAGACGCTTTGCGCGTCGTAACCCAACCTAACCCTCCCAAGCCCAAGTACCGCCGGCTCAGATGAGGCAGATTTTGCATAGGTAGGATAGGTAACTAGTCACTCATTTTCCCTAAAACTATGAATTATGAAGATATATTACAAGAGGCATTACTCTTGAAGGTATCTTAGGTATCTAAAGGATCCTCGTGTCAAACGACTATGGGCTGTCCGCCTGAACACAGATGGGGTGTTCGGATTCGATAGCTCGGTTGTTATCTCCCGCGCTTCCTCAAGCTCAATGAAGAAGTCATCTAGCTTCTGACGCTTGATTGGGCGCGATGAGTCCGACCTACTCGGACCACCTTCACGATAGATGGAAGGGCGCCTTGCCCAAAATCACAAATCGTTGGCCTCCGTGGCTACCAGTCAGCACATGTATATATCTCCCCTCCATTCTAAAGATGGAGCCCTATGATACATACCCAGACTATCAACCTGATGTACACCCTAGAGTGCCTCATTATTCATTCATCAACATCATGTCAGCCCGTTCATGGAACACTTTAAGTCGACCCCCTCACATCACCTTAGCGGCTACGCCTGTCTTGGATATCCAAGGGAAGCAAAGCTGAGAAATCCTCTTAAATGGCATGCCAGAAGGTCAAATCCCCACGTTTCCAAGGTACCGTAAAATCTGACATTCACAAGTCCGATACACTCTACTCTTAGATATCCAGAAACACTCAATCTAAATGCTACAAAGACAACACACCCCAAGCAGAAACACCCGACGCCTTGGCCCTTGGCCCCCAAGACGACGCACCGCCATCAGCACGTCCCCAAAACACCACGTGGGAAATATCGTCACCGGCCGGCACCTTTGGGGAGGAAGGGTGCTATTCTCTTGCAAAGCCCTTCACATCCTTCCACCACCGCCTGGTACTCGAGGTGCCGAACCGACCGACCCGGACCGGCGCATTAGTGCTCCAGCAACTCCCTACTTCCCTACATCCCGTGTCCAGCCACCACGAGTCGCGGCTCTCAAACCCTCAAACACCAAGCACAGATCCCCTCAAGCCCAGCATATCCTTGCGAACCCAACCCGAAAACGGGCAGATATACACTACTCTCAAGAAAAAAGAACTCCCCAAAAAAGAGCCGCGCAATCAATCGGTAGCCGCCAAGCCGGCCACCAAGAGCGTTTAACAAAATACACGAAACGCTCTCTTTAGAGTGTCGCTGCGGCTCTTCAAAGTGTGCTGGGTGTTCTTCCAGATTGATTAGATTCAGAAACTTGAGAAAATGCGGCTTCTATTTTCATTTGTCTTGGTATCTTGGCCAAACACCAAGAGCATTTCCTTTGATGATTTCATCTCTTGCCCGTGATATATGAGGAAACTTCGTTCTCGTTAAGCCGGGAGTTCTGACGGAGACCTCTATCCGGATTTGCGCGCTGGGGCTAGGGTACGTGGTCACTGAATTGGTGAGATATACTGCAGTTGACTCGTGTTACTTTTGTCTCTGTCTAGCTATCTATGCCCATCTTATCATTATTTCACCATTATGCTTCTTGACTCGGTAAACTGCTATGCAGTGGGACTCCAGAGCCCCGTGGTATCTCCCCCACTGTCCGCTGTCTCGGTATTGTTCTCTGCACTTGGGCTCGTTGGGACTGGGCTTCATCGGAGAGGCATCGGTAATTACAGATCAACCCACATGCCAAATACACAAGTGAACGTCCAAAGATAACTGCCCGGGTGCAACTTTCCGTCAATTAGTCATGTCTGTACAAATGCGCGCAGCTGGCTGGTGTTAAGGTTATCTTGTCCTAGCTGCAAATGCAGCGCCCGGGGACTGCTTTTCCGTCGGCCTTCCTCCATCCATCGGCATGAGACCAGGATACACTTGAACTCAAAACAGGCATCGAGCATCCTTGCACATCCTGGCCCAGCCTACTGCGTCAGCTGAGTCGCAATGATTCTTCGCGACGCTGATTCTTTCGCTGTCCTCGCCGGCTGACCGTTATTGGTCGTTTAGGCGTGAGCGGCCGGGGCGGCGACGGGAGCGGCTTCCTTGGCAGCCTCAGCAGCAGGAGCGGCGGGCGCAGCAGCAACAGGAGCAGCGACAGCGGGAGCAGCAGCAACGGGGTTGGCAATGTTGGCGCTGGTGAGACTCTGCTGGGCGACCTGGATGATGTTGGCCTGGCCGAGGGTGTTCTGGGGGAAGCGGGCATTGAAGCCAATGACGTCGCGGATGGCAGTGAAGGTTTGGGGCTGGACCATCAGGCGCTGAGTTGAGACGAGCCACTGAACACCCTCAGAGCAGGGAGGAGTAGTGAGGGAACCCATGTAGCTGCAAAAGAATTAGACATTGAAAATCAGAGAGGACTATCAGACGTAGACCGTACCTTTGGAAGCTGCCGGCGGAGAGAAGGGTGACGACCTCCTGCATGTTCAGCGCGCCAGTCTTGGTGACAGTACCGGGCTCCTTGATGGCACCGAGGGAAGAAAAGACGGTCTCGAGAAGGCTAGAAGAAGCAGCCTCGGCCTTGATCGGGTTGGTTCCCATCGCGGGGATAGCCTTCGGGGCTTCGGCCGCGGCTCCAGTGGCAGCGCGGCGGGCCAGCTTGGTGCGGCGCTCAGCAGTGGCATTTCCTGCAGCGGGAGCAGCCTCGGCGACGGGAGCTGCCTCGGTGACAGGAGCAGCGGGGGCAGCAGCGGCAGCGCCTTGCTCTAGGTCGATGTAGGTACCAATGACGGCAATCTCCTGGTTGGCGCCCTCGAAGACCATGTGCATCTCCATAGCCATGCTCTTTCCGGCGTCGAGATGCTCGCTGGGCAAGTGGAAGTGGAACTGCTGCAGGGTAAAGTTGCTGCCTCCAACTTGCATCGATCCGCCCTTGGCGATAACCTCGACGGTGGTTCCTAGGTTTTCGAACTCGGTGCCATCGGCCATGTCGGGGATCTGGAGGTTGATGGAGCTTCCGGGGAGAACGTTGAAGGAGCCGGCCACCATGTCGATGGGGGACTGGGTGGTTCCCGTGGCGCACAGCTGGTTGGCAGTAGTATCCAGAGCGACCCAGTTCAAGGGGCCCTTTACGGTATTGTTAGTATTGAGGTGTGCGGCTTCTGGAAGGGAAGAGAGCACTCACATTGCTGCCGGTGTAAGCAAAGTTGTTGACCTTGACCTTTCCCTCCTCGGCGCGAGGATCCAAGTGAGTTCCATAGGCGCACGAGGCCAGAACCTGGGAGATAGAGGCGGCGAAGAAGCCGAAGGTGATGAGACGGGAAGACATATTGAGGTAAAGGTAGGATACGGGACCAGCGCGTGGGGGGCCTACAAAGGATCGAAGGAAGGGAAGAATAGAAGCGAGTTACAAAAAAGTAGATTATTGAAGAAAAACGTATGACCAGCCCTCTAGGGGAAGAAACGAAACGAACGAGAAGAGAAGTTGAGGGTGAAGAAAAGACAGATGATGAAGATGAAGAACGAGATGAGCCGAGAGAAGGATTATGTTTGCATCAAGATGGCATGATGTCTATATACTTGTGATCTGTAAGATTGTAGTCGAGGGCTGGTTATCTTGATGATCTACCTCACAGGTCCAAGAATAGTATCAATAGGCAAGAACCCATGCGAAGATGGCCGGGGCGGATAAGCAGCGAGAGACGGAATCATGGTGAGGATCTTGGCATGTGCTTCATCCAGGGTGTTGAGGAGCAGTGAGAGGCTCAGAAGGAAAAAGAGAACGGGCTGATGAATGAGGTTTAGGATTCCCTGTGTTTGGGGATGAGCGCCTCCGTTTCCCATGGTATCGCGGGCATGTTTCTGGCGCAGAATGGGAGGGGGGCTTTCAAGCTTCTCCATCCAATGCGACTGCATGTCATCTGGACTATGGACCAGGATTGATGATTGAGAGCAGGCGGCCAAGGCCGGGCGAGGCTATTGAGACGGAAGAGGAGCCTAGAAGGAGGGCCGTTTGGACAAGAGAGCGGAAGCCAGGGGGCCCTGCGACCCTGGTCGAGTTGACAGGATGGGAGTACGTCGCCAGGGTGAAACTGCCAGGCTCCGGAGGGTTGGACGGGGTTGTGGGGAATATGGCCACTTTATGAGTCTGGTGCTTGGCCAAGTCAATAGCTGTAGAGAAGACCCCTGCGGTGCGCGTTCCACGAGTCTCAATGTGGGAGTTGAAGTGACGGCTATGGGAGAGAAGTGCTGGTTCGGACGGAGACGAAGCCCCCTTCCCAAAGATCATCTTAGCGGTGATCTTGTTGAGACGACAGGCTGAATATCAACACCATCATGTTAGGAAATGCTGAATGACTGCATTTACCCAAGTGATTTCCAAGAAGCGGGAGGGTGGCTAAAAATAAGCATTTGGAAGGATCGACGACAAGAGCGGTGTTGGCCAAGTCGAAGCCGGAGGAATATCATATGCGGGAGTGATGTCTAGGGGAAAACGGGAGTCAAGAATTGAGGCTCTTTGTCCCAGGCGTCCAAGAGAATACCAAGAGCTTGGAAGGCGGGGAGCAGTAGCGCTTGCCACTGGGGCAAGACTCAGACACGACCTGCTTGGGTACCTTAGGTACGCAGTACCTTAAGGTATGGAAGGTGCCATGGCAAGGGGGGCTTTGGGTACGTATCTCTCGGACTTTCCCTCAACCACGTGTTACGGGCTGGCTTGGAAGGAAAGTACGGAGTACGGAGTACCCTGTGCTGAGTTATCCGTGCTTGCCTACTACCTTACTCAAGAAGGTATCCGCATGTGTCTCCTTCCTCGGTTGATTGAGGGTGTCAGAGATGTAAAGAAAAGCTGGTAGGTGCGATGCCTGCGTAAGGAATGGTCTGGGCAGCAACTTCAGGTTAAGGTAACCACAAGCATGCTCTTTCCTTCTGACGAAGGTGAGGGCGAGAAGTAGGTAAGGTAGCCTGGTAGAGGCAAGCTGTAAAGAACCATCGGTTTTGCTCTTACTCGTTCGCGTGGCAGATGGCAAGAGTAAGGCAAGGTGCTGTGGAATGGCAGGAAGCAACCATGGATGAGGCAGCCGTCAGAAAAAACCTTGTTCACCTTTGGTAGCGCTCTAAACCTTAACAGCCTTTAAGCCATGCACGACCTCCTGCTCCTGCCTGTCTCTGTCACGCTGAGTCTGTTCGGACGACACAGGGGCATTCGGGTCCACTTTTCCCAACCGTTACCGCGTGGTGAGACGACGCACAGGACACACAGCAGCCAGTTCCAGACCGCAGCAGGAAAGAGCAAGTTAAGTTGACCGCATGGCAAGACCCGGTGCGAAGCTGAAGCACCTCAGATGAAGCACGTTCCTGCCTTACGCATATTGCACTCCAGGTCACTTGGGTTCCTTCCTTCTTTCTTGCGTTGCAGCCAAGCTACGGTCCATGGATCACGACGGAAGAGAGCCCGACAACTTGTCTGACAGACACGCTAAGACTGAAAAGATGTTGGATCCCGTCAAGAGGTGAGAGGCTTGTGAGAAGGGATGACAGGAAGAAGGGGTAGGGAGGAAGAAAACAGCTGATTTTTGCAGGGCCAAGAGCTTAAATGGCTGCCAAGTCAAACTGGGGGCGGAAGTGGAAGGGGTCAACTTGGTGATGGCTTGCGATATGTGAGCCGCCACGAGGTTAACCTCAAGTAAAGGTACGGAGTACGGCTCAAGTCCAGAACTGACTAAGCTAAGCGATGGAAAACTGCCAATGAGGAAGCGTCGTGATGTGGGAGAGCGCCTGGCCGGTGTGCACCCTAGCGTTCCATCCAGGCGGTACACCCGCTGGAAACATCTTCCCTGCAACGGATAACTTGCCTTGAACCAGGTTAGGTTGCCTACGGTGTCCGCTAGTCTCCTCGCTTAATCCTCACTACAGCGCCTCTACCTGCTGTAAGCTAGGGAGTAGGCCGCCTACCAATGGACCGCTCGAGGACTGGGCTGCGTTTGCGTTCGCCGGCCGCGCCTCTCGCCAAGTCTTGCACCTCCTGATTTCTTCTGGGCGCGTCTCACGCCTTTCCAAACTACCGGGGCTTGCGACAAACCTCCACCTCCACATTTCAACTTCACCAATTGTCTTTCACGACGTCGCCTGCGCGGTAGCATTCGTCTGCTCTCCAGCCCCGGTCCCTTCCCTTCTCTACCAGCTACGCCAGCCTACGACTCAACCTACCTTGTTACTAGCCTACCGTCTACGGTCTACGGAGTCATGGGAGTACGCCCTCAAAGTTCGGACTTCTACCACCCACGCAACTGTCCATCACCAATACCACGCCTCGCCGCGCCCCATTTGCCAGCCATGCCATCCCTCTCCGCGCTCCCGCCGACCGTCTCGACCTCCCCGTCGGCACCGCCTGCCTTCATCTGAAGCTTCTTGGCGCGCTCCAAACGTCAGACGGCCCCTCCTTTGGCGCCAAGTCCCAGCGTCTACCGGAACCGCGTCTGATGTTTTAGCGACGACATGGGAACTTGAGAAGCTATCCCCATCTCCTCGAGTTCTTTCAGGCTCACCGCTCACGGCTTCACCCCAGTATCTGCCTGCCGGTCAGCTTTTTGGCTGTGGTCCCAACTGAACGGCCTGGTTCTCGATCCCCACAGAGAGCAGACAGAGTTACCTCCCAGCTGGGTAGGCCTGACGCTCTGTCTCTCTCTCTCTTTCTCTGCCTAGACCACTCGACGGTCCGTCCTCGGTGTCCGGCGCGCAACTTGCTCAACTCGACATTGGCGCTGGTCTTCGCTTTCGCTATTTGTTTGGGACCCCATCTCTGCCGACGACATGCCAAGTTGCCCAGCGTTTTCGTCTCCATCATCAGCAAGAGAACTCAATCTGAATGCGACGTCGCCCATAAGGTCCAACGACAGTCTTCAGCAGAGTCGTCTTGGCGAATCCCGAATGCCGTCTTGGTGGCCAAGGACGTCGTCATCTATATCATCACCAAGGGTTTCCAGCCAGTCTTTCTGTGACGCATAAACCACGCAGCTGGCGACTGGTCACCGGCGAGCGTGAGCCAAGACGACTTCTCCTCATATTTCGTCAGCACCGCCCGTAACACTCGGCTTGTCAAGTTGTCACCGTCAGTCGGTTCATCCAACATCCGCAAGATCTGCAGTGTCTACGCTGTCGCTGTCACTTGATCCAGGATGAACCGCACCGCTGCTGGAACGTCTCAGCGAGAAACACTCGCGTTGATTCTCTCGCCACTTAAGATTCTGTCTACATGGAAGTCGTGTATCGATTCTTTGGCTCCAAGCATATGCCTGAAGAGGGAGCAATGCATCAAAGGGCGGCAAGCGAACGGGACAATCGCCACTCCTTGAGAACAATGAATTCTATAAGCAGGATGAAGCCGCGACCATGGAACTCATGATGGAGCCTTTCCGGAGTAAATTGGCTCGGCTGTTAGCGAGGACAGTGAAGTGCCCCTAGGCATTAGAGTCAACTCCTTCATCTCAAAGGAGAAGCTGAGCTGGACTGCGTATCCCTCGCGTCCCTCGCATCCCGAAGCAGACCACTCGCCCCCATTCGGATCCCAGTTCTCTGTTCCGATAGAGGTGGTCCGGAACGCGCAACTTTCACACTGCGAATACCGACGTCGCCAAGCACTTACCGTTGCGTTGAGAGCAGTCGACGTCGTACTAGAAGTCTTCTCCGCATGTTGCAACCTAAGCAAGCTTGCTTCTGCCCCTTGTTGTGAGACATCCTTAATTCTTCCAGGGCTGGAAATTGGCGATTGGTCCTGTCCTAGTCGCACTTCTCGGCGTCTCGACGTTCCATTGTGCCCTGCAGCACTTGGCACTTGGCTGCTTGTCCCGCCGTGCCTCTCCGCTCGCTAGTGCAAGGCCTCTATTGTCCGCCGAGAGACACCAGCAAAATAAGCTTCTACTGCCCAGGCCCTAATCGCAATGAAGTGTTGACGGTTACTGTAAGTGAACAACAACAAGCGAAAGAGTATCGAAAGACTGGCGTCTGAACGTGGCGATCCATCTTTCTATAGCCAGCAATTGTATTTAAGGCAAGTGATATGCCGCCAAATGACTGTTTTTTTTTCCCTTTCTTTCAGCACCTTTCAGATTTTGATCATGTCGTGTACGAATACTCAGCCCATGATCGACGACTCGAAACGTGGAGACCCCCCTTTGATGATGGAGCGCGCGCGAGACCCCAGCCGCGTATCACGAAACATTGGTTCATTCTCGCCAAACTTGCTTATTGGTGGACACAGGAGGCGAGGAGGCTTTGCGAAAACTTCAAGACTTTCCGAACCATCTCCTGACGTATCGTTTGGGGCTCATTGCGTCTGCTCTTATCCCGCTTACTCATGGAGTCGTGGATCCCACAAGAGTCATTGACGCGGATTCGGAGAAAAAATGAATCCGAATGTTATGGCGAGCTATTGCCTAAAGAGGTTCTATGCAGATGGCTTGGCTGTCACTCCCTCGCCGTAATGATTCTGCGTCATTTCCTGAGCGCCTTCTAGGCTCGCAGGTCAGCGTGTAAGCACATTTTGCACTAACAATTTCCCGACTCTTTATTTCTCCGACGGGATAGACTACACCCCAACCCGCTGGCCAAAGTAGATGTTAATCCGGATTGCGTCACATACCCTTTCCTCAAAGTAAACCTTTGGGCCCGAAAATCGTGCACTCTCGTAGAATTAATGATTCATCATGCTCGAATTCTTCTGATAACAAGGGGTGAGAGGAAGTTGACATTCATTGCATCCCTTGCTCCTGAGATGAGTGATGTCGAGGAGAGATTTTGAGAACTGAAAGAGAGAGATACTAAGGTAGCTTCCACTAACTCGCTGACCGGAGGGAGGCCCACTAACCACCGGCCGGCGACCGCGGAGAAGTGGAGTATCTTCGCTTACCGGATCGGGAATGCGAAGGGGCGCAAAAGTCCACCTCCACTTTCCACGCCCGCGCCCGGATGTTCGGCGTTCATAGCTGAAAGTTGGAACACACGAGTCCCCCCTCTGGCTTGAAGTGGTCTCGATGAAACAAGTATTGGGTTTTTGATGTGATTGGTCAAGTCATTGATGGAAAGCGCAATGATAACACGCCCATCCATGAGTTGAAGTAAGGTACCTTAGGCAACACTACAGATCGATGCTCCGATGGGCTTGCATGTGGTGTTAGTGCCTTCCCACTAGCGCGTCAGCAAAACTCCGCTTTCTGCTATCCCGGTGGTGCTAACCCGGTGAGGAATGCGAAGCTATCCGAAGCTCCTGGGAATGATGTATAAAGATGATAAAAAGGTGATGAATTTCAGTAGATTTTGATGCGCACTCTTTTACGACACAATTCGGCTGTTACATCTTTCGTCTTCTTCGATCAACCCTTTTGTAAGAAAACCAGTCATACAATAACAAACAGCTTCTACACGATGGTCACCCGCGCCCAAGTCCAACACTCCAACGCCGCCCTCACATCCCAAACCGCGCCCCGAACGGCCGTCTTCCTGGGCGGCACGTCAGGCCTCGGCAAGCTCACCCTCGTCGAGCTGGTATCCCTCGGCTTTCCCATACGGGTCTACATCGCCGGCCGCAAAGCCACGGAGCCGGCGATGAGACCCGTGCTCGAGGACCTGCGACAGAAGAACCCGCGTGCCGAGCTGGTTTGGGTCGAGGCTGAGGTCTCGTTGCTGGCGGAGACGAGACGGGTGTGTGAGATTGTGAAAGCGAAAGAGACGAGTCTCGACTTTTTGTGTTTGACGGCTGGGTATGCGCCTTTTGGGGGGCGGAATGGTGAGTTTTTGATGAGTGGTTTTGCTTGTTTTTGTGCAAGATGAGGGACAGGGGATATTTTGATGCGTAGAGTGAAGATACTGATGTTGGTTTAGATACCGCGGAAGGGATAGACGTCTGCCATTCCCTGGAGTACTACTCCCGCATGCTCGCAACCCTCCACCTCCTCCCCCTCCTCCGCGCCTCCGCATTTGCCTCCGCATTTGCCTCCGCATCCTCCCCTGGCCCAGCTCCCTCCCCACGCGTCCTCACCGTCCTGGCGGGCAGCATGCTCTCCACCCGCATCGACGCAACAGACCTCAACCTCACGCGCTCGTCCCCCAGCAACACCAACAGCAGCAGACTCTTCGGCTTCAAGACGCAGACGCACATGGCGACCATGAACACCTTGTTTCTGGACAGGCTCGCGTCCGACCCGGCCAACGCGGGGGTGTCGTTCGTGCATAATTGGCCCGGCGCCGTAGACACGGGGAACATGGCGCGGTATCACGCGCCGACGTGGTGGAGTCCGTTCCCGTTGACGAATTTGCTGAAGCCGTTGTTTTTGGTCATGGGGTTTGGGGAGGGGGAGGCGGGGGAGAGGCATGTTTATTTGGCGACGTGTGGGCGATTTGGTGGGAAACCGAAGGGGGATGGGGAGGAGAAGGGATGTAAGAATACGAGGGGGGAGGAGGGGAGGAATGGGTTGTTTTTGGTGAATCATAAGGGGGAGGTTTCGTATAGCGAGAGTGCTTTGGCGGAGTTGAGGGGGGGTGTGCAGGGGAAGGTGTGGGATTTGACGATGGAGATTTTGGGGCCGTATTTGTGAGGTGCTTTGGTGGATGTTTTTGAGGGAGGATGTCATGAGGCGTTTCTGTTTTCATGTTGGATGAGGTTAGGATGGGAAGATTGATATGGTGTTTCTGTTATGTGGTTGCGGTAGAGATCATTTACGTGGATGAAGTAATACTACGACTTGATCCACGCATGGATCCCTGATATGTTAATCTGGATGAACTAAACTTGGTTTTTGAGTCTCTTGAGAAGGTTGTGTTCCGGGACAACTCGTCGGTGGCTTACATTGCCATGATTCTGCTCTCGTGCTGGATCCAGTCTTATCCTCGTGAGGGTAGTACCTAGCGTCGTCTTCGATGTCACGTTAGATAGTAGACTCCCTTCAACTTTGCTCTTCAAAGTCTGTGCTGATCATTTAAGTCGTAGAGCCACGCCGAGCATGGAATTCTAACTTCTTACCTCATGAGGTTCCGTCGATCTCGCAAGTCATTTCAAAAGCCTCGACTTTCTGTTTTGGAAAAGATTCAGACGATGAATGGATGAAGGACCCAACCTTCACGACAAATTTCCCAGAAACGGGCCTCAATCTCTTGATCTACCAAGTCTACTTGTCAATTTACCATTTTCTATCTCTGATTCCACTGGTTTCTCTCGTACAAGAAGTAATGGCAACGTATCATGTTGCTCCTCAACTGGGCTGTCACTACCGCCTTTGCTTCAGTCTCAATCCAATTTGGTAACGAGAGCTAAGGCTACGCGCATGCCAAGGTCTGGAAGCTATCTAGCAGGCCTGCTTCGGTTGACCTGGCCAAAAGAGAGCAATTGTGCGCGTCCACACCAAATTGTTGTCACTGTATACAATTCAGGGCACATGCCAGGTCGTAATTTCATGCACAGTTACGGGGTCCATAGATGATCATTACGTAGATCATTTAGTTCGGTCTGAGGACGAAATTGTCTGAATCTCAACCAACAATGATGTCGCAAATACAACTCAATATTCTTGAATCACACACTACACCATGTTACTAAACGTCAAGGGGCATATGAGCCAGATGCTTCCTCAAAGCCCAGCCCTTCTTCGGAACTATTGGCGGTTTCCGTAGCGTAACAGACGTAGCTCTATCATTCTTCCAAACATCTCACATCCTACTCAACGATCTGGGTAAACTCGACTTAAGCTTATTTGCAGACTCCTGTGTCTAAGACAAAGACGGACCTATCCGGCACCGGCCGACCGGCGTCTGACACTCTAGGTGGGGTAGGGAATCGGATCTCTTTAGATGCGGAGTAGCAATCAACGCTGGCGCGAGCTACATACACCTTAGCCTTGGTAGGTGGGGGACCCAACGTCAGCGCCGTCGTTCGCAACGGCTCCAAGCTTGGCTGCGACTTCACATGCACGTAATAGCGTCGGGGTACCTAAGAGAGAGAGGCTGGTAAGCTTTGCAGATTCGGAGAGCTAGATATGCTAGGCAATTCGGATAGAGGAGGGGCAAGATGGAGGGTGGGATGGAGGGGCGAAAGGGTCAGCCCGCAGCAGGATGCAACCCTGCAACCCAAGGTCATTCGGACGGAACTTTCTTTGGTTGTTTGCATATCGGCCTGCTCATCGAGACAACAGCCCGGGTTCATCGTGTTTAATCTTGTCTTTTGTCATCGCTAACGGAGAGAGCCAACACCATGCCCTCCTCGTCCGCGTGACGATACCGCCGCCGGGGACCTCGACCACGTCATCAGCGTGAGGCTCGAGTCGATCAAGCCCAGTAAAGATAAGAGATCTACGCCAGCTGCCGCCCTCAAAAGCATTTCCCTCGTCGAGCCTTGTAGAGAACAAGGCTGGGCGAGCAAGCCCGCACCCAACATCATGCCCTTCCCAGTCCTCTCCAAAGAACCCATCCCAGGCCTGTCCCTCTCAGCAGCGGGCCTCGTCGCCCTCGCGGACCTACAGACCATCGCCAACCGTACCGCGCTGACGGGCACGTCGTCGTGGTTCGACGCACTGGTCCTCGCGCCGGGGTTGCATTACCAGCAGGCGGCCGACAGCGTCGCGGGGACCAGCGGTGCTGTCACGGCCCAGACGTCCGCTGCGTTCGGCTACGGAGGTGCCGCCGCGGGAGGGGGAGGAAACGGCGGTGCCGGCATCTTCGGCACGCAGGCACTTCCCGGCGGACGGAAGAAGGATGTTAAGGTGACGAATCCGGGCATGTTGCTATTTCTCTCTCGGCTTGGGGTCCAAGAGGAGCGGGCGCGGGAGAAGGATCTCAAGAGGAGGAAGCTAGCCGGCGGCGGTGGGGTCGAGGCTTACGGGACCGGAGCAGTGGCAGGCGGAGGAGGCAGCGGAGAAAAGATCATCACACTCGACGTCGGCACCCTCTCCACCGGGCGGAGACGAAGCCGGAGCCGGAACCGACGCGGCCGGGCTTTTGAGCACGGTTCGGAGTGGGAGTTTGAGCGGGGGAGTCACTTGCTGTACCTCGCGAGCCCGGTTCTTACGTTTGCTGCGCTGACCATCATGATTCTACTAGCAGACTGTGAGTCTTTCTTCCAATTTTTTCCGAAATGTCTCTTCCCTTCCAGGTCTTTGGCTCCCCTCTTCTGCATGGTAACCCACTTTGATCGTTCGATTTCCACCAAACCCCCTTGTTCGCGATCTCTTCTCCCACAATCAATCTCAAACTAGATCTCGGCGGTGGAGTATCCTTTACAAGTCAAACTAACGTCCACAAAGGGTGGGGTCTCGCATCGATCCTAGCACTCATCACATCCCGCCTCTTAAACATCTACATTATCAAACAACGCACCCCTCCCCCTCCTCCTCCCCCGCCGGCCACTCCGTTCTTCGCTAGCAACGGTAACGGCGGCATAGCCATATCGTCTTTACCGCCAAAACTCACAGAGTACCTCATCCCCCTAACCCCCTCCCTCAAAATCCGCATGCGCGGCCCAGCAGACGACCTCGCCGCCCTGACGACAGACGCCTGGCTCCTCGCAAAGACGGCCGCGCAGGGCTACCTCGAAGCGACGGCCAAGCTGGCCGTGTACGTCGTCGCCATCTTCAGCGGCAACGTCTCGCAGGCGGGGAATCTGGTGCTGCTTGTGCTGTTGCTGGGGAGCGCGGGCTTGTTGGGGCTGAGTAACGGGTGTATGAAGGGGGTGAAGGGGAAGGGGCGCGTGGCGAGGGTGCGGCATGGTGATGATGGTGATGGGCCTCGTGGTGATGGTGCGGGAAGTGGGGGGCGGGCTGGGAGGGGGGAGATGGGGAGGACTACGAGGCCACGCGGCGGGTGGAAGGGGGACAAGGAGGAGGGGGATGGGATTGGCGATCCGGACTGGGATTCTCAGGTCGGTAGGGTTGTGAGGGATCCGTATCCTTTTGAAGGGAGTGTTGAGTATTCATAGTATAGAGGGGTGTGGTGAAGCTGAGGTTGATTTGAATCGTGGGTATATGTGAACGATGCCTGTTAGACGTAGCAAACTGTCATGGAGTTGGACTTCAGACTTTAGATCATGATCTTTGAAGGTGTATACTAAGATACTTCGACTATATGAACATCTCTCCTATATTGGAGAAGGCTGAGAGCGCTTGAGGGTCGAATAGAATCTCGGGTACTGTTAGTACAGAGACTATATGCATTTCCGTATCGCGAGACTTCCAGATAGACATCCCTCGAACTCTGTCAGCCGCCACCATGAACCCAGAAGGAGAATTTTCTCAAGGGGATATCAACAACAAAAGAGCAGACATTTCACCCCTTCTCTCTCTTCCATTGCCTCACCGTCCTCGAAAGCATCCTTCAACAGCATCACCACTCATTCGTATGATAGGTCAGTCGCCGACTAGGATTCCTTCCCCTAACAACACGCACAAGACACAGTGGCGCAGACGGTCGCAAATTATACTCGTCCTTCTCAGCGCACCTTCTCCTCCACTCCGTATTCGCCAAGATATCCCGCGCAACACCCCACCGCTCCAGCTCACAGGCGTCATTGAACTCCCGCTCCCGAAACCATATGATGAAAGCAGGAGACCCGGCTTCAACGAGTATTCTCACGGCCTCTTCATCGCGGGTATCGCGATCTGCCACAAACGCCTGCCGCTGCTGCTCCGTCATGCCATCAGGCAAGAGGCGGTAATTCGCCTGCAGCGCGAATCCCAGAGCACTCACTAGCGCTTTCGCCGGCACCCAAAGCCTTTTGCGGTTGATGTACGCCGTGCATTGAACGTCGGCGCCGCGGTCCAGTAAGAGGCGGAGCATCGCAGTATCGCGCTTAAACGCCGCCCAGTGGAGAGCAGTCAGACCCGAGCCCGTAGGCTCACCGGTCACTATGTTGGCTGCAAGGGACTCGTCGATGCCGTCGTCGGCGTTGATGTCTGCGCCGTGGTCTAGAGAGGCGAGGACGCCTCTGAGATTACCTCTTATTGCGGAGTGGATGAGGATGTACGAGTATAACCCGCTCGGATCTGTCTGTGAGGCCGTGCTCACGCTTGCGGTTGTGCTACGGGAGGAGTTTCTGCGTATGTAGGACTCAAGCATGGGTGGAATTATCTCTCGGAGTCTGGCATTGAGGAGGCCGAGGTAGAAAAGCTCTGCGAGAGCTCGCATGTCGAGCTTTCGAGCCTCGCCAGGTTCTTGGGCCTGGGCGGTGTTTGGTGTTGGCGACGGTCCGTCATTTTCCAGGCCTTGAAGATTGTCGTGTTCAGCCTCGGGCTGGAGGAACTGCTCTATAATGGCGAGCAGGACCTCCGCTGGCAAATATTGGAAGCGGCTGCGCTGATGGCCGAGGCCGGTTGATGTTCGCTATGTTGGGCGATATGGAGGGGGAGAATCATGTTGCTGCTCGTGTGTATTCGTCATTTCTGTTCTATTCTGTCTTGTATATCTGTGAGATAGTGAGAAGAAGATTGGAGCGAGATCCTGCGATGGGAATGCGGTGGTTGTGATAGAAGAGTTGGCCGATCGGAGTGTGTGAGAATGTTCGAGACTTATTTGGTGTTCACTCTCCCCTTTCCGGAGATGGTTACTGAAAACACTCGAAGACGGGTAGAAAGTCAAACCTTTCGGAGACGGGAGCTCGGTGTCTGGTTTGTCTTGCAAGCTAAGGAGGTATGGTACCTTGTGGTCCTTACTGATTCACACTCTTGGACAGTGCTTGAGGAAATAGTATAGGCATAACGAAGCGTGTGTTTTGATTTGAAAAGTACTAAGAAGTATTGAGAAGCATGTTGTGGATCAAATAGCTCACTCATGAAATCCTTCCTGTACTCTTCGTCACCGACGTCCATTCATATGGACCGGTCAAAGTGGCTCGTGTGGGAGCCAACAGCCGACAGGGTAGGCTTACATGCAGCAAGCCCGGCCAAGAAAAAGATTAGAGGCATCAAATTGAGGACAACGAGGTTAATGTGAAAGAGGCGTGTGGCCATTTGATTCCCTTCTACCCATTACCCGTCCAAAATCACCATGCCAAACTCCCACCCAGTAGGCTATTTTGTCTTTTATGACTGACCAACCCCCATTTTCTACTCCACGCTTGAACGACAAGAAATCAGGGTATATATACCGAATTCCAGAACAAGACTCGCGCGCTCTTCCCTAATCACCCAACCCTGAGCGCCTCATGAAAACCGAGTGTGCCTCAAGTCCGCTGATTGAAACGCACAAAAACAAAACAAAACTCTAATGGTATAATGAAGATGATAAGAATATTGTTACAAAGACCGATCACTTGTCGTGCTCGGCGACTCCTCGCAGCACTTGACGATCTCGCACAGAGATCGCATGACGAGCGGATCAACCTCGTTGATCAGGTCGCCTCCGGCCATAGACCTGCCGGACCCCCCGGCGCGCAACGTCGTCACGAGGTGCGCGATACACCGCGACAGTCCCTGCTGCAGCTCCCGAAGGGGGACATCAGAGACCGCAGCCGAGTGTGCTGCCGGCGTCATTGTTGGCACAGTAGGAGGAGCCGGCGTGGGAATCTGACTCTGTCGTGATGCTGAACAGGTCCGGAGGCCGAGAAACATGCTGGATCGCTTCCGCAACGACTTTGGCGGCGGTGGCGATGTCGTCATGTCCTGCATGCCCTGGAGGCCGAGCAAGGTGGCGGCCTTCTTGGGGATGGAGTCATCCGTGATGACACTGCTGCTGCTGGGGCTAGTAGGTGTGGGTGGCCTCGGCTGCGACTGTGTTGTACTGTTCTGGACCATGGGCGCGAGGTAGTTGTACGCGACGATGTGGGCGTAGAGGGCGTCACAGAGCCAGTCTGATCCATGAGGGAAGACGCTTCGGATACGGGACCATTGGGGCGGAGCAACAAGGGTAGCCGTTGACGGCGACAGGGAGGCAGAGGAGGGGAGGTCGAGGTTGGAGGAGGATGCGCCGCGGGAGCAGCAGCGGCGGTTGAGGTTGGTAGTGCGGCGGGAGCTGAGCCAGCGCCAGCGTTTCGGAGACGCGGGCGGTGTGTCTGGGCGAAGAGCCTCCGGAGCGGCTGGTTGTCTGACCTTGCGGGAGTAGCTACGGATCGTCTCGATGGAGAGGCTGGAGCAGAGAAGCGTTGTCTCGGGGAAGCATGTCACGGAGACGCGGAGGGATTCCATCACGTTGGGAGGAAGGGGAATACGGCGGCTTTGGTCGTCCGAGGGAGGAGGCGGAATGTCGATCGGGTCCTCGAGCCAAGTGTATGATGTGCTTAGAGACGATGTAGGCCGAGACCTTGTTTGAGCCTGGGATCGGGGACGAGGAGTCGGGGTGGTGTATGTTCTTGAAGGGCCAGCGGCGCCGGAGCGGGAGGTCGGGCGCGGTGTCACGAGTAGAGGGGGAGCCAGGCCCTGGCGAGGAGTTGACGTCGGCGTGTCATGCGCATCGAGGTAGCGGAACCATGGCTCTAGTTCCTCCTTGAGGTCGGAGATAATAGAGCTACGATCCGTTCCCGGCGCGACGATGTGATCGGGTTGCATGTGCCGCGAAGACGCATGCGAACGCGAACGAGACCGAGTAGAGATAGCCTTGCGGGCGTCATCGGTGAATGAGACACGGTGCTTTAGCGATGAGCAACGCGTGGGCACGGCGATGTCGACGGAGTGAAGTGAGTGAATCGAGTGCATCGAATGGCGGTTCTGCTCCTTGGCGGCGGCAGCAACGGCCGCCGCGGTAGGGTCTAGATGCAGACTCCGGGCCCGACTGGTGGGCCGGGTGTAACCTTCAAACGGGTTGGACAGCCGGCCCGTAGTGGCTGCGGCATTGGCGCTCTTGGCCCGGGGCGGTGATTCGTTGATGGACCGGTCGCCTAGTCGGGATAGCGGCCGCACCGGCTTGATGGGTGTCAAAACGGGCGATTGGACTAGGCTCTTGCCGAGCTCGGGATGATCCGCCGGCGCGTCTGGCTCAAAGTCCATCCAGCTCTCCAAGCTTCCGTCTGCTTCGCCTCCAAAGGAGACGACTCGTTTTTGCGATGAAGATGACGCGATCACGGGTTGGCTCGAGGCGGAAATGGTGGTGTCTGCAGTGAGGACAGAATGTTGGCGGATGTGCGGTGACTCGGCGGCGTCGTCTTCGCCGTCGAGGTCACCCCCGGCCATGCTAAAGGAGTCACCGCTCGAGCTTGAAGCGGCGTCTGAAATGTCATGGTGGCTCGCATCGCTGGCTGAGCTTTTCTCGTCGATAGCACCTAGAGGCTGGAACTGAGCCACTCCGTTGGGATGACATGGTGCGCCGAGGACGGAAGGAGGTTCAGCAGTGTCGTGCCAGTCGTCTTCGTCTGAGGCGAGAGCAGGCGAGGGCGCGCCGGCAGTCATGTTCTTGGCGGCGAAGATGAGGGCAGAGAACTCAAGGTCCTGAGCCAGCAGCTCCGGCAGGTTGCAGTCCATGGTGGGTTCCGCGGCTTCGGCCATGACGCCGGCTCGGATGCATAAACGCTCGGGATGGTATCCGTAGGAAAGGTCGGTATGCGGCTGCGAACGCGGGTGATGACTGTGGTGATGGTGGTGTGGTTGAAACTGGGTTGGCAGCGGCGACGAGACAGGACGACAGATGATCGGCTGCGGGCTGAAGATGGAGCTAGAGCTAGAGCTAGATCTGGAACTTGAACTGCAGTTGGAGGAGCTGGCGTTGGAGCTGTTGCTGGAGCTGGAGGGCAGGGTCAGTGGCAAGAGGTTTTTCATGCTCCGGACGGAGCGTCTTCGCCCCAGGACCGGCGGACGGGATGTTTTAAAGGTTGTTGGAGAGATGTTCCTTGCAGGGAGGGCCTCGGTCGCGTGTGGGGCAGGGAAGGGAGCTGGAACGTCTAACGCGAACATGGGGTGCATGCCACATGGGTTGATGCTCATGCCATTGGGCGAGTCTCTGAGAGAAAAGGGGAGAACCTCCAAGAGCCAGGGGTGGTCGTTGCTCACGAGGATGCTGGCCGCTTGGGAGCTGCTCAGCCTTTAAGCTGCCAGGGCTGACGGCAGGGAAGAGGATGGGGATGGGCCACGGGCGACGGGCGTGTAGCCGTGTCTGTGTACCACAATGCTCCAGCGACGATGGACACCCGACTGCTCAGGTCTGTGAGCAATGGGCAGAGACGACGGAGCAGTAGGGCAGAAGAAGGGAATGTCGCTAGTAGGGATCCGAGGGAGGACCTTGTTGTTCGATTTCCACTGCTTCTAACCTGCTTCTATGAGAAGGGACTCAGGGGGTGAGGTATCCGTACGGTACGATGTAGTATATCTCAATACTCCATACACAAAAGCCGAAAGGACGATTGTGTGGTCGGATCCGGGATTCCCAAAGAGGGCACCCTGTGACCGTTGGAGAGTATCCGTATCCGTAGTGGAAGACTGAGAAAGGGCCCACGACGTGACGAGGGAGATGAGATGAGATGAGAAGGGGGGTGTGGCGGGAGAGAGCTCCGTCTCCGAATACCTCGAGGGTGACGGCAAGGGATCGAGAATGAGAAAGATGAATTCCCAAAGATTGCCGGAGGGGAAAGCTGCGTATGCCGTGACACCTCGAGGGCCACAACAACAACAACAATCAATATAGGTGCGATACACGTTGTCGGGCTTGCTGCACCATCTCAGACAACCGACACGGAGGGAGACTTTAAGTATTCTATAGACCGTAGGGCCGTAGGACGACAAGAATGTTGACGGCCATTGTTAGTCGTGAGAGTGAGACACAAATTCGCCAGGCATGGTGCTTTTCGCCCTTGCGTCGTCCGCACCCCAACTGTGCATGTGTAGTCTGTACAGAGTGGTAGCCAAGGCCGTCCCTTGGCTCTGGTATTCTTTTCTTTTCACTTCCGGGGCGTGCAGAGTCTGCGCGAACCACAGCATAGGTACCACCCGTGCTGTCCACTTTGCGTTCCGAATACTGCATGATACTTTGCTCTTCCCGCGAGACCGTTGCGATTTGCGAACCAGTGAGGGAACCAGTCGAGCGGGACTCCGGAGCTGACGGGATGGAGACACCTAGAACGGCCGGGTCAGGGGCAGCATGCCTCTTAGCGTTATTTGTTGAGAAGCGAGTAACAAACGGCAAGCATCGCGTCCCCGATTTTCGGTCCACCGAAAGAACAATTACAACTTGGGTATCCGTACGAAATATGTATACATGGAGTACTCGTAGCCTAGATATGCTCCGTACCCGTATCGTCGGACTGTAGTCTGTCGAACAGTCGAAGAGAGAAAAAGAAGAAAAAGCAACGTAGGTGGGTGAATGTGGGCGAGGGTCTCTTGTGCCTTCAATAATGCTACGCCGGTAGTGGGCTCTCTGTGCATATCTGCGCTGCATACGGCAGTTCGCTACCACACGGTTGCAGAAGCAATATTGGTCTTATTTGGCGTCGAAGCTTGGAAGGTGGGCTGGCGTCTTATTCTGTCTGAAGCATGCTCTTCGCCTGTGAACTGTCATTAATTGTCCCGACCCAAGTGCGTGTTCATGACACATGGCCGTGTCCACCGTGACCTGTACGATGGAGGCTTAAACGGCTGCGAGATGGAGGTTGAAAGACTTTTCTCCTCGAACGAGTTGTCACCTCCGCGAATAATATCCACCACGTTGCACTGGGGTTTCCGCAATCAAATGTTGGTGAAGCATGACACAGAAGAATCGATCACAAAATCGAGTTCCGAGGGATCGAAGCGAAGGGTCCCCGAAAGAACAGACTGGACTCCAAAAAACCGTCCAACGAACCGCGACCAACGACCAACGCGGCGGATCAGATCCCTGGCAGGCCTCAACGAAGCCCCATCGCGTATTCCATGTTAGTGCCACCGGCCCAGGGCGGCCGAGGCGTCTGTGTTGCTGCGTCTGCAGCCTGCATCTTGTATCCGTACGCAGCACTCCGTACCCGCATGTGTTGGCAGGCCTTGTGCGGCGGCACGCACACGATCGTCGCAAGTACAGCAGCTTGCAATGCAAACTGTAGCACAAGGGGTCCTGACATCTGCCTGAAAGGCTTGCATTTCTGTTTCTCCTGCTATGGTCATTTCCTCTAGTGACAGTATCGGTGACCACAAAGTCTCGACAAGTGATTCCCGCGGCAGATGGCAGCTTTCTGTCTCGGCACTACCTGCCTGGGTTTGTCCCATGTGTGTGTCTTTGGCGTGCCCATGTTTTTGTACGGAGTATGCAGGCTCGATATGTGGATTGTGTACCCGTACTCCGTACACTACGTATTGTGTGTGTGGCAACTTGGGTGCTTGGATCGAGGTGTGCGAGGGTCGTCTCTCGGCTCTCCCTTTCTTGTTGTCCCCTTCCGGATTGACTGGCCCTGCCGAGATCAACAGGAGATTGAGGGGCGGCGCAGCAGACCAGCAGAGAGTTCAACCATGATAGGATAGCGAGAGGGTCAAGTCCCTGGCATCGTGCTGTATAAACCAGGTAGACCGGCGATCTGGTTCCCTCGCCGCGCGCTCGGATGTCTGAGAGTTGGGGTAAATGAACATCGCACCGTCGACCTTGGCTCAATTCATTGTTTCCAAGGATTATCAGCAGAACGCCTTCTGCCGTTATCCAGTCTGACAGACTGACAGTCTGTACGAAGTACGTATGTCTTGTTTCCTCGTCATTGGTGATGTGAAATTGAAAGGTCGCATCGCATGCCATCTGCCGTCTTCGCAGGTCGCATGCGTCACGCACTCTGCACAATGTTGCAATTTGTCGACGCATCCTATGCTTGCTGCTCCTCCGGCTGTTGAGAAGACAGGGCCCCAGCAGGTCATCATTGGATTAAAATGCAACGTCGATTCGTACCCTCCCCCGGCTGTTCAGGGCAGTGAGCAAGGGTCAGAGTCTGCATGGACCAGGGCATGTAAGCCCAGCAAGCTGTCCCTGGACATATTTGAAATTGACGGCCCAGAGCCAACCAACTTGAGAGATCGCGACTACGTACGCGTTTCTGGATGGAGCAGTCGAAGAGTCGGAGGGCGGCTGGCAATCTTGTGACGGGTTGATGACCTGCTTTGGACAATCGTCATCTACCAGACAAGAGGATCGTGAGGGACGCAATGGGTCCGCAGGCTCCCTTGCCCTCGTCTCGTCTCAAATTCCAGAAGGGGCGCCATTGCTGATGTCGCTGCCATATCAAGCGAGGCATGTGAGGTACTTTGCAGATTACCGGCATATTGAATCAGTGAATCAGGACCGAGCACAGGTATTCGTACGTGCAAGGCAACGGCTGAAAGCTTAGGTATCCGTAGTAGATTGCGGGATGCCTCGATCCCCAACTGTCAAGAATCAAGCGGCAGTAACTTGCAGGCCTCCTGTTGGCGAGCTGCAGATGAATTGTGATTGTATCATGGGTGCAGATGGCAGATGCAGCCGGGGCGTCACGTCAGACGGATGCCCGAGACCTAAAGCACAGAGCTGATTACCTAGAGAGCCGGCGATCTCTTGATGAAAAAGAAAGGCCTAGTGCGTGGCGGTGAGTGATACGAACAGGAGGCGACTGAGGCGGTATCGAGGATGTAAGACAACAGGAAGCTCAAACGTCAGAGTCTTGCTTCGTTGGCGGCTTGTGAAAGCGAAGGATTGTCTCTAGGTACTTAGGTAGTAGATTCCCCGCTAGAAACCAAGGTTGAAGGGTGGAACTGGAAGAGATTGGCGAATCAAGACAATAGAGTGTGGAGTCTGAGATGGGCTTCGTGGCGTTTGCTAGAGGGTGGAAAGGAGAGACATGTCTTGTGAAAAAACATGGCATGGAGAGATGAAAGATGAAGTGGTGTCGTTTGATGGTTGGCGATGTTGCAAATTCACGGCGTGCAGGTGCAGGAAGTAAGGGAGCTCCAGCTTAGCTGCACCTGCCAAGTTGAAGCTGCTGCCCTGTGCGCTCCTTCCCTCCCATAAGCCAGACCGCGTGGAGACCGTTGTTAGTGTTTCTAGGGAGAGCAGTTGGCGTTCTGAGAGCTCCTTCTCTGCTGTAAGGGTGAGTTAGTGGCTGAATTATAGGCAAGCTACAGGTCAAACCCCTCCGTGGCGCCTGCGCGAGACAACGTCTAGCGGCCATCGGTTGTTAGCGTATTTTCTAGCCGCCCTATTCGCACTATCAACTGCACTGCATGACTGCCAAAATGCCCTTGGTGACCTGAGCCCAGGGGGGCCGCTTCCGTGGTGGGGCCGTTTCTCGATCGCTATCGATAACGCACCTCGGGAAAAGTGGATTCGAATTTTTTCATCGTCCTTCTCAATGCGACATGCAGCCGGGCCTTCAGCCTCATCACACCTCACGCTCAACTTCTCGTTATCAACTTTTCTAAGTCTTGGTTTTGGCTTTCCCAGTCTCAACGCCACAAGCACACCAGTGTGTCATAGACGACTCGAAGAAGGAAACATTGCTTGGTGCTAACGCCAGCCATTGGTCCTGTACTTTCGCTCCCGCCCTGGCTCTTGCTCTGCCTCTCGCGTTCGCACTTTGAAAACCTGGAGAGATCTGAGTCTAGTATCAAGCCTTTCAACGTGGTTTCCAAGACTCGTTACCCTACTTCGCCTCGACGGATCGACGCCACGCCCATCTCGCAACCTCGTGGCATTGATTCACTTCCCGAGCACGAGGACAAAGTCTTGTTCACCTCGTGGCTCTAGGCATCGTCGGCTTCTATTCTCGAACCCTGCCATCGATTCGCCTGGTCTCTTTCACCCCTTGCGTTCTCTCACCCGAGCATCCGGAGTCACAGCCGCTCTCGGATAATTTCTACAGTCTCGGATTCCGACGAGCCCGCGGCTTATTCGGCCTTCACCACCTCTTCCGGATACCGCCTCTCTGTCACTCACCCCTCCACCATGTTATCGGAAGAATTCTACTCCTGTATCTGCGGCCCGCCTATTGCGGCAAACACGGCCGTATCAAAAGATATCGGCATCTACGCTCATACTCTTAGCCCCAGCTACACCGTCAAGTCAACTCTCAAGAGAAGTGCTACCCCGGCCCACTGCTTGGCCATCAGTGACTCGCATGTCTTTGCCGCCCAGCACGAAAAGTCCCAGGTCCACGTCTACTCAAGATCGCGGGGCATCCAAGAAACAGTCGTTACCTTTCCAGAACGGATTCGGAGCTTGGCGTTGATTGACGATGTCTTGGCGTTAGGCACCTCCGAGGGCAGGTTGATCCTGTGGGAGGTAAACATTTCCTATTCCCGGATGCAATTCCAAACGTCTTGTTGTGGCTAACGAAACAACAGACATGCACTGGTCGCCAGCTGGTCACACCACCCTGCCACGTCCAAGCCGTTTCGTGTCTGGCCGTCACGCCCTATCACATCCTCACAGGCTCCGAAGATTCCAACATTCACGTTTGGACAATCTCCCGTCTGCAAGAGCTGGATGCTTCTGTGGAGAGCGAGCCGGACCGTACGCTCTCCAACCACAGGGCTGCCATCACGTCGCTCGCTGTCAGTGGAAGTGTCAACCCGGAAACCAACATCTGCGTCTCGTCCAGCAAAGACAAGACTTGCATCATCTGGAACTATCAAACGGGCGATGTTCTGCGTACACTGTTGTTCTCCACGGCTCCGCTGTGCGTTTCCATGGATCCCTGCGGTCGTGCCGTCTTCGTTTCAAGTGAGGACAGGGCTCTCTACCTCGTAGAGATCTTTGGTGAGAAGCCGCTCATTGGTCCGAATAGCACTGAATCATCGTCGACTGTCGTTCAAGTAAATTCACCGATTGGAGTTGCTGATGAAGATGCTGGCTCGGCTTTGTGCTTGGCACCAAACCATGATGGCACAACAATCTTATCCGGTCATGCAAAAGGCAAAATCTTGCAATGGCAGCTGGCCGAAAACGGTCACCCCACAGAGTTGACAGACCTCAATGCCTCTGTGACGAACTTGGTGTTTCCGCCATTGCTGCAAATACCTCGACCCACAAAAGCTGTTGCAGTTGTCAAGCCCACTCAGACCGAGCGGCAATTCACCTTTACATCTCAACTAAACACAAGTCTCGAACAAGAGACGAGATTCGGCAAGATGCTCAATGGCTTTGGCTTGCCTGATGATGCGCTTGAGGCCGCCATTCTTTCGTTCCAGGAGTCTCATGCACAACAATGTGCCACGGATGAAGAGGCTCAGCAAGAGACTGAAGAGTTGTGGGATATTATCAACGAGCAACGGGCGTTACACAAGCTGACTATGCAGCCGTACCATGAAGCCAAATCATCTCATACCTGAGAGCGTTTCATCTTTCCTTCACCCAAAACCAGACGGCGGCTCGAGCCTTCAATTGACCTTATCCAAACTATTTTTCTCCTCCATTCAATTCTCCTTGTCTTCGCCTCTCGAGTCATTTGAGGAATTGCATCGGAACCAAATCCATCTTGAGCAGAAGAATCCGTGAAAGCTTGATGATTCGTCTCGCATGACCAGCACGAATCGGCCACGAATCATCTTTGTTTAGCAAACGACTTGAACCCGTCCTGATGGGGGTGGTCCGGACCTATATGAGACGATTGTTTGGGGTACCTCGCGCCTCAAAGCTTAACCTTCGGCTATCGGCTTGTCGTTGATCAATCTTTCCACACAACTGCCCGATATGAGGTCAGCCTGGCGAGCCGCGAAGAGATTCCTCGAACCGGGGTCCGGGGGGGTAAGAAACTGCACTTGTCAGAGGTGTTCCCGTCTTTGCCACAGGATCCCATGCGCTCAGGCTGCCGTTCACCCAAGTGTTCGTTTTGGGTTGTCACCACCAGACAAACAGCCCACAGGATCCCATTGAAACCGGTTTCGCATTCGTCAGGTCTAGAGCTGCTACCTTGCGTCAGTGGGGTTCGTCATGACTGGACGACAGCTACTAAAATATCAACAAATAGCCAGCCTTGTCGCTCGGTTCTTCTGGCTTAGGTTCGATTCGTTGTGTGAAGTGAGAGAGTAGAGAGGAAGACGTTTGACGACGAAAACGACCCGAAGATACACGATGAAGTTGAGCGCTGTAGCCACCCTCTTCACCGCCCTTGCGGCGGTGACCGTTGCAAACCCGGTGACACGGTCGCACAGCCACGTCGTGCACGAGGAGAGGCACCCCGCGCGAAGAGAATGGGTCAAGAATCACAAACTGCACACTATGGCCAGGCTGCCAGTACGGATTGGTCTTGCTCAGTCGAACCTTCACCGCGCAAACGAGTTCATGAACGATGTGGCACACCCCGACTCGCCCAACTACGGCAAACATTGGACCCATGATGAAATCGCTGAAATGTTTGCACCGAAGCAGGAGTCGATTGCTCTGGTCATGCAATGGCTTGAGAGCGAGGGCATCCACCGGAGTCGTGTCGAGCTCACAAGGGGTCGCAGCTGGATCCAGTTCAACGGGACAGTAGGCGAGATGGAGCGGCTCTTGAAGACCGAGTACCATATGTACAAGCACGAACAAGGCCACAAGCACGTGGCTTGCGACAAGTACCACGTTCCGGAGCATTTGGTCCAACATATCGACATGATTACGCCGACGGTTCACTTTGACCAGCGCATTGGAGAGCAAAGGAAGAACACCAAGCATGATCTGGAGGAGCACCACATCGAAGAGCTCAAGAAGCGGCAACTCAGGAAGCGTGAGCTCGCCAAGCGAGACGTTGCTACTGGCGGCAAGAACCCGGCCATTCAGGGCAGTCCAGACAGCGGCTTCGGACCCAAGCAGGGCGCGGTTGTCATGAACGCCCTCATGGATCTCAACCAGTGCGACTCCATGATCACTCCGGACTGCCTGCGAGCGCTCTACGCAACCCCTCCCGGGTCGCTCAAGTCGTCCAACAACACCCTCGGCATCGTCGAGTACACGCCCCAAGCATTTCTTCAGTCAGATCTGGATATGTACTTCAACGAGTTTGAGCCTCGTGCGAAGGGACAGGGCCCCATTGTCAGCCTCGTCGGGAACGCTGTAGTACAGACCACAAACCAGAGCTTCCGCTTCAATGGCGAGTCTGCGCTCGATCTTGAGTTCGCCATGGCCATGATCCACCCTCAAACGACAACTCTGTACCAGGTCGGTGACCTCAACCAGGGTGCCAGCTTCAACAATTTTCTCGATGCCATTGACGGTAGCTACTGCACTTTCCAAGGTGGCGGTTCCAAGGACCCCAACATTGACGGACAATACAGCCAAAAGGTCTGCGGCTCCGTCCCCATGGTCAACGTCATCTCCACAAGTTACGGCTTCAACGAGGCGGATCTCGGCAAGAAGTACGTCGAGCGCCAGTGTGCCGAGTACATGAAGCTTGGCCTGGCGGGCGTCACAGTGCTCTACTCTTCTGGTGACTCTGGTGTTGCCGGTAACGGCAAGCAGTGCATCGATACTCAGACTGGTGCATACAATGAGGGTCAGCAGGGTATCTTCAACCCTTCATTCCCCGGCGGCTGCCCTTGGGTCACCTCCGTTGGTGCTACTCAAATTTTGGAGGGATCGACGGTTCATACCCCTGAGAGCGCCTGCCAAAAGGCCATCTTCTCTGGTGGAGGTTTCTCCAACGTCTTTGCGATTCCCGACTACCAAAAGAAGATGATGGAGCAGTACTACGCAAAGAATGCGCCGCCCTACGGCGCAGATCGGTACAACAACTCCAAGACGGTGCGAGGTTTCCCGGACATTTCTGCCAATGGCGCCAACTATGTCACTGCCGTCAATGGCAAGTTCTCACTCTCTTTCGGCACCTCAGGTGAGTCATTCCGAATCTCAATAGTTATTCGGCAAGGACTAACTTAGTCGCAGCGTCGGCGCCTGTTGTTGGATCAATTGTCAACATGATCAACGAGAAGCGCATTGAGGCGGGCAAGAAGCCTGTCGGCTTCATCAACCCGACGCTCTACGCTCACCCTGAGATTCTCAACGATGTGACCAATGGCGACAACCCAGGTTGCGGTACCAAGGGCTTCTCTGCCGTGGCAGGATGGGATCCGGTCACCGGCATGGGGTAAGCAATCCTTCTCTGACTGAGATTCTGTAGAGCAAAGACTAACAACACATCCCAGAACACCTAATTATCCTGAGATGGAGAAGCTATTCATGAGCCTACCCTAATTTCAAAATAATGGCCGCGCCATAGTAGTGGCGTCTGGCGGCGCAAAGAACATACTTACCACACACACAATGTCACATATATAGTGCTCATCAAGAGGCATATATCAAAGACGCGGGACATTTTTTCTTGCCCAACCCCCTTTTTGTGGCCGCGCAGTGTAGAACTGGTCAGCTGCAGGGTCAGGATACCAGGAACGAGGGGGCAAAGCATTGTAGATTATAAGCATTAATAGAGGTACTTTACAAAGACGTTGCAAATGTGTAGTTTGAGGTGTCTATGGTGAAGGTCCTGAAATGGCCTGTCGTGGTGCAAAATGGGATAAACTATGCATAGCTGGAATTAGAATTCGTTCTGTACATCAACCTCCAGACTGATCCTAATTGCATTGGTAAAAATCCCACTAAACCAAATGGTGAGGAATCGATTGCTCATTGTTTCGGCTACGTCCACTTTGGTGCTTGACGAAAACCAGAGGTACAAGGCGAGATCGGCCACCCGGCACATTGGGAGCGGCTTAGGCAGCGGATTAGTAAAATGCCGCGCCCCGAAAGGGCCGCTAAGGCTAAACGCCGAGCGGGAGGAGAGAAACCGCGTTTGCATCATAGGTCCGTTTCCCGCCCCGAAACCTCGAGAAATAATTCCCATTTGCGCTTTTCCACTGCCGAGAGCTATCTTTCTTCAGAACCGCAAAAACAGCAACCTCACGACGACACACCCCCCCTCCCGAAACATCCACGAAGGTCTCAAAGCCACCCGATAGGCTTTTCACATACGGCCAAGCATACATACGAAAAAGCGCAATCACGATGGCGACGGCGATACAAGCTCTCAAGGGCGATGCGCCGCAGCAGGCTCGGTCTCTGGTACGTAGAAACGACGGGGGCAAATTCTCCTACGATCCCTTCCGATTGCATACATGCCGGTCTTTTCTGTCATCTATTTTCGAATACAAAAGATCCAAACGCCAAGACGTTTTTTTTTTCTCTCACCAAACGCCGAAAAGAAGAGCTTCCGCTAACAGCATTCTTTGCGACAATTATAGTACCGCCAGCTGCTGAAGACGGGCGACCAGTTTGCGGCCTACAACTTCCGCGAGTACGCGAAGCGCCGGACGAGGGATGCCTTCAGGGAGCACCAAAAGGTCGAGGACCCGCGGCAGGTGCAGGAGTTGATCCAGAAGGGGATTAAGGAGCTTGAGAAGCTCAAGGTTAGTGGGCTCTCTGTTTTTTCGGGTTTCGTGCTTTCCTATCTTCTCCCCACGAAAGTCCAGCCTCTAGCTCTCGTCAAAAAAGATGTAGGGATGGAGAGAGGGGGTGGGAGGCCCGGAGGTATAGACAGTAAAGTATCGGGGGCTAACACTACGGAAACAGAGGCAAACCGTTGTCAACCAGTTCTTCCAATTTGATCGGTTAGTGGTCGAGGGCGGCGCCGCTGGCAAGCAAAAGGGCAACAAGGGCGGTATTGTCAGACAAACGGAGCATGGGTGAGTTTCTCTATATCTACGTCTCCGTGGATAATAAGGTAGCTGGATGATAAGAAACTGACTTTTTCGTACCCTTACAGCTTCGACTAAATGACCGAAACTCCTGGGAGCGCGGAGCAAAAGCCCAACCTAATAACGTCGCGAGCTCAATGGAACCATGACTCGGGATCTTTTCTGTACTATATACTCAAACCAGGGGGTCGGAAGACAAGAAAAAAACCGGCGGAGGGATCGGGGTGTATGACCATTAAAAGGGGGCGAGGAGGAGTCAAGAATATTCTCTCAACTTTTATGAAAGAAAGGGGGAGGGACCCGGCGCGGCGGCAATTACTCCCCAAATGAAAGTCACTCCTCTCTGGAGTGTTGTCTTCTTTTTTTATAATCTCCAACCAGGGCTTTTTAGGAACATATAGACATGGCATTGGCGTTTCTATGACTGTGGCCTTGCATTATCGCGGGATTCTTGACGGCGGGACAGCATGGATCTTGTTTGTTGCGTTCGAATCCCGACTGTGACCTTGTCGGGCGTATGTCATTCTTGTCTGCCAAGTCAGCCTTCCGTTCGACTCATCTGCGAGTACTATCGAGGTCGATGGTCTCCCTAGCTTTGCAAGTGGCTGCGGGAGTACACGTTGACAGGAACTGAGGGATCATACTCCACTCACTACCTTATGCAAAGATCTCACTCAAAGTAGCTTCAGACTGTGAGACACATATACCGAACAATCAAGCTGGAGAAAATCATTGTTGCTGTCCTCCTGATTACTCACGGTACAGGTCCTTGGTAAATTCCACACCGAGGTCTCAGCGATCAGCTCTCGGTGTGCTTGGTAAGCTGACTAAGCAGAGCTGTCCTCGCGCTTGCCGTCTTTAGAGTTCGCGACGAGGCTGCGTCTCTGGGTGGAGCCAATCCACGGCAGTCTACAGCGACGGTAGCTCAATCATCAGCGAAACAACATAGCGTCCGCGCGCGTTGAATCAATTCGCATCAATTATTTGCAACCTGAGGTGCGCATTGCACTCTTGTCATAGCCGTTAGCCTGCGCCCACGAAGTCATTGTTATTCGAGTCCAGAATTTGTGGACCATTGTCGCGATTCAACCAGAGCTCCGTCGCTGCGCGCGCGACCCTGCATCAATCGGAATTGGACCAGCTTCGAACCCCTCTTAGATACTGTGACCTCGTCCGTCGCTTCGAGACCCTGTTTTTACAATGGCGCCAGGAGTAAGTTCTGTCAAGTAAACAATTGGGCTCAAGTCGAAATTGCCTTGCGACCAGTGGCAAGCAAGTCTAACAAAGCGACCCTCGATAGACTCGACGCGCGAATCGTAGCGGATACACCGAACACGATGACTTTGAAGGTCTCCCCGTGCGCCAATGGCGCCAGGAATGGGTGAGCGTCGAGCCCCCCGCGCCCGCCGAGACGACGCAGAAGAACGACATTTGGGACGTCGAGCTCCCCTGGGGCATGCCCAAGGACGCGGGTCTCCTGCCCCAGCACAGCCAAGACCTCCTCCGCGCCGCGCGATCGGGTGTCCTCTACAAGAGGCCCGCGCCGACCGAGGAGGAAGAGGCCGAGACCGACGCCGTGCCCGACAAGCCGGAGAAGAAGGAGGACGAAGCGGAGACCAAGGGCTTCCAGATCAAGGTGTGGAAGCAGATCAACCGCAACTCGGAGGGTTCTCCCGTCTCGCACCTGGCCAAGCGCAGGAAGGGCACCGTCACGATCTCGTCCAAGACGGTCTCGAGCCAGGTTCCCGGCGCGACGGTGACCAAGGCTACTGTGCGACGAGTCGATGCCGCAGGAAACCCGTATACGCAGGAGATTACGCTGCAGGAGGGCCAGGCAGTCGAGGGCGAGATCATCTCGACGACGGTCGTGGCCGTCGCGGCTGTCGATCCTGCGCAGCAAGCGCCGCAGCGCGTCCGGCGACCACCGCCACCTAAGAAGAAGAACAAGCCTGGTCCGGGACGCGGTCGCAAGAAGAAGATCTTGCCTTTGCCCGCGCCGGCAGTGCCTGGCGCACCGGCTGCTGCGCCTCCAGTAGAAGGTGCTCCTGCAGCTCCTAAAGTTGAGGGAGCGGATGGGACGGACCCTGTAAGTTTACCGCACTACCCTGTATTAAGAGCTTGTGACTGATCAGTTCCTAGGCTGTCAAGCAAGAGCGGGAGGACTCGAACAACCCCGATAGCGAGATGGCTGACAATGACGATGACGATGGCGACGACGATGATGGTGATGACGGCGATGACGGTGACGAGGAGCAGCGCGATGGCGAGAACACGGATAGCCAGGACCAGGAAATGACCGACGCATCTCCATCTATGCCCACGCCGAGTGTCGACACAACGGCGGAATTCACCGACCCCGAATCACCAGTGCCAAAACGCGCCGCGCCGTTGGCAAATCCCATCAACCTCGCGCCTCCCAACATGCACCTGGCAAACTCCTCTCCCAAGGGCAGCCCTCTCAAGAACGTAGTCTTGCCGTCCCCCACAGAGCCAACAGCTCAGTTTTCGTCTATTTCAGAAGCATTGGTGCCCCCGGCAGCGCCAAAGAGCGAGCCTGTGCAAACTGACATGCCCATGGGTGATGGACCTGAGCCCCCGAAAGAGCCGTCTCCGCAGCCTCCCACTGAATCAGTGGATACGCTTCTACCTGATCAGTTACCTCTTGCCGACAACTCAACTGAGCTCCAGGATGCATCGACAGCACTACCGCCGGCCGAAAAGGTAGGCGACATCGTCTCCCCTATGGCCGAGACAAGATCAACCTTTTCGTTGGCAACGACTGCAGAGACCGATGCTTCGGGTACCAGGTTCGAAAGCGGTGATCAAACCGTGGCGTCAAATGACGCTGCACAAGACTCGATGATGCTTGACGCTCCCGAGGAGCGTCAGCCCTCTCCAGTCCCCGAGGCCCCCAAGGTCCCTGAGATTCCAGGGCTTTCTGAAGCTCTCTCAACCTCGGAGGCACCGCCGCCTCCTACCGAGGAGCCAGCACCTCTTGTCGTAGAGGACGTTTCTGAAAAGAAGGACGAAAGCCCCATTGTCCCGCCAACTAGCACCGCTGAACCTTCCGTTCCGATTGCTGAGGTTGAGCCTGTGGCACCTGTGGTTGAGGAGATGCCACTTGCGCCACCAATCCCTGAACAACCCACAGAAGCCGCCGTGTCACCAGCAAAGTCTCCCGTTAAATCGCCATTGAAGTCACCGGCGATTCCGGCAACGGAGTCACCAGTCAAATCACCCGCTCCCGCGCTGGAACCCCCAGCTCCTTTGGAGCCTCCTATTGTGGAGCCTGCCGACATCCCACCAGAGGTTCCAGTCGAAGTGCCCGTTGAAGCTCCCGTTGAGGAGTCGGCTGCATTGCCGCCACCAGCACCCCTCGAGCCCCCAGTCGAGCCTTCCGTAGCACCATTGGCGGAGATTCCGGTTGAGATTCCAGTCGAGGTCTCTGCCGACGTCGCAATGGAGGAGGCACCGGCCGATCTTCCCGCAGAGAAGCCCATTGAGACACCAGTCGAAGTTCCAGCCGTTGAGATCCCGACCGCCGAACCTGAGTCGGTCCCGCCAGCGCCTGCCGAAGTTCCAATGGTGCCGGAAGACGACGGCCCGGACCTGCTCGCCGGTTTGGAGACGGAGCTGGATCGCCAAGCCGAGATTAGCAAGTCTCCACTCCCCGAACCGCCTGCCGCCCCGCATCCGGAGCCAGCGGAGCTCCCTGAGATTGCCAACCCGGTGCCCTTGCCCGAAGTCCCGCCCATCGAGCCTGAGAAGCCCGCACAAGAGCCAACAGAGGCGGCGGCCACTGAGAGTGCTGTGGTTCAGGAGGCTCCGGAGGTTTCGGAGGCCGAGTCGGTTCCTGCTGTACCTGCTCCCTCGGCTGAGGAACCGGCACCGGCCGAGGAAGCTGCCGCGTCAACGGAGACGGCAGCTGCAGAGACGGCCCCTGCGGAGGAGCCAGAAAAGAAGGCGGAGGAGAGCTCGACTGATGCCGTTGTACCTGCAGCCGATGCCTAGTTTGCATTTGCTAAAGTGGATTTGTCGAGGTACACAACTTGTCCGGGGGTGTTGGAAGCTATTGGTGTTTGACGAGGCGTAAAAGGAGAAAAGGCAGGCTTAGGCTTTGCCTCGTGTGTAAATTGTATGATGGAGTACCTTGCCTTACCGTTAGATGTTTGATTGGAACACAAAGGCCGTTGAATCGGCAAATATGCCCTAACTTGTTTTATGCTTCATGTTTCGACGGACAAGTCTTTCCGAAACCGATGCCTTGATGCATGAATTTTGCCCGGGGAGCATGGTATACATGCTTTTCCCTTGGATTTCGTTTGATCAAATGTACGGATATTTCAACTATATACACAGAATCTCAAGCCTGTTTTTTCTTCTTCTTTTACCCGCGCGGGACCAATGAAGAAAGAAGAGCCAGCCTTTACCATTCCAGAACAATGCTGTCCCAAATGAAACCCCTCCACGTCGTATTGCGCGTAAGCTGGAACGTAACCTCGTTCTCCCCCTGCTTCAGCAGCGCGCCCGGGACGGGGAACTCAAACAGGCGCCACTCGCCCGCCGCCGTGGCGCTGCGGTACACGGACGGGTCGTTGAGCAGTCCCGAGGTGGAGTCGACGCCCACGGCGCCGCTGGTGAGGTTTCCTACTTGCTGCCCGTTGGCGAGGATGACGCTGCTTGCGCCCGTGGAGTAGCCCGCTAGCGAGACGATGAGGTTCGCGGACGCGGGGGCCGGGTCGGGCAGGGTAGGGATGCGGAAGGAGATTGTGTAGTTCCCCTTGTAGGTCTGGCCGTAGCACCAGTCTGACGTCTTGCTTGCGGAGCAGGTGCTGTTGCTGCCGGTGGTGGCGGCGCGGAAGACGATGTTTTCGGGACACGAGGCGATGATGGCGTGGCCGAAGTACGGGTCTCCTCCGTGTGCGAAGCCGAGAGATGTGCGGTCAAAGTCGCCGACCTGGAAGAGCTTGGTGCGCTTCGAGACGGCCCAGTTGAGCGTTCCGAGGTCCGTCGTCTGGCCGGACTCGGTGACGTGGACGTCGTTGAAGAGGATGTGCGTTGTCACGTCGGCGAGGGCAGCGCCGGCAGACCAGGCTTGGAGTGCGTAGCCTGCCGAGGTGGTGCGGACGTGGGGAATCTCAAAGGCGCCCGAGGCGTCAGCGTAGGTTGTGTAGTAGTAGTCCGAGCCCATGTCGAGGGCCGTCTTGTTGGGGTGGTTGTCGCCGAGGAAGACGGCGGCGCCGGCGGCGGGGCGGCCGTCGGAGAGGAGGAGTTTGCCTTTGACTGTGCCGCGGGATTGGTAGGCGGCGTCGTCGAGCCAGGGGTATGGCCAGGAGGCGAATTCGGAGGCGGCGCGGGAGTCTGCGTCGGATTTGGAACCGTCGTTCTAGGGGAGGTGGGTGGTGGTTAGTTTTGATGGAGGTTATCGAAGAGAAATAGGGGGATTCCACGTACGAGATACCAGAGCCAGGGACCCCAGATCTTGCCGACGGGGAAGACGTCGACGGCGGAGACTTGGAAGTGTGTGCCGTGGACCATGTTGAGTTGGACGGCATCGCCGGTGGCACTCTCACGGTGGACCTAGGAGATGTCAGCGTGATGTCCCGAGATCACGGTTACAGACCGAAAACGTACCATGAGCTCCTGCTTCAAGTGGTTGCCATTGTAGTAATCCTTGCCGGCATTTATATACCAGCTCCCAACTTCACCGCCATACACGCCATAATACTTTTGTGTGCGGATGAAGTCAGAAAAGTCGTACTTCGTGATGTACCCTGTGCCGTCAGGCGTGCGCCACGTCTCGTCTTGGACCTTGTTCTCAGGTAGGTAGTCAGCCAGCTTCGGTAGCGGCTTGTCGTGGAGGTCCGTCTTTCCGTTGGGAAAAGTAGTGTTGTCGAGGCGCCAGAGGGTGCGAAACTCGCCCAGGGTGGGCAGGTTGCGATTGACAAAGTACTGGTAGGCGCCGGCAAGGCCTTGGAAGATGACCCAGTGGAAGTCGCCGTCATTTGCGGTGAACTTGACGTCGATGAAGGGGGTTCCTTCGTGGGTGCCCTTCTTGGCGATGGTCGCGGAGGACCAGGCGATGTCGTTTGCGGCGCCGTCTGAAAAGATGAGCTTCAGTTCCACGTTTGGGAAGTTTCAAGGCTCGGGATGAGGGTATTCACGTACTGTAGCTTACGTAGTGGCCAACGGCGTTTCCGACGAGGTCGCGGTCTTTGTAGTACAACTTCACACCGTACTTGAGACCTTGGGTCATGTTCCACACATCATTGCCAATGATCCACGTCTGGTTATCGACCTGCCTAAGGAAAGGTTCGGTCTGTGTCGGGGCCGCGAAGGCGTTCGAAATCAACCCTCCAAGGGCGGCGGCGAAAAGACTGCTTCTCATCTTGGCAGACAAAACTTCGACGTCACGTCAAGAGTGTGAGCAACGACGACAAGAGTCCGCAAGGTTCGCTCTTTCTTGTATTCTTCTACCGCTCAAGCAAGCACCGAGGGAAGACTAAATAAGCCCAATGACCTGAATGGCGACTCAAGACCCTTACTCGAGCCTATCCCGAACAAGCATTGAGCCGCGCAACCGGCACGCCGGTGCCGCTCTTCTCCTCATTCTTACCCCTCGTGGTTCGTGGGTTCCGTGGGGAAGAGGAGCGCATGGTTCGTATTGCTTCTTTTTCGCCCTGAGTATGCGGGGTGGTGAGTGGTGAATTGGTGATTTGACTGGGGAAGGCGACGTCAATCGGTCAAGATTGAGGCGGGCGCATATCGCAAGCAGGGCACTACCCCGTTCCCCGCAATCCAAGTAAGCTTAGCTGCTAGCAAACGGCGAGCTTTGATGGGTGGAAATTCAGATATCAATCTAGTCTTGCCTCGCTCCTTTCGGGAGAGCGGCTGATTGGGAATTGAGGAGTGGCCCGGACTTTGAGCTCTGAGCGCAACTAGGTTTTTTTCGAGATCGCCAAGCTATCCCCGAGGACGCGTGGTGCTAGCTGCTGCATTGCTTGAATTTGGGGGAATATTAGGCATGGGGTAACCCCGACTTCGGGGTACCATGGACCGAGGGTTGGGGTAGGTGCGTCGTCTTATGAAGTTTGACCTGCCCGAAGTGCTTGATATGCAGCATCTTGTTGTCATGAACTGTCATGAGCTGTCGTTTCTTGTGACCGAGATTGCCGGTCAGCCGATTGGGGGTTGAGCTGAGATTCCCGCAGATGATGACATTGGGATGCGGCCCGATTTGCTCGGAGATGAGATATTGCATCTAGAGATCTATGTACTGTACGGATACGAGTGGACAGAACAGACCAGGTAAGGTAGATACTGAAACCAGGTCAATAAGGAACCATGTATAATAAATGTGCAATCTTACGGATACTTGGTCACTCTGCGTATAACAAATCAAGCATCGGGTGCTGTAGTTAGAGTACTAACAAACCTCCTGTATCCGTCGACACCGCTCCCTTCCATCTCGAAAGATGAGTCGGGGCACGAGCAAAGACAAATTGACAACAACAGAATCCGAGCTCACACTTCCGGGATATGGAAGGTTAATAGAGTGATGTTGACTAGATGTAACCGTACAGAGTACGGATACCTTGCCTTAGTAAGGTGAGAGATGTCGGTGAGGAAGGTGTCGAGTCAGAAAAATCATCAGCCACAAGTTGTGTGCACAGACCAAGGCTTGGGTTGCAGCACTTGTGGCTGAGTTTATAGCAGGTGTGCACGTGTTGTGGTAGCGACAAGGGAGGGAGGTGCCGACGGGATGGAAAGCCTCGGGAAGGCACCTTACGGATAATCTGCAACAATTCATTCCGAGTTTGGATTAATCAGCCGTGACAAACGCCGGGAAGGACCAAAGGAGATGAGAGGGACACATGATGAGGAAACTGCCGTAGTGTAGATGATAGATGATAGAGGTAAACCGTAAGGTACCTAGATGAAACTGCGCTATTCATTGAGCCTGCCTTGTCGGCCTGTTTGCTTGCCTGCCCGATCTCTTGCAGCTGCATCTTCCACGGGCAGCAATGCTGCTCAGTAACATCGGGTCGGGTACGGGGTTGCCGCTTTCTCTCTTCGGTCCTCTGATCGGTCCTTCTCAAAGAGATGAGCATCGGATATCGCAGGCACGCAGGATGATCTAGGCTCTTCCACACAGTTTTTTGGTCGCGTGTTTATTTTTCTCCTTGCCATAAGCTGCCTTAGTGCAAATGTTTAATGTCGATATTATACGCAAGATCATCAGAGTACCAAAAAAGGCACTTCTCCGGGTCACGTCAATACAAGCTCCCACATAGCGCTGGGTCAGGATCGACGGCTACCCGAGAGCGAACCAGTCATGATCATATCTCACAGACCTCTGGGAGCTCAAGCGAACGCACAGAGCTGAGAAGACCCTTTCACTCAGAGTCCTTCCCCATCCGTGTCAGTGTCTCACGGCATAGCTGGTTCAGATGGATCCCGAGCGGCCGGAACATCGAAGACGCCAAGTCGGCGCTGGATGGATACTCAACGGCCCGTCTGATGGAGACCAACAATACAGCACTTTCGGTGCCCGGCATGATGGGATGTCAAAGTCGCCAACTAGCCAGGCTGTCAGACACGGTCTATTCGGAGGCCGAAGTGAACGCCGGAACGGTCACCCGCGGAGATGAAGATGGAGATGGAGACACCAGGGATCATGGCGAGATGGGTGCTTACTTACGAAACTTTCCACAAGAACAGGAGCTTAAAGTGTGCCCATCACGCCACTCAACACTATGGCCAGCCCGGTCCTATTATTGTAAACCGAACTAACAGTAACATTACGAAGGATTCGGCATCATCCGTACCGTCTACGCGACAACGAAAGAGAGTTTGTGTTTGAGCTGCACCAAGTACGGGTCCCTGCAGGGGAAAGGACGGCCTGGCCTGCCACGCCTGGCTCAACTGAGCACAAGTCTCCAGCCTCCCAAGAGGCTATCGTAGCCGATCCAAAGTACGAGCAGGCCCCAGCGCGTGCCGCCGTCGCCGCCGCGCCGCGTAGCGTGGCGCCAATCGCATCCAGAAGAATTCTCGCTGATATTCTGGTGCCTCCGTGCTTTGCACCTACATACCGGAGCTTCACTTTTGCATCACTTTCATTTTGACGAGTGCCACACTCATGCTGTGCTCCGTAATGTACGACTACACTGAGTGGATGAACTGAACCAGGGGCCCAGAGCGGCGGAAAGCTTGCCGAAGATAAAGGAAACATGAAAGAGAGGAAGGTGACGGTGATCGATCCCATACGGCTCCGATCCGCGGTCTCTGGACATGCCGGTTTTGGCCCCCATCCGACGCTACCTTGCGCCGCAGATCATGTATTCAGAGAGAAAAAGAGAGAGCCTGAGAGAGGCATCCATTCGGCGGTTCAGCGGTTCTTTCTCCTCCCCTGACAACGGCAGGCCTGGATGAGACTGGACTGTTCCCCGCCGTCACTACCTTTACCTTTCTCAGTTTCCGAGGTCCTCTCCGCATGACGTTAATCAAGCCTCATCCAAGACTGACTCGCAAAGCCTGGCGAGACGCCATTCTCTCATTTATCCTCACACCCGTCACGCCCTATCCTAGTCCTGACGCCAGAAAAGAACGGCCACCGGCCAGTCCCATGGTTGCCTCACTTCCCGCACCCTCGAGCGACATCAGACGCTCCCCAGAAAGACCAATCTCAAGCTACCTTACTACGCAGCCGTGACAGCCACGGTAGCGTAGACTCTTGCTAAGTTGCTCCAACTCAAACCCCCACCGGGGTGTCTACCGGGGTGGCTGAAAGTCAAAGTTGCCGTTATTCTGCGTGTGTCTCGTGGGTTACACTCAACAACGTCCGAATACCACTGGGTCATCCCCTGTGCCAACCCTCATGTCCTTGGTCTGTGCAGCTTCGAAGAGAGAGACGCATGGTCCACCTCATCCAAGAGCTTGGCATCTGCCTCGATATCGCACGTGGGCGAACCGGCACCGACAAGTTCACCAACCATCAACCGACCTTTTTCAGCTTGTGTGTGCCTATCCCAACTTATTAACGCGTGGGTCCCGTCAAGGATTTCCAAGACTGAAGTAGGAAGTTTGCATCTTCGACCCTCTGTTCATTTGCTCTATCGATTAATCAAACGAAAAGGATTCCATCAAAAAAGTAACGTAGCGTCTCGCCCTTCGGGATTAGGGTCCGCTTCACGCCATCGAAGCCACGGCAGACACCAGTGCCGATCACTGACGCGCCTCGAGCTCGCAGCCGGTAAACTCTAATCCCACGCTTGAACCTTTCAGGGGGGACCAACGAGGGCAGAGCCTAACTGTTTGGGCCTTCATTTGAATCTAGACCTGCGAAAAAAAGAAAAAAAGAGGATTACCGCCTGGATGGAAATACCCGCTCTTGTGCGTCCCTTTACGAGCTTTTGGACGTGGAATGCCATCAAGCAACGCGACCTCCTGACGTCCTAATCATATCATATTTCCGTTTTCCCACCTTCTTTCTACCTACTTTACCTATATTCGTCCCTTGGCCCCCACGCCCCGTCCAGCGGTCCCGGCTTCCGGGACGTGTGGTCTGCCTGCTTCTTCATCGACCGATTCCGTTCTCCACGAAATCCTTCGCGGCCAATCCCCAGGTTTCTCGTTCCCACCGGTCGTCAACTAGTTCCACATCCCCGCAGCTTCGGTCTACCTACTTGACTCTTTGTCTGCCTTTATGGTTTGCGGTTTGCCTGCGTACAATCCAGGCTGGTACTCAACCGGCAGACCCGCGAGGCTGGGCGCAGTTGACCCCATGAGCGATGGATTTTGATGAAGAAACCAAGCCAAATCTGACAACCTTGAACATGAGCTCCAACGTGAGCGTAAGAAGCGAGTCTGTCGGCGCTTTCGACCCTGCTACCCAGCAGCAGAATGGGTCAAAACCGCCCATCAAGCGCAGGTCTCCAATAGCCTGTCGGAGGTTCGTCCTGCTCGCCAGTGCGGCGGACATATCGCGAACTTGACGAGCTAAACTATGTCCCAGATGCCGTCGGATGAGGAGCAAATGTGTGCATGAGAAGGGACAGCCGCCGTGTAAATCCTGCGCGGAAGCTGGCATACCAGCGAGTGAATGGTACCGTCCGCACCGAGCAACGTCCGTGACGCGATCTCGAAGCTAATCAACGACAGCATCTTTCCCCAACGAGGCCAGCCGGATCTGGACCGCGAATACCGGCATCCTCGCTTGAGGGCCGAGAAGGCCGCGAAACGAGAAGCTGACAAGGCTCGACGAAGCGCGTCAGATGCTCAGGTCCCTCGGGGTCCCGGCGCGCCAGCTCTTCGTAAACCTGCAGACGAATGGGAGCTTCTCCCACCGCTACCCGAAATCATCGACGCAGTTCACGGCTTCACCCGCAAGTATTTTCAGCTAGGTTTCATCCCGAAGGAGCTTTTCCCCCGGCAGCTGCAGCAAGATCACCGATCCGTCAGCGTCTTCCTCGTACTCGGTATTCTCAGTGTCTCTGCTCGCTTCTCCCCAGCCCTGGCCCAGAGATACCATGGGGAGATGGAAGCCGTCGACTTCTTCATGGAACGGGCTAGCAACCTCGCGCTCAACGAACTGTACCAAGAGCCTACTCTAGAGAGATGTCAAGCCTTTTATCTGTTGAGTCTAGCGCAGCAAGGCGGCGGTATGAGGAACAAGAGCTACGTGAGTTCCCTGTATGGAGTATCAATACGGGCAGTGCTGAACTTTTGCTAGATCAACATTGGCATTGCCACGAGGATGGCCGTCTTGATGCATCTGCATCGCGAAGAGTTCTACAAGATGAAGAATCCCACGAGGGAGATGATTATCAGGGCGGAATCTGCACGGAGAACTTTGGTTAGTTGGACAATGCTTCAAAAGGGAGAGAGCTCTGCTAACACGTATATCATAGTGGATGTTACACAGTCTGTGATCACGAACGAAGACGAACGTGGCTTTTGCTAACAACACGTAGGCCAGGACAATCTCCATTGCGGTGCTCTTTCCCCCGTGTCACTAGCTGCCAACGACATCACGGCTCTTCTCCCTAGCAACGAGGAAGACTTTGCCTACGGCCGCGAGCCCTTGTCTCGTGCCGCACTCGAGGACACGCCGCCAGCTCGCGAGAACCCTTCATTGATCCACCAACCATCTCGATCATTGTTCGCGAGTCTGATGCAAGCACATTATTATTGGGGGAAAGTCGCTCGTCGAGCGTTGGCAACGATGAAGAGCGCCAATCCTTGGGACCCGACGAGCGAGTACGCCATCACAGCAAAGCAGATCCTAAGCTGGGAACAGCAGCTTCCGCAAGATCACCGATGGAGTATGGTCCTCCTCAAAGGGCACAAGTCCGTCGGCGAAGATCTGGTATGTGCCAAGATTCACTGCAGTTGGACTTGGAGTTGACATGTTTAGGCCTACCTCGGTGTCACTATGATAACAAAACTCTGCAACATTGTGCTGAGGCGTGCGTATCTCGAGAAGTAAGCCCAACCACTCTTCGTCCTCCTCCCCCGCAAGCACTGACCTGAATAGCATCATCAAACCAGACGAGAAGGATATGCAACGCCGGGCGTTTTTCGCCAATATGTCTGACGACCTCTTCCGGAATGTACGAGAGCTGTACGAGCAAATCGATGCTCAATTCAGCGTCAGATCCTCTGAAGAGGGTGTGGGAGCCCAGATGGCGTCGTTCTGCGTCTACAGCTGCGGCCTCTTCTCGACCTACCTGGTCAAGTACCGGAACAGTGAGTACCCAGAAGCCGTGAACGTCACCGCATCGTGCTAAATATCCTAGTCTGCTCCGACAAGAACATCGTCGCGCAGGCTCCGAACATGCTCCAGCGGTGCATGTCCATCCTCATCGAATCGAAGCAGACTTGGCCCCTAGCCTCCCGCTGGCTCGAATCTCTGGAGCGCTTCTCGCGTGATCCCAAAGCAGCTGCCTTTAGTCTTGAGGGCAGTATGGCCGACGGCGTAAGTTCCAACCCCTGTTACCAACCCAATAGTGCTCGAGAAGGGAAAAGCTGACGAGAATCATATCAGAACGACCGAACCCTCCGACCGCTCCATCCCTCGCCATCCAACTTCACAAAGGGCCCACGCGCCGAGGCACCCAAGTACCAGCTCCCAGGCCCGCCGCCGACCCCGTTGAGCGAGAAGAAGCCAGTGCCGCTACGACACAGCAGCATCAGCAGCAACGCATCCAACAACGTGCTCCCTCCCCCGAGCCCATCACCGAGCCTACAACAACAGCAGCAAATGCACCAGCAACACAACTCTGCCTTCCCGCTCCCGCCGCTCATGAACACAACTCACCAACAGCAGCCTCAACTCCATCATCAACAGCAACACCAACATCATCAACCTCTCTCTCCACACCATCAACAACACCACCTGCTACAACACCAGCCGCAACCACACCACCAACTCCAACAGCAGCAACGCCACCAGCAACATCCTCCGACACCCCAAATGCAACAACACCACCACCAGCACCTCCCCCCAGAACTACACCCCCAGTTCTCCCCACCCATCTACTCCCAAGCACCCCCACCCTACAGCCCCAACAACGGCATGGGCATGCTCGTCCAAGCTGCAACCTTTGACACCGCAAGCCCCATCCTCGGCGCCCCGGCGCAGCAGCCCCCGCCATCATCGACGAACCCGTACGATCCCACCACGGCCGCGGCGGTGGCGGCCTTCTACAATTCGCCGGGCTCCGCGTCCATCGTTCTCGGCCCCGGCACGGACGGCTTCGAGTGTGAGCTCCAGAGCTGGTTCGACGGCACGGCGCCGGTCCAGGCGACGAGCTGGATCGGGAACGGGGCGGCTGGCCTTGGGTGGTTTGGGTCCACGTGAGGTGTTCATACTGAGGTATTGGCCTTCATCGAGGCAGAAAGAGACGGGCAGCAAGACCAAGTGCGAGAAGCCAAAAAGAAAGATTGAGAAAGTGCGCGTGTGCGTGAGGAGAAAAAAAGTGCTATTCGAGCGTCACTCTGAGCGATTCAGTCACTTCCTTTTTTATATATCAAACCCCAATTTAATCATACCTAGAGAATCGGCGCCAGGTTCGGAAAAAACAAGGAAAGGGCGAAAAAGATGACAAGAGTCAGCGGTGCTTGCGCCAAAATCTCGGAGGAGGGCCAGGCGCAACAATCATGGGACGGAAATATGAACCTTCGGGGTCAGTGGGTCATTTTGGAGCCATCATCTAGCCGTCATTTCCTTTTTTTCGTCATTGGGTGTTGCTTCATACATACTTTAGATCGAGATACCTGAGTGAATTAAGTACGACTTTTGACTACAATGCCGATCTTTATGCGAGTAGACAAAATCGAATGAAATATGTATATCCCGTACCCATCACGATGAAAAACGAAGTTTGACATACCGTACAGAACGTGCACCAAGAATAAGAGAGCTGGGATTTGGAACAGGTGGTGAGTGTCTTTTTCGAGAGACGTGGTAGAAAAGAAAAAATATATATTCCTCCCATCGGGAAAGATAGTCGACTGCAAAATATCGCAAACCACGGCCGCTTCGGGAGAGCTTCCTCTAGGAATTCAGAAACGTTGTTTCCCACCTTGAGAGACGAAAGCGACCACTGGGTATCAACACTGACGACACCGACCACCGCGGTCTAGGTAAAGTGAATACTATAACTCAGATAGAAAAGAGTCAATCAACTTCGGTACTCGTAACCAGTAGAATGTGATGATCTCATCAGGCGAAAGGGACACTTTCGCCATGGCAGGCTATGGGAATCCATCCACAGAGTTGGCGGATACCTTTCTCACGGAGAGTAATGGTCCTGACATCCAAGTACATCACATCTCACCTCACAAAACGTCACCGCAGTCACACATTTCAGAGACTGAAGGGGGCAAAACTCATTGAACTTCTACGACTATCAATCAGTGCTAGACATGAAGCCACTTGACCTCGTCATAAGCGCGTTGTGTGCCGTCTGTTTCTTCCTCTGCAGGATCCGTCTTTCCTCGCTGCGCCTACACTCTCCTGTGATCTGCCCATTTCGCAAGGCCCTTCCTTTCTCATCCGCCCGCCGAGTGCGCGCGAGTTTTCTTTCCGATGAAGGAAAAAGATACTCCGACGAAATCGCATACAAGTATGGCCTAGAGCCAAAAGCCTCCAGAAAGGCTAAAGGCTCTCCCTTTCCCGACCCAGCTGATCACTTGACCAGGTTGGTTCGTCCGAGTTGGGATATGGCCGACTCCGAAATGTGTATTGACGTTGTTCATGTCCCCGTCTCTCATTGCTCTCGTTTCCCCGTTGAAGGATGAAATCAAACTCCGGGTTCCATCTGAGGAAACTCCTTCTACATGACTTTTAGGTCGCCAACGCGCTTTCTATGCGCGGCGTACATGACAATGAGGACTCCCGCCTTCTCTCTAATCCAGCCTTCCGTCGCGAAAATCAAAGTCCAGAAGATAACAGCCAAGGGGTGGGTGAAGTGATTGAATAAGGGGGTGCAGTTTCGTGATGTGATATGGTGTGCTGGCAAGGGGTATTGTGGTAAAATTAGTCCTGGGGTGGTGGTGCAAGGGTGTCTATATACACGCGAGGGAGCTCCGTGTCTTTCGATGCTGTGTTGTGGCAAGAGCTGGGATTGGCTGTTCTCTCTCTCCTCCGTTTGACGCAGATCCGGGTTTCGACAGAGAAACCGGCTGCTCCAGGATATGTGCTGGGCTTGGGGGTTGGTTGGGTGTGAATAATCAAACAAGTCGAAATACAGCGTCAGCCTCAAGCTTTACAAAGCTCAAGTCTGCGCCATGACGCCAGAGGCACCGCCAAGCTGACGCTTGACCTGTTCGCGTGCCCAGCGAGCGGTCTCGATGGTTCGGGGCTGGAACTCGCGGTTGGTCTTGGTCTCCTTGATGAGGGCAGTGAGCCACTCCTGGCGGAAGACGTCGACAAGCTCGCCGTTAGGGTAGGCCTCAGCAAGGTCGCCAATAACGCCCATGGATGCACGCATGAGAGCCTCGCTACGGTTCATGTCGCTGGCAATCATGTTCAACAGCTGGAAGATCGAAGGCACGTATTGCTGAAGAGCAGGAGCTGCAGAGATGTGTTAGCGGATAGAACAGAAACAGGATCGAAATCATGATCAGATAAGACTCACTCTTGCCACCGGACTTCATAGCTCCGATGATACCACCCCAAGCATCCATGATACCCTCGCGAAGAGAGATGACGTAGTCGTACATCTCGTACGGGCCCTCAGGACCGGCGTTGACAGTCGCCGCCTGCTGCAAGACCTGAGCGATGACGGACAGGTATGTCTCAAAGTGGCCGCCAATGGCGCCAGCAATGTCGCCGAAGCACTGCAAAATAGCAGGCTTGAACTGGTTGCTCAAGGCGGTGCTCTATGAGAAATGTTAGCAAGGCCCTACTTATACGTACAATGCCAGCCCAATGTCGTATCCGACAACACTTCGAGAGCCGATTGGCGGTGATAGCGTACCTTGAGGTTGTGAAGCAGGTGGTTCATGAAGTTGTCGCAGTACGGCTGGCTGCGCTCGCCAAGGGATCGCGTCAGATCGCTGACAAGACCGATAGCCATAGAGCACAGAGCGGGCTCCTCCTGGTTTGACAGAGCGTTGTACAGGAAGGGAGTGAAAGCTTCCATGTACTTGGAGAAGTCCTCCTCCATAGCGTTGGCCAGAGCGCTGATGGTAGCGAAGATACCATCGGGGACGCTAGACTTGTTGCCGACGGTGCTCAGAATCTGGAGCAGGGTCTGCATGATTCTGTCGCCCTGAGGAACAATCTCCTTGTCGAGTCTCTGGATGATGGCCTGGAGAACGGTGCACAAGCTAGTTTGCATCTCCTCCAGCATGATCCTGTCCTCAACACTAACGACCTGGGTCTGCATGGGAACGGTACCCTCGAGACGCTCGATGACGACGCCGGAAAGGGAGGCGATGGGCTGCATGCTCTCGCTAGCAGCGTTCTGCACAAAGACGTTGAGAACCTCGTAGGCGGCGGTGCGAACGTACGAGTCGCAATCGGGGCGGGCCGTGAGACCAAGCAAGTTGGTGACACTCTGGTTGAAGTGAGGAGTGAGAGGGTTCTGGGCGGCACCAAGGTCGCCAGAGAAGCGCTCGGCCAAGTTCATCAGGGCCCAGCAGCACGAAGATGCTATCTTTGCGCTGCTCATGAGGCCGTTGAACAGAGATCGAATGAGGGGGTCGAGGTGCTGGTTAGGGTCGATGCTGTCGGACACGCTCTCAGTGATGCGACCAAGGGCATAGGCGGTCGAGTCCTTGACGTGCAGGGAGCTGTCGTCCATCATGCCGATCAGGATAGGAAGAGCCTGCTTGACGATGGGGTCGAGGACCTTCTCATCGGGGCCGTCCATGATGGCGCCGAAAGCAGAAACGGCGGCATCACGGTGGTGCCAGTCTTCGGCACGCAGGTTGCCCTCAACAAATTGCAGCACGGGGCTGATGATAGCGGCACCGATGGCCTGAGCATAGAGTTGAAGACACTGGTAGGCGGCGCGGGCCAAGTTGTACTCGTCATCGGCCGCATCCTCGTCCTGCTTGGTCAGAAGCAGAAGGAGAACGGGCACAACCTCGTTAGCTGCTACGCGAGCGAAGTTGTAGAAGGGTCTCATCTGGTCGGCGCTCTCGACCTGGGCGTTGTCGTCCTCGATACCGATCTCCTCCTCGCAGACGGTGCTCCAGAATTCAACAGCCAGCTTGGCAACGTCCTCGTCCGAAGACTTCATGCCCAGAATGGTAAGACCGAAGAGAGCCTTCTCCATGTAGAAACGCATGTTGTCGTAGTAGAGACCCATGATGCGGTTAAGGCATCCAAAGGCGCCCTGCTGTATCCGGGAGTCATCGGCCTGGGTGGCCTCGCAAACGACCTGCATGATATAGTTGCGCTCGCCCTCGTGCTTGAAGTTGTTGCCAACGAACTCGAGCGAGTCTCCCAAGGCCGTGATGGCGGCCAGGCGGACCTCGAGGCTCGTCTCCTCCTTGCGGGCACCCTGAACGACGGCGGTCAGGATGGCGTTGGAGTGAGCAATGAGAGCCGTTCGCAGATCGGGATCTTGGCTTTCGCAGATGTAACCGATCGTGGTCAAGGAGGCCTGCTTCTGGTGTTCGCCACCCTCGCTAATATTCTTAACAAGGATGCCCATGAGGTCCTGCCACTGACTTCTCGGCAGCTCGATCGAAGCGATGGAGGAGATGACCTGAGCAGCAGCCTGACCGGCCTGGGAGTTTGAGGAGCCGAGGGTCTGCAGGGTCAAGTTCTTGACCTGCGTCTTCGTCTCTTCGTCGGTCTGTTGGAGCCATTTTGCCTGGAGCTCTTGGTGACGGGCAAAGTCACGGGCAGTGAAAGCGTTCTTCAGGGCGAGACCTGCGGCGGCACGGATGGAGCCATCGGCGTTGTCGTTTGCAAGCTCTTGGACGAGGGTTGCGAGGTATAGGGGCTGTTGGGAAGGATGGTTAGCAAATTTGCCAGCGGCGGTGGGGGGAGGGGGGACTCGGGATGCAAAAGTGGGCGGGCACGTACGAAGTTGTTGTCGGCTGCTTGTGTAAGTTGCTGCTCGGCGGCGTTGCGCAAGTTCGCGTCTGTTCAGAATGTTAGCATGACCATGAAGGTTGTGGCAGTTTGTTGATGCGCGATGTGAGGGCGGAAGCCAAGAAGAGCAGGTTCTGTTCACATTGCCCTGGCGACAATTTGGGGGAGACAGAAGGGGGGATGGATAGGATTTGCTGGAGAGGCAAACCCTGGCAGGCGCAGTGAAGAATGAACGAGACCAAATGACGACGAGGACGCGAGAATAGCTTACCTGGCGACAGCGAATTGGCCAAAACTTGGTTGATCTCTGAGCCCGACATGTTTGCCGCTCTCAATGTGTGGTGGTTTGAAGGAGGTAAGGCTGAGCCAGTGCCGATGTTTGGAGAGGTTCGGAGGGGGGCTCGTTGACAGGTTGCACGTGTCAGGAGGTGGGAGGGAAAGGGTTCAGCAAGGCACCGCAGCTGAGGTCAGAGCAAAAGCGGGAGACGCGGGGGTGTTTTGGCGGCGGCGGCTGGTCTAGGCAGAGAAGACAGGACCAGAGGTTTGGTTTGGTTGGCGTAAGGTGGTGTGTGAAGCGGGCGCCAGGGGCAGGGTCGGCAGTGCGTTGAGAGAGCAGCGACCTTGGGAGAGTTGGTAGGCGAGGTGGGAGGATGGATGGGTGAGAATGACCGGAACCGAACGAACGGACGGCTGAGAGGGAAAAGGGAAGAGAGAGAGAGAGAGAGAGAGAGAGAGAGAGAGAGAGAGAGAGAGAGAGAGAGAGAGAGAGAGAGAGAGAGAGAGAGAATGTGCCTGTATTGTATCTGTGTGTGAGAGAGATGACAGAAAAGGGTTCGCTCAGGATTCCGAATTAAAATGATGCGCCAAAGGACAATGTCTCTTGGTAAGGCCTTTTGCCAGAATTAGAGGGCGTACCGTAAAGAAAAGATAGTTGCGACAATAAGCAGGCGCAGAAACCGGGTGGTGAGTAATGTGAGGATTTTTATGGTTTTTATTTTGTTTCCCCAGTCTCTTCCCTTTGGGTTGGTGAAGGAGAGGAAAAAATAGGAGCGGGACCTTGACGAGGTTGTTGACGATCTCAGGCTGCCCAGTTACAGTGTTGAAATGGCCCGCTATGGTACGCAGTTCTGGGGTGCCGTAATAAGGTAAGAGGTAAGGTAGGTAGGTACCTCAGTCAGGGACATGAAAAGCAGCAGGAGCGATAGAGGAGAGCGGGCAGGATGGGAAGGGGGGAATGACGGTGACAGCGGGAGCATCAGAGACAGCATACAATGGGCGGTGAATACGCATAATCCCCTGGGAAAAGGCACCTCAGGTAGCAGTAGTGGATGTCTACTCGTCACCTCTACTGTTTTTTAGTTCGTCTTGTTGCTTAGGTTCAGCAAGGTCTCGCACCTTCTTCTCTACTACTGATACCTACTTACGGAGTACCTCGTGGACAATACCGTACCTTCCATACCTTACAGTGCGGGACATGCAGCTTCAAGAGGTAACCCGTCATCCATCCAATGGAAATGCAAAACCGCCACTTTCTACAGGCTGACGAGGTGACCCGACAGTGGGCAGCCGATAGGGGAACAAGGGCAAAAAAGAAACGACCGAAAAAAAAAATTAAGACGTCGTTAAATGAGTGTGGGGAAGGAGAGAGGTTTCTGATGCACGAAACCGAGGAGGGGTCGTTTCCGTCTGCTTCTAGCTTCGTCCGCTCCTGCACTTTGGAAGTTGTTGCCTACCTTACCTTCCCTATGACTTGTACAGACGAGGAAGGCACGGGAAACGAGAAACACTCTTTCTCCCTTACTATGTATGCTGTTGCATCTTCAACGGCACTGCAAGTCCGTTTGAGCGTTGCTTTTCTGGAGTCTCTGGACCGTTCTCAAGACAGCCAGGGGACATGCTGAACTTTCGGCCAAAATATGAATCAACCGAGGGCGGGGAGGGGCAGAAGGTGAATCAAAATAATGAATGAGGCACTCTGTTTTTTCCTTTCCTATTGCGGCATGCCTTTGGCACCGTGTGGTCCCGCTTCACCTGTACGTATCCGATGGCTGCCTAGAACCAAGAAGAAGTTAGGCGCTCATCATCCAGTACCTGGACTCAGGGCATTCCTGCACTATGGTGTAAGTACCTCCAGATCCTTGAATATAGCGTCTTCTGTCTTTGCTCCATTTGAACCCAGATTCATCTCACCAACACCGAAAAAACAGACAGTGAGGCTAACCTCATAAGGGCAGAAACCCCACACAATGGACGGGGAGACTCACAATGGGGCGTCAGGGCTGCAGCTGCGCATGGCGTTGCCGGGCTGCCTTTTGACCCCTTCGCTTCGTTCTCTGTCAATATCAAGAGTCAGCTATGTTTTCCTGACAGAGACAGTTGTTGAGAATGCAAAAAATCAAAAGTGAAATGGTTCTTTGTTCGCCGGACTCAAAGTTCCAGCACAATACAGAATACAACTTGTCCCCCTTGCCCTTGGTCAGCCAGGTCAATGGTAGGCAATGGTCAGCAGCCCAATCCGACGCTGCCCCTCTTCTCGGCCCATGTTCCGTGCCTACCTTGCTTCACTACCTTAGCTGACTAGCTATCCGTATGGGAGCACGGGAAGGTAGGACAAAACAATACCGCCGGGGTTGAGATAAAGACCATATTCGGGGGTGTCTTGAGACGACTATTTGCTTACCGAACCCAAATAATGCAAGTGCGCAAGGCTTGCTGGCTACCTTACCTTTGGTCCTGCTTTGTGTGGTTGCTGCTGGTCCGGTTGAGTGACAGCCCCCATCCGAGCCCGCAAAAGGTCAGCTCGACGTCATCTCTTTCCCACGCACCTGGATCCGAGCGCCTGCCTTGGCCTCAGCTCGAACCCTACCGCGATTCACGCTGCAAGTAGTTCTGGGTCATCTGACTGTTCGTGGGCACGAATCAGTGAGGTCTCAATGAAATAGAATCGACCTTGGTTTGCTGAAGAGTGGCCGAAATACCTGCTCTGTGAAAGACCAGGCTCGATTTTGGTCAAAGGGAAACCACGAGTGGCCCATCAAATACACCTCGTTACATGGTCTGAAACGCACTATTAGCGTAAACGTTCTTTGGATGGATTCACTGTTTTGTTCTTCGGGAGCAAACACATAGACCAGCTCTCAAGCTCGCCCAGCATCTCACGGGGTGAGTATTTACATGCATCGTGAGGTCGTAAAACACCACGAGTTGCAACGGACGACTACTAACCTCACACGACACGAGTTCATGTTACTTGATCCCTCATCTGCAGCCGCAGTGTATCGAGATAATTGCAATTCATTTGTATACCTCGATTATCTGCAGTCTTCTGTAATACGCCTTGACAATGCCATCCTGTGTGCGTGTGTGCTCCTTGGATGTCCATACTCGCCACGATTGAGAGGAAGGTAACCCGAGTTGAGAGCAATCGAGCCCTTTAAAGAATAGACTCGCAGTCGCCCCCTCTTATATGGAGGAATAGCGCAGCTATCTCCTGCTCGTGTGGCAAAGGTCAAGATCCCAGTCATCGTTTCAATTCGAGTTGACCACTGGATGGCCAAGTGGCAGGGCTGCCTCCTGGGTCCCTAGTCAGTTCTGACTGATGTACCTATTACAGCATCATGCCGTTGCTTGTACCTCCTTTCCGTTATTCGAAGATGATTACTTTCGAAATAATGAGAAAGTAGTCTCACAAATGCTGCCTTTCGAACCTCTACCCAAGCCCTTTACCATACTCTCTTACCGCCGCCGGAAACACCCCCTGGAAACGTGAGACAGCAACCTTAGGCTGGGCGATCTTGCCATTCACGTTCTCCAGACTGATGGTGGGCTTAGAAAGAGAGAACTAGGCATGCGCCGCCTCAGGTTCTTTTATACCATAGAAGAATCTCACCTGATGCTCCAAGGGCAAGAACAACATAGCAAAGAAACAGGAGGACTATCAGTCTTTAGTCCTAGAGTAAAGACCGATCAACCCAGAGCCTCGGATGGATCTTAGGTCTATACATCAACACACAATGTGCACCTGGCCTTGGAGCTTTCCGTCGCGTCCGTCCTTAGTAATAGAACGAGCTCAAATCGCAACTCGACCATGAGCTCCAAGTGCCTACTCATACAGTACTGTTTCAACACGAAAGCTCCCTACGTATCAGCGTAGATGAGAAGGATTAGTCAGTTCAAAGGAAGGTCATCCTAGGCAGACCTATAAAAACCCCCTCCATCGTGCCGTATCTATTCTACCTCGGCAGGCTACCAACGAAGGCCGAGGCGGAAGAGCAACATTCCGGCGCGATATATGATCGACGGTCTACCGATATGGCTTTCAAATCGTTGATTTCACGTCGCGATCTATTCTCCAGGCCAGACCGTGGTAGAGCTCCGGGGCAGGTTCTCAAAGCACATCCCCTAGCAACACCCTTCTTCTGCCCTAGGGTATTCATCTCATAATACGACGTAGGCGGCGGATAGAGTACGTCCATAGGTAGACAAATCATGTTACCTCTGTATGCATTGAACATATTTATGCGGGTACGACAAGCCCAAATCGGGTCGCGCATAGCTACCTTCGGACCAGAAAGACTGGATGTCCTTCCTGTACCAGGCTCTCCCTCTGGCAATCACAATTGCACACAAGGTGGTTATTGAGCTCGAAACCAGTTGGCTCGTGACCTGTCTTTATATCTAGACACTATTGTACCTACCTACGTGCGAGGCTGACTTCCGAGTATCAGAAGTTTCAAATTGCACTGCCAGCTATCAGGTTCTATAAGGGAATTTGCAATGCCCTAAAGAGCAAGAGTACTGCGCGAGACTCGTAAATACACAAAGCTCATGAGATCCCCGTCTTTGACTGTCGTCAGCTCGCTTCAGCTCTGATTTGGTCGATGACAGGGGAACTAAAGCGTGATACAAGACGCGGTTTCCCGTTGGCATAACTAAAGTGCTCAATGTAGAAAGGGGGAAAAGGCCATCGACCATGCTACTACATCACCGGCAATCGACATAGTGTCATCTCATCATACATGCCATTCATTTATCCTTTTGTTTTGTGAATATCTCTCTTCCCCCCTGGATATGCATTTTGAACCAAACTTTTCTCATGTCCCTATATGCTTGAAAAACAAAACAATAACCTGTTGCCATATAGCCCTTCCCTTACAAGCCGTTCGCCTTCTCTTCCAGAACGGATACAACATTCGGTACTTCGCCGTTGGTTCCGTTCGTTGACTCGAGATCCAGCTCCTGGCTCATGGATCTTGAGGGAATGGGCTTGCCGATGATCGGGCTACCCGGGCGGCTGCCGACAAACTATGAATTCGATTATTAGTACTCGACTACACCATGTAGAGATGGACAGGGGACTCGACTTACGTTGCTGGCAGCACTCAACAAGGCCGTCAGAGAACTCTGGACCACATCCTCGTGGATACCGATACCCCAGTACTTCTGCTTGGTGCCCGTGGCCGTGCACTCAATGTACGTGGCGGCCTTGACATCACGACCGGCACCAATAGCATGCTCCTTGTAGTCTTCGACATCCAGAGTGACGCCCACGCTCTTGAGGGCATTGGCCAAACTAGAAATGGGACCGTTGCCGCGTCCGCGCAGCTTGTACTCCTTGCCGTCGATGGAGACGACGCCCTCAAACACACGCTTGAGGTTCTTTGTGTCCTGGGTCTTGCCCGGCTGGGGCGGCGCCGGGGACTGCGAGCGGTCGGGCGCGATGCTGTAGTCGACAATGGTGAAGCGCGGGTTGTCGCGGAGGTAGTACGTCGACTCGAAGAGGTCCGTGATCTCGTCCGAGAGGAGCTCGCGACCGAGCTGGTCGGCCTTGTCCTGGACGACCTTTGAGAAGGCGACTTGCAGGCCGCGGGGGAGGTCGAGCTGGAGCTTGCGCAGGATGATCCAGGCGGCGCCGCCCTTGCCGGACTGGGAGTTGACGCGGATGATGGCCTCGTAAGTGCGGCCAATGTCCGTGGGGTCGAGGGGCAGGTAGGGGATCTGCCAGTGCTCGTCGTTGGACTTGACGGTCGACTCGCGGACCTGGAAGCCCTTCTTGATGGCGTCCTGGTGGGAGCCGGAGAAGGCGCAGACGACGAGAGAGCCACCGTAGGGGGCGCGGGGGTGGACGGGGATCTTGTTGCAGACCTCGACCATGTCGATGACGCGGTTCAGGTCCGAGAAGTCGACGTTGGGGTGGACGCCCTGCGTGTACAGGTTCAGGCCAAGGGTGACGAGGTCCACGTTTCCGGTGCGCTCGCCGTTACCAAAGAGGCAGCCCTCGACACGGTCGGCGCCAGCCATCTGGGCCAGCTCTGCGGCGGCGACGGCGCATCCGCGGTCGTTGTGGGGGTGGAGGGAGACGGCGATCTTCTCGCGCTCGGTGACGTTTCTGCAGAAGAACTCAATCTGATCGGCGTAGACGTTGGGGGTGGACATCTCGACGGTGGCGGGGAGGTTGAAGATGATGGGGACCTCGACGGTGGGCTCCCAGGCGGCCTTGACGGCCTCGCAGATGCGGACGACGAACTCGGGGGAGGTGTCGGAGAAGGTCTCTGGGCTGAACTCGAACTGCCAGTTTGTGCCGGACTGCGAGGGGTCGTCCTTGGTCAGGGAGCGCACCAGCTTGGCGCACTTGACGGCGAGCTCGACGCTCTCGTCCTCGCTGAAACCAAACACTACTCTACGGAAGCACTCGCTCGTGGCGAGGTAGATGTGGACGATGGCGTTCTTGGCACCCTTGAGGGACTCTACTGTCCTCCTGATGAGGTCCTCACGGCAGGGGGAGAGGACCTGGAGGTATACATCGTCGGGGATGGCGCCGGGGGTCTCGATGAGGCGGCGGGTGAAGTCGAAGTCGGTTTGCGAGGCAGAGGGGAAGGATACTTCGATTTCCTTGTAGCCCAAGTCGCACAGCATCTTGAAGTAACGCCACTTCTCGTCACCGTTCTGTGCAAGGAAGCCATGTTAGTGCCACTACTTCGGAATATTTCGAAAGGACCGTAGAGCAGACGAACCATTGGGTCAACCAAGCTCTGGTTGCCATCGCGCAAATCGGTCGACAGCCAGCGCGGGGCTTTTGTGATGGTCTTGGAGGGCCATTGACGGTCCGGGAGGTTCAGAGCCGGGAAGGGCTTGTATTTCTTCCACGGTTCCTTGAGCCTGGCATCAGAGCAATGTTAGTCTGAAATCCCCAAGGCGAGTTTGTGTCGAGTGCATCGTGTGGTTTTCGGGCGGCAATTGAGTCACGTACATGGGCATCTTGGGCGAGTGCGGGGCAGTTTTTCAGGTCGTGATCGGAGGGGCGGATCTGGTCCTGGTGGGATGGCGTCACAGTCTGGGATGGAGAAAACGGGTGAGAAAGAGAGAGTAGCTTGACCAGCGGGGAGGAAGCAAAACGGTCAGAAGCTAAAGAGGGTATTTGTAGAAGAACAGTCGATGGAATTGTAATACAGAGTCAGGGGTGGAAGGGAAGGATAGGAAAGGGAAAAAAGAATTGAGTCACAAAGTTCGTAGTCGCAAAGATCCGGGGACTACGAGCACGGAGGACGTGGAGAGCCATGGCCCCCCCTCCTCCACCAGAAACGGCATTAAGGGAAGAGAACGGCCCAAAGGTGTATGCATGTACCTCACACGCTGCCTATGATCAAATCTCTCGCTATTACTTTTATGTTGTTTTGGATTTTTGCTTTGCTGGATTGGACAGAATCTTGTCATTAAAGCGGCCATTCGCATGTCTAGACTTTCCCATCACTCCACTTACTGCCGTTGCCTGTCACTGTATGGCACAAGTAAACGCACCTAGAAGGCTTCAATCCCGTCCCGCATGCCGGCCGGGGAAAACAGCACAAGGCACCATCAAGGCAAGTTTTCAAGTCATTGGATGGATGTACATGTAGTCTGCCCTTTCCCGCAGCGCAGGGCCGCAAATCGGTGCCCAGCTCCTTCGCATTGGACGAAGGCAGTTGCACCAGCCGCAATTGCCAAATCAATCTTTTTTTTTTTTTTTCACCCTTCACTTAACCCAAAGTAAAAAATCTTTTTTACTTTTTTACCCTCCTTCGCCCTTTCTCCAAATTCAATGTCAAGGCGGGGCAACAACCCGTGCCCACAGACCCCACCTTACGCCCTCTGGGACGCCCTCTGGACGACATTCAACGGTTCTTATTGGCTGGTGTCACCGGTTGCGGATGGCGGGGTTGGAAGTTGCGCAACAGCAGGCGGGCAGCAACCGTCCATGGCGGGCAGGCACGCAGGATACCTAGCAATGCTGTCATTGCGGCCAATTGTAGAGCAAAACGGCTATTACTCGGCCGTCACACCAACAGTTGTCTGCATCTACCTAGGTACCTTACTTTTGTTACTTTTGTTCGGAAATCTATCAATTCCGCTCTGGCCTTCGTCTGATTTCTTCATCGTGGTAGAGGCTGCATAGACTGACTCGTTCTCTCCATCTTAGGTAGGTAGGTACTCGAAGAAGACAATGCCCTTCCAGAACAATTGGAAACCCACTACAGTTACAAGTTCGCTGTTCAATCTGAAAGCCAGATATGATAATAGACAGTCGTTGAACGTATGCCGAACCTAGCCGGCCGTGTAATCCAAGCCCATCTCCGAACATCGCTCGCAAATTATTCAAGTTTTCCGCAAGAACCCCACGGTCAACTTATCGTGTGCCATGTGGTGGCCCGGAAAGGAGTCGGTGATGGGGCGGACGGGTCCACCACCCTCTTAGCCCCGGCCGATGACCGGCTCGGTTTGCATCGCACGTCCAAACTCCCTTCACCGCGACTCTCTCCGCGATCGATGAGGCTGATCGATGCAACCGAATTTTCCAATGGGAGAGGTTGGATTTGACTTGATGCGGCTGACTCGGAGCTTCGACTTCTGGGGTCTCTCCAAAAAGCCGATGGTTTCCAGAGGTTGTTGGTTGATGAGGTGACTTATGACCTGGGATATACAATACGCCCTTCTCCACAGCCGGTACTTGATACGGTCCCTAGACATCATCTTCCGCCTCAAGAGATGAGAGTGATCCTGAAGCCCTCCTCAAGTATGCGGCCTCAACTCCCAAAGTAATTCCCTACTCCAACTACAAGAATTTGGCAACGTAGCACACATAATCCTCCAGGTTTCGATGGTGATGAAAGCAGCCACTCTTGTGTCACTCCAGCCGTTTGGCAACCTTGGCCACGCCAGCTCCGTCATGGGCTGAGTCACAGCTGAACCCAGATGTCTCAAACTCCGCACATCCACTTGCGACTTCCTCATTCGAGAAAGTCGTAGGTGGCCAGCAACGTCGTCTAGCAAAGTGTCACCCCAGGCACCATGAGTAATTAGCATGCGGAGTGGATAGCTGAGAAGCCGCTTTCCGATGTATTCTTTCAGTGCACGTACTCCGTATACTAGTTTCAACTGAGAAGGCGTCCAGCAACGGGGTCTGGTATGCGTTGAGAATTGAAATTTTGTCACGTTTTTTAGGGTGTACATGAGATCACGCAATGGTCAATTGGGAAGCGAGAAGTTTGTTTGAAATCCGATTGACGTCTTCGTCTAAGTAGGTCTATCTTCGTGACAGGCGGATGCTATTTACAACGACAGGGCCACATCGATCTGCTGCTTTGTCTCGCAGTGGAGATGTGCTCTGCGTGTGGGGGAATATATACGTCCAACAATTAGACAAAATGTCTTCCCAGAAAGCCTGGGGAGACCAGAAAAAACTGCCCGAGGCAACCAGCGATAGAAAGTGTGTCCAGTGTCCACCTCTCCATCACATGTGTTCAGCCCCAAAGAGTTGGTGTGTGAAATATGTACACAGTTAGAAGAGAGCGAGCCATTAGAGACAAGGCATCGGCCGTGAGAAGCATGCTCATGTCGATCTGATCCTGATGATCCGCAAAAACAAAAAGAGATGGTTAAAAACACTGCGCTTTTCCCCGCTTGGTACCGTTGACGCCCAAAGATTTGAAAATCATGTCCACCTCGGATCTTTCGTGGGGTATCTTTCTTCTTCTCTCTACCACGTGAAGCTCTCCTCCACAAAGTCGACCACTGTGCCCTCGTCTTGCACCTCTCTCACCGCAGACCTCACGTCGTCAGCGAGAGCACCGGGACCGCAGATGTGGACGCACATGGCGCCTTGCTGCTCCGACACCTCACGCTTCATAATCAGAGGAATATTGGGGCGGCCAGGGAACATCTGGACTGTGTTGGATGCCGAAACAATCTGCTGAGAGTTCTGAGGGCGAGTGATGTATAGCTGGATACGGAGGATGTCCTTTCGATTGGGGAGGCGAAGGATAGTATCCATCCAGGGACGAACCCACTCGAGAGCCTCGTAGTCACGGACGATCCAGACGAGGGTGATGCGTCTCGTGGCAACGCTGCCGTTGTTGTAGCCATCGATGAGGGGCTTGAGGTAGGAAATGCCGTGGGTGATGCCAGTAGCGCCGGCGAAGAGGACTGCGTGACCATATGAGTCGAGCGAGTGATGGCCACTGTAGGGACCTTCAACACAAGCCTTCATGCGGATGGCGCGATCACCGCTCTGGCGGGCAACGTTGTAAAGATCACGAGTGAAGCCGCTCTGAGCACCAATAATGAAAGAGATGGAGGTCGTTGTGTTCTTCTTGTCAATGGCAGTGAGCGTTGCCTTCTCCTCGTCCACTCCAAGAGGCAGCGAGCGGTGGTCAGGAATATGCTCAACCCAGCCGATGGAGAAGGGGTGGCAGTCCCAGGGGCGGATGTCCTTGAATCTCAGGTAGGCGTGAGTGCCGGGCTTGACGTCGACGTAGCGAGGGAGGTTCATGGTGACACGAGTGCACTCGCCAGGAACGGCCTCGACAATGGCATCGGTGGTACCGCGGTCAGACCAGTTCATGTAAGCGACACGAACAATGCGGGCCATACGCTCAAGGAACCAGAGAATGAAGATAGCAATCATCCAGGGGAGTTGAGGAAGGCCACCCGGCAGGCCAGCGACGGCGCAGTGGATGTAGGTCATCAGGAAGATGAAGAATGCGAGGATGATGTGGACGTTGAGGAAGGTCTCGTAGAAGGCGTGGCGAACGGGCGAGAACGACAAAATCATGATGACAATGAGAGCGAGCGTACCAGCCATGCCCGAGCCGATGAAGAGCTCGTTGGACATCCTATGCCAAACGCCATCCCATCCGCTGTCGGCGATCTGGACAATCAACCAGGCAATAGTGTGAAGGACAGCCTCGATGACAGACATGCGGCCAACCCATCGGTGAAGAAGGTTGTAGGTGTCGAAGCTAACGTGAAGCATGCCGATCAACGGGTTGTTGCGGCCGGCAAGAATGATGAGCGGCACCATGTTGACGACGGAGAGTGTGCCGGAGCGACCACGGAGTTCAGCGCAGAAAGAGTACAGATTGGCATTCTCCCAGTTCAGGAAGAACATGTAGATCATGTTGCTGGCGATATAGAATCCGAGGATGACGCTGTGCATGCGAGAAGGCAAGGTGCCGATGCCGATAGCGCTCGAGAGCTTGATCTCCTTGTTGTGGCGCTTGTTCCAGAGAGGGGCGTACATGAGATGTTTCTTCAAGCTGGGCATCCAGTTCCACTGAGCCGTCTTCCAGTAGTTTTGCCTCTCACCCTCAACTGACATGGCCGAGACGTGACGAAGCTGGGCCCAAAGGATACGGCTGATGGTGATAACCAGGACGACAATTGCCATTCCACCAAAGCTGGCCCAGAGCATGTCCTTGAACAGCATGTTGACAGGCTGGTTTACACCAGCAAGGTTGGAGTGGTAAGGAGAGATGGTGGAGGTGGCCTCAGCCGCCCCCGTTGTGGCAGCGGCATGAGCACGTTGTTGAAGGATCTGGGTGGGGATAAAATCCGCCACCAGGCCGGCGATCCTGCGCCGGTGAGAGTCCATCTGGTCAGATGTATTGTTTGTGTTTGCTGTAAATCTCAAAAGTCGAGTATGAAAGGTGAAGGAGTGTTCGTTTCTCCCGAGGACGTGAGCTAGATAGCCTCGTTCGGTTGGGCTAGGCTATTTTGCTAGAACGGTCCGGCAGGCGCGAGAGCGAGGAGTCGGATTGTTATCGAGAAAGACCGGTCGGTTACAATATCATTGTGCTTCGGGTCGAGAGCAAAATGACAAAGAAAGAACGGGGATAGCAGGCCTGTTCCGAATAAGTGAAGCGGAAGCCTTTGTAAGTATCAGCACAGTGTCGGTGGTGACGTGTGATGAGTCGAGGTGCTGCAGGAGACCGAGTCACTGAGGAATGCGTCCAACCTCGAGGTGAGTGATGAGCGGAGCTGAATGACGGAGCGTCAAGTCAACCAGGGGAATTAAAATCCGGATGGTCGTTGCGTCGATACCCTGGTGCTGATCGTTTGCCTGGAAGCGAGTGCGGTCGGTGTATTGGCGATCCAAATGAGGTCAAGGTCGATCTGAATCTGGCCGAGCAGCAGCCGGTTGAACAAATTGAGAAAAGGCAAGTGGCTGAAGTTGACGTATGAGAAGACGGGGGGACGAAGCAACGTCAATATATTGTGCGTCTCTCAGGTGGTCCTTCGCAGTGTCTCGTGCCGCGTCCTTTTCGGAATCGAGGAGCCGAAATCCCTTCTGTCGAGTGTGGAGAAGTTGAGCAGGTGAGTGATGGGGATTTTCAAAAAAGCTGAAAAATGCCCGGACTGCTGGATGACGAAAATGAAGTAAAACAAGACCACGGAGACGTTGACAATGTCTTGAATGTGATGCGTAGCGCGAGCTTTTTTGGGTTGTCTTGGAATGAGAGAGAAAACGAATGTACACCGCCGCTGACGGAGTTGGATTGAATGGGAAAGAACGAGCGTGGGTTTGTTCGATATTCGAAGGCAGAACCGAGCGCTGATTTGCCGAAAGGGAGGGGGAAGGGGGGTGTGTGTGAACAAGCGAGTATTCTCACGTGGTTTTAGTGAATGTGGAAAATGTTTTTCAAGGAAGGTGCAAACGGTGCAAAAAGAGCAAGAAAAAGAGCGTGAGGGAAGGAAGGTGCAGTGAGGGTGGTGATGTGGTTGTAAGTTCCAGAATGAGGTTGGAAGGGTCGGGTTCAACGGTCGTTGTTTCCGTTTTTGCCTGGCGTTTGGTGGGTGGTGTTCGTCCAATGACCTCAGATGTTCAGTTCCCCCTGCTCTTTCTTTCGTTGCTCAGTCCTTTGTTCCTCGAAACAAGTCCAAATCGGTATCCACCAAAAGAAGAAGAATACGTGTAACGACGTCGAGTGTTGTCCAGCCTCTCTTTTGCAAAGAAGAAAAATATCGAATTCCAGAATTCCAGTCGAAAGCGAACCGTCTCACCGAAAGGAGACCGAAGAGAGTCAGCGTGACAACGGGCGAGGAGAAACAGAGAGTGGTTGGGATCACCGGGCGTGGAGAGGGCGATTAAGGTACTTTAAAGAGACTGGCTGGGACGGGCCATGAAAGACCTCCTGCGAGCCACGACGGGGCCGGGGGAGACCCACGGTAGCGCCGCCGAGAGGCTCCTCTCCTTCTACTAGGTAGGCGTTGGCTCCTCTTGAGGCGGCCTGGACTGGAAGTTGCTGGGCTCTAGCTGGGAAGGGCAACATGGTCCATTCCCAAATCCCCCTGGATCTGAGGTGGCGTGCAAGGGCAAACGGGAATGACTGGATCGACTGGACCTCACAGCCCACGCTTGACTGGTTTCTGCCAGCTTCTTGCTCATCTATTCGCAGGTACACGCAGGCTCCAGCACTCCCAGCTGGCTTCGGCAAGTATCCGTTACCAAACCAGGATACAGATACAGACAGATACGGGGACTCCTCTGCGCCAACAACCTGCCGAGCATTCTTACGAACGAGACGACGACGAACCAAGGTCGGGCGGGCATGGCATGGCATGGCACAGCTTGGTACCTGCGTGGCCCTCACATACGCGGTGCGCTAGCCATGTACCCCTTTTCCACTCCGCGGCTACGTGCGACTGCCTTGTCAGCTTGATACCGATTTCAGTCCTACCACTTGAACCGTATAGAGTACTACAGACGCGCAATTCTCTACTCAATGGTCAAAAAGAGGAGCAAACCCAAGGGTACCAAGACCACATCTGCCCACCGAGCCGTCAGTCTAACCCTATTCCGATCCTATGGTTGCTGGAATGGAATCACTGCGCCTTGCACATCGACCCACGTACCGGTGTTGCTCATGCCAGTGCCAACTGACGACCCCGGCGGAGATGGCGACTGGAGCACGGAAAGCAAGTCAGCGATGCAGGAACAGGAATAACCCAGGAAAGCAAAGGGACTTCGCACTTTGTGCAAGACTGAGGTGAGAGTGGGATAAAAGGAGGGGGTCATGGCCAGCGGTCAAGAAGAGGCAAGTCGCTCACGGTGAACGCAGGGATGTCACTGACGGGGGGATACGTACACAAGCACTTTATTCTGTACACACAGGGACAGGCTCTAAGGGAGTCGATCCCTGGTCGCCAATCATTGAGATCCAGCGTTACCGTTCGCTGAGGCTGAAGGGATGGCCCCTGGCTGCTCGGCCGCGTTGATTACCATAATTTTCATTCGCTTCCCTCGTCTCTCGACAACCCAACACCTTAATTGTTCTTCCGGGGGCCATTCATCGTCGAGTCTTTATCTTGGGACGGGTGGAATGCTAGGGGATAATGTGTTCTCTCCTTCATCGTCAAATCTCATGCCGCAAACGGTCTCACCCTACGCCTCGGTCATCCCAAAATCAGGGACTTGGGGTCCTCAGGGTCTACGGGTCAATTGGAACAAGGCGTGCTCGCTGCACAATTGCAGACTCTGTTGAAAGCTCATGGCTCGGTAACTTAGGACACCGCTGCAACTGGCCATTGCAGCTCCCTTGGCTTCTCCTAGCGATTCCGCCGAGCCGTCGTTCCTAGCCAAACGTGCAGTCTGAATGGCCGAGTGTTTCCAGGCTTTTCGCTATCTGCCTAACCCCTGAGCGATTTGACTGGTCAAAATCGCTTGCCAGTGTGGCAGCGTTGCTGACTGGACTGGGTCTCTCAGAGGGCTTGACAGCCAGCCAAGGGGCCCTCATCCAGGGGCGAACAGACACAGGCTAGGAAATGACAGGGGAAGAGACCGGACGAACAAGGATGCAGGCTCGGGTGAACACTCGCCCTCGACCTATCGGCTAGTGCCAGCTGGACCAGTTCGCGCAAGATGCCAAGCACAACGACCAATCCTTCTCACGAACAGATGCTGATTTGCTGCTTCTCTCTCATGGGTCCGATGAACCTGAACTCGACATGTCTCCTCGGCTTCGCAGATGCTACGAAGCTGCAGGAATTCTCGATTTGCACAGAAGATCCACTAAAGTGACCGAACACGACGGGTCTTTCGGGTCACTTCTGGGCCTCTCATCCACCGTCCAACAAGGACTCCTCTGCCCAGCCGCCAAGGAACACGTTGAGATGAACGAAAAGAAATTCCAATCATTGGCTGGGCCACCGACTTTTCAATCCAAAAGATCCCGTGGTTCCCTTCGTGGTCTCGTCTTGGTGACCCCATGAGCCGACCGTTGGAAACGACTCGTCTAGCTGGCCAGTGTCTCCAAGGCCAGAGACAATATTGATCATGTCCTCATCCGTTAGGACTCCCGTTGGTGCCCATCGGTCATCCGCATCTTCGGGCCCTGTTTGGCGCCAGGCTTGATCTGGTTCACTGAGTTGAGATCCAAGCCGAGACCAAAGCCGTTCGGTCCAGCGCCACGAGGTCACCAACACAGGCTACTCTCGATTCTGCGTACTAGTGTATCAGAAGGCATCCGGATTCCGATGTGGTGTGGAACGGTGACACAGACATTGTTCAGAAACGGGGCCATAAGATGCGCAGCTATCGTCGTATCCATTTAGGACCCAACCATTTTCCTCCCTTTCGGAATTCTGGAAGACACGGCAACTCACGCTCGGGCGATGACGAACTGATGGGTATCCAAAGGAGGAGGGAATTCCCAAAAGGAGTTCGAAAGCCAAGCCCACCATCCACTCATTGCTCAAGCTGTCTGAGCATGTGAATCAGCCCCTCGTCAAAGTCATTAATACACGTCTCAGGCATAATGCGATGCCGTCCCTCTCGGCCGATTCTGCCGTGGCATTCACCTGACGTTCCGTAATACCGCTCCGGAGGTTACCGTGCTCTCAACTCATCAACCAAACTGTCAAGTAATCTTCTTCCTTTTGCCGCGACTGACATCAACGGTATCCCTATCTCGTCTCCCCTGCTAGTTGCAGCTTGCAGGTCGCAGCCGAGGGATCGTAATCGAATGTTAGTCGGATCTCCAGCACTACTAGAACCATCCAGTCGGCTGTTGGACAGATGTTATCTGCCCCTCAATAAAATTTAGACTCATACGCTTGTCATTGAGGATTCCTGTCACGGCTGCAGCTCGCGGAGTCTGTGTGGCCTGTCAGGAATCAAAGCTCGGTCTGATCTTGATAGCAATCAAGACTTTCAGCGTAGGGCACCCCGGCCTTCGCATGGCCCCCGAGACCAAGCAAAAAAGCCAAGATACATAGTAGAGTGTATTCACAATGGACTCCATCGGCGACGGAGCGACGAACCGACTGGGTAAACCATCCCACGTTCTCGTCTCCTTCAAACCACCAGCGAATTTTTTTCAATCGCGCCTTGGGACCTCGCAATTCTCGTCCAGCCGCATACAAATTGCGGGATGTGACGGCGTAGCCGTGCCCGCCGGGGTTCCAGCTCAGTTCAGCGGGGAGTCCCTGTTAAGCGTCGTTGCAAACAAATTAACACATCCGAGCATCCTAGCACTTGGCCTCGGAGCCAGATTCCGTATAGAGGCGTCTTCCCTCCCTCCAGGGCCAGGCTCCCAAGTTCAACGTCCACCATGGGTACTTGGCATCCTCGCAACCGCCTGGCCGGGTCGACAAGATGGGCCGCAGTATCTAGAGGGGCCGAGGGGATTCTGCGAAGGAAGCAAGCCGCCCACTACAAGACGCCAGCAACCTGCCAACGTACCTTGGAGGTCTAGGAGGAGGCCTGGAAGACTGCAGACGTGCGGTGGGTGAAGAGGGGATGCCCCCATGAAGTCATTTGCTTGTTCGGTGACCTATCGTTTCAACGATATTGCAGGCCCCGTCCGCTTCAGGTGAGCGTTGGCATGCATTAGCACACAAACGCGTGCAGATGAAGCCGAGATATTCGAACGGTTCATGAGATTTGTTCAAATTTCCTCATTTTCACTCGTCACTCTAGACTCTATCTGTGTTCGTACGCAGACGCTTCTCTTTCGCGACTAGCCCCTCATCACGATAGGTATCTTCTCCTTCCTTTTTCCCTTGCCGCCCTCTTGGCGCCGGGGCATGCACATTTCCACATCCATCCTGGGCTCAGTGACAACCCAACGCAGAGGGGGTTCGTGGGCGCTTCTGCTCCGTACGCCTCATGGATCTGACCGAGATAGCCGTCCTGTCTCAATCTTGATGAACCAGAAAGCAAACTTGGATACCCCCATCTGCCAACTCCGCCTATCTGTTGACTGCGATCCTTGAAACAAGATGGGATGATGAAATACCTGGTCCAAGGGCCGCGCGTGGTAGGAGCGCGGGGGTCACTGTGGATGCGGCCGGCCAGAGGTTAGGGAGATAGTGCTCGCCTCCAAAAGCTTCCAGAACAATGTTCAGAATCTGCGTATTGTGGGTAGGGCGGTTTGGAGTATCGACAATGAGAAATCGGCACCAGCCAGCAACAGGTGCCGGAAATCTCAAGACAGCTTTCTGGCTTGTGGCCCGAAATCCCGCTTGCCGTCTGTTCATGTCTTATGTAAGCACATCACGCCAAGGAGTCCGGCCAGATGACATAATCTCTTGTGATCCGTGCTTGATTGATGACTAAGGTCGCGGAACAAGATGGCTGTCACGTGCACCTTCGCCGGCCCATCGGAGCTTGCAGCTTGACGACCGTCTGTCACGGTCCGGAAAATTCCATACCATCACGGCCAAACATTCAAATCACCTCTCCAGCCATTGAGGCCGCAATCATGGGTGCCAGCGAGTCAAAGCCGTCCTCCAGCACGCCTCCACACCTGTGGAAGGCGTAAGTTCATCCCAATTGCCCCCGTTCGCAGAATCCATCGGCTGATCCAAGATTCGCGCAGCAGCTCGCCCAGCGGCATCTCCCACGACCTCGTCGAGTCCCTGCAGACCAGCCATGAGGTAAATACTGCCTCCTCCATATAAACCGGAACACTCCCGATGAAAAGCTCTACCTAAAGTGCCCAATCGGAGCCTAGTCCTCCGCCTCGACCTTTTCCATTCGTCCTTCGTCCCTCCCCCTTGGCGCATCTATTCCCTCAAGAAGCCGAAGATCCAATAGCTAACCTCTCGCGCCAACTCAACACAGACTGACGCATCCCGCACGCAACTCACCGAGATCCAAATTCAGCGCCGCGTTGCCGAGGAGCTGAAGCGCCTGCAGGCCAAGGAGTCAGAGGCCCTCCGCCTCGCCCACGACAAGATCGCTACCGAGGACAAGCCCGCGCCCGAGGGTCAGCGCAGCCACGAGAGCGTCAAGAAGGAGGTCGAGGCCCTGCGCGCCAAGCTCGCCGAGCGCAAAAAGGTGCGCGATTTGCCCGAGGCGGTTGAGACGGCGCGCGGCAACGTCGTGCGGTGTCTGCGGGATAATGACCGTCGGCCGCTCGATTGCTGGCAGGAGGTTGAGGCTTTCAAGGAGGAGGTGAAGCGGTTAGAGAAGGGGTGGGTTGAGAAGATTGTCTCGTGAATTGGACGAGGGGAAATGGGGAGTTCCTCTCTGGGTCTGTCTTTGAAAACAGTTGGAGACGGATGGGAGAGGATGGTTTCTTTATTTTGCGTTTTCTTGTGAGCCATGAAGGGGGTTAGAGAGATACGCTGGATCAAGAAGAGAAGAAGCAGGGCAGTAGGACGTGAAAGTGTAACAACATGCTACTGGCGGGCAAACGATACAAGAGAAGAAAAAGTGTATAGATGGCGAATGAATCTTGGTTCACATCATAAGTTCCCCCCTTAATGGAAGTCTTGATTTTTGTTTATTCTTCATATCTCAGTCAGTAGCTCTATCGGGTCTTGTTCTTCTGACGGAGCCTCCTGCTGCTGCGTCTTCAACCTAGCAGCCAACACCTCCTCCTTCCGCCGCAGGCCCTCAGCCCTCTTCCTCTCCCTCCTGGCGTCGGCGTCCTCCCACGCGGCGCCGCCCTCGCCCGTCTTTGGCGGGGGTCCAGCGACGGCCTCCTGCAAGGCGGTGCGGAACCGCGCGATGCGGGCGGCGTTTTCTACGAAGCGCTCGTTGGCGATGTGGAGCAGGTCGCGGAGGTAGTCTGGCGTGACGGTGCAGTGCCGACTTGCGGTGCCGGCGCTGCTGCCTTCGGCGGCGTCTTCATCGACGTAACCGATTAGAGATTCGAGGGCGAGACCCATTGTTCTTACGCCTACCATTGGTGTCACGGGCGATGACGACAAGGCTTCGTCTTCGCCCTGTGATGCGGTGGGGAGGAGGTTCAGGGCGCCGCTCTCTCGGAAACCTGCTGCGAGGGCGCATTTAAGGAGGAGCTGGGCGTGAGATAGAGATGCTGTGAGGACGTGGAGGATCTATGCAGGGGAGGTGTATGTCAGTCATGTGAGTCTTGTTGCTGCGCAGGTTAGGTGTGAAAGGAAGGGTGTGTCTCTGGGGTGACATTGCCTCGGCAGGAGGCTAGTGAGGTAAGGTGAGTGAGTGTGTGCGTGTGTGTGTGTAAATGAAATTATGCATGAGAGAAAACGGGGGACGGTCTTGCATACCATGGGCTCGAACTTGAAGTGAACAAGCCGCTTCCGTCGCCCAGACTGAGAACGACCCAATACCCCAACAGCCCGTCCTGGTTCTTGTCCCGCTCCTCGTCCCGCGTCTTCATCCACGAGACCAAACAAGCGCAGCAGATCCTCGTCGTCGTCGTGCGATCCGGGGACGGGATCGTGCGATACGAACAGCCACGTGCCTCCGCCTCCCTTTCCTCCGGGCCCAGCTATCGTCTCGAGGGCCGCGGCGGCAGGGGTATCATCGCCTTCGTTGTCTTGAGAAGATGATGAGACTGCTGCTGCTGCTGATGCCCGCTGATCCGCTCCTCCCGCCTTACGCCCCTCGAGGAAGACGCTGACGCGCCCCGCGCAGCTGCTCGTCGTGACGAAGCCGTCGAGAGCGTTGAGCTCGTCTATCAGCTCGCGGATGCCGACGTCCACGGACCCCTTGGGCGAGGCGTCGGTGTACTCTGCATCGGGCACGCTGAGCTGTTCCAGGATCTTGTGTTTGCGGGTGGTGAAGGTTGCCGGTGGGACGGGCAGCTGTTTGTGTCCCTGATTCTGCTGCTGCGGTGCCATAGCGCTGCTGTTCCTCCTGGATATGCTCTAAGGTGCCTTGGGCTTGGTAGGATCCTATACGACCTTGGACTTGGGTATATTGTGGTGGGGTGTTTCTTCAACGGAGAGGGGTATTCCTTTCACTCAACCCGGTGGAGGAAATTCTGAATGGCCCTGGGCGACTTTCTTCTGCAGCTTGACTGATTCGGTCGCTGTAAGATGGAAGAATACGGGGTTAGGCGTGTGTTGGGCGTTGAGCTAGTTTTTTCCTTGACGTTGGGCTGCGTGTAAGTGAAGTCTGCCCGCAGGTTAGACTCATCTGAGATGGAAAAAGTGTGCAGTCGTGGGTGCTGTGAGGTACCTCAGCCGTGTGGATTTGGGACTCTATACACAGTGCGTCCTCGGGACGGTAGCCGGCGAACCCAAGCTTGTTGTATATTACCCTACCCTCCGATGCTACCCCAGAAAACTGGTGAACCAGAGAACATGGTTATTGAATCAGGTTATCTGGTGCATATGGTGTTGCGTTTTTAATATATAATCTGACTTGACCGCTGCCACGTCGGTGATCGTTGTCCCTAGCTTTGCGTGTATATGCTCCGTTCATTCGCCCGACGGCGCCGGTATCTTGGATGCCCAGCGTCTATGGTATACTGCTCATGGTATGATTGTCACTCCGTACGTCCTGATTGCGTGCCTGGATCAATACAAGGAAGAACTCGGGAGAGTCCGAACATGCGGTTCACTCGTTTAGGTCACGTCCGGGTAAAATGACTTGGAAAACGCTCATGTCCTATGCGTCAGCTGATCTCGATGATACTTGCAAGGGTTTTCTATTACCCTGATATCATGTAGAGGGTAAATTATCATCATCCTAGGCTCCGTTGCGACATACGTCGTGTATAATTGACGGAGAGGATGACAAGATGATTAGAAATTTTGTGATGTTTCCCACCTACGGGCAATGCATATCGCTTGAACATCCGTCGATGCGTTGCTTGCGTCCTTGTGTTTATCTCCCGCTTCGATACTGATGGCAGCTGTCTCTGACTATTCATTATGCGTAGTCGTTGGATAATAATGAGATGACATTAGTCTTTGTGAATGAAATACTGACCTAGCCACGGGAGCAAGGACGCTTCAAATTTTCTGAAAGTATCACATCTTAGACATCACACTTGTATAAGCTCTTAGTCGAGCAAAGAAGAGTAATGTAGGTTACTATATATTATGAGACAGGCCTTTTGCCCGGCTGACGTTGACTACACTTCATTCGAGTTTTCCCGCCCATCATTCATTTCCGATGACCAGAACGTAGTAGATTATGTTGGAGCCCAGCGATACTCATATTGGACTACTCTTCTGTGTGAGCGAATATTCTACCATGAGCTTGAATCACGTTTCTTGCATGGGTCTCGGTGGGTACGTCAGGAGCTGCTTGCGACACAAGCTCTTTGGGTCACCTCGATCTGAGCTGGTCAACCAACTCCAGGCGCTTCAAGATTCCTGTCTTGCAATGTGATTAAGCGTGCATAGTATCATATAACATTCTCAGTTTTCTGAAGAACCAAATGATTGCAGCAGTGCTATATGAGTAATCCATCGCTGTGGCTTTGGGAAGGTGGTCACGAGATGTCATCTGAACCAATCTAGCTGTCAGAATTAAGCTTTGCAGATGACATGTCAGTGGGCTATCTTTGCCACACCAAATTTCACTTGGGTTGTGTTATGTATGATCTTAGAATACGCCGTCAGTGGTTTCCACTAATCCTCCGAATGCGGGGTCCCTGTGGGACGCAGAGATTAGAGCCTCACCACGTCTCTTTCCTCACTTCACATCTCACTCAAGATCTTCAAGTTTGATTGATCGACTGTTTGATTCATAATGTCTTTTGCTTATGCTATCTACGAAGTAGAATCGAGTATCCGCTGAATGCGAGATACCTCCCGGCCCTTGGCCTGGATTCATCCGGAACGCCTGCATGCTGTCCCGTACCGTCCCTTGATTTTTGTTTCCTCCCTGAACGCCGTCATGCATCATGTATATACAGGTCATTAATAAAAGAAAGCAAGTCCCAAATCGCACCAGAGCCAAGAACAACGCTTCTAGATCGATGCGATGGCCTGCTCCTCCTTCTCCGCCTTGACGATGGGCGCGATGGCCGCCTCGCCCTGCTTCGCCGCCTCGGCCGACGACGCGGGGGCGGCGCCCTTGGCCTCGACGGCCTTGCGCTCCATCTCCTCGAGGTACTGTGCGTAGCGCGACTTCTTGTTGTGGATGCCGCACTCGGTCTTCTGCTGGCCCTTCCAGCGGCCGGCGCGCTCGTCCTCGCCCTCCTTGACGGGGACGGTGGAGTGCCAGTCGCCGACGGACTTGTAGCCCTGATCGAGGAGGTCGTTGTAGGGGACGTTGTGGGTCTTGATGTACTCCTGCACCTGCTTGAAGGACCAGCTGGCCATGGGGTTGATCTTGATGACGCCGCGCTCGTCGTCGACCTCGATGATGGGCATCTTGTCGCGGGCGCCGCCCTGGGAGCGGCGGCGGCCGGTGAGGATGGCGGCGACGCCGAGCTCCTGGTAGGCGCGCTGGAGGGGCTCGACCTTGGCGATCCAGTCGTACATCTCGGCCTCGGTCTCCCAGAGCTTGGGACCGTACATGGCCTCGAACTCCTCGGTGGAGGCGACGCCGTAGGGCTTGAAGATGTGGAGGGCGACGTTGGGGTAGCGCTCCTGGATGCGGTCGACGAGGGTGTGGGTCTCCTTGAAGTGGTAGAGGGTGTCGAGGAAGATGAGGTCGACGTTGGCGGCGGAGGGGTTCTCCTTTTGGATCTTGGAGAGCATGTCGAGGGTGACGAGGCCGGTGAGGCCAAAGGCCGTCGACTGGAAGAGGTTGGGGAACATGATCTTGGAGAAGCGGAGGATGTCGAGGGGGTGCATGTTCTCGAGCTGGTCGTTGAGGTGCTTGAGGTGGGGTTGGGTGAGGGAGATCAAGGGGAGCGCGGGGATGGACGACGATGTCGATGAGGCATCTGTGGCGGAACCATATCCGGACTCGACTTCGACACGATCAAGCTTTGCCGCATCGGCGGCGTTCAACCGAGGAGACGACTCGACGGAGGACGTCTGCGTCGTGGGCTCAGCAACGGCAGCCATTGTGTGAGGTTTGTGTATGAGTTGAGGGAGGAGGGGTTTGATGTGTGGTTGCGAGGCACCACGGGTATATGACGAGTAGTGGTTGTAAGAGGGTGTGTGTGTGTATTGAAACCCCGGGGTATAATTCACTCGACAAGGCTTGGATCAAGAGACAAGATGGATAAAAGGCAAATGACGCAAGATGCTGAAGCTGGGGAAAGTGAGTTCAGATGCTCGGATCAGAGAAGAGGAAGAAGGCAGTAGTTGTTTTATGAGGACAAGAGGCGCTCGAGGCAGGCAGAATTTACACCCCGAGTTAAAGAGGCGGGAGGAGGAAGACTTGTTCATATTGGGCACAGGGCCATCACCAAGCAACATTACTAATTTGCTTTCCAACCCATTCTCAGACAGGAGCCCCGATCGAACCAAAGGCCGAGAGAGGGACTGAGGGACGAGAGCCCGCTTCCCAACTATTGCGCAATCGCAGCTTGTTTGGAGCATCGCATTGAACAAGCGCTGAGGAATTTGCATCTCTAAGCAAGAGGCGTGGTCTGGGAGCAATCACGACATCGACGCTAAACCTTTCGTGACGAAGGCGATGCAATATGATTGGTCATGGGTCGCAGGGGTTGCTCCGTACCGTCGAACATCCCGCAATTGCGCCATCGCCCCGGACGCCGGAGTGGATGTTGACAATGGCAAACTTTCCCCAACAGCCGGCCCCGAAAGCCGGGAGCCGTGACGTTCAGAGTATTAGATATTTGGGGCCGGACTCCTCCTCCGTGTCTATCGAGGTTGAGCTTCTCCTCATTATCTGGTTCACGATGAGCGCGGTCGAAAATAGGGGTTCAAAGGGGGAGATCTTCTGGTTGAACAGAAACGCTGGTGTAAGTTCGCCATGATGATGCCATAAGACGTGATTCCGCCCGGGCCACTAGTCGGCTTGGCCTAGTGTATGTGGCCCCGGCAGTCGGTCCTGACAAAACACCTCGGCGCGGCACGGTAATCGGTACCCGCCCGGCCGTCGGTGTGGATGAGCCGGAGGAGGTGGTCTGCGCCTCGTGTCAATGTCAGCAATCCCACGCCGGACAACGTATCTCCATCGCCCAACCAGTCACCATACGAGTTTCGTCTCCGATCGAGGGCATCATCCATGGTTGCTCGCCCGCGAAATTTTCTGACAAACCCACAGTTGGGTTTCAACACCAGATGTGTTTCGACCGCTAACACCGCGGAAACGCACTTCGTTTACCGACTTGTTCCGAGGGACAGCTTGGACCTTCGCCGCGTCCAGCGCCTCTTTAAATGAATGGGGTGCGAGCCTCTGTCTGTCTGAGAGATCATGAAGATATCCTCTCGCCGTAGTTCGGCCCCATGACTCAGAGTTGGTCCTTCAATCAAGGAACTGAGCAGACCAAGGCTTCTTGGACCCCTTTGTTTCTTGGCCAACATTTCGACATCCACAAGTGACTGGAGATGAGGTGATAGCATAGCTGTGAGGGGACTGAGGGCTTCCACTTGGGTGACCGCTCATTCATCGTCCTGCGCCGTTGTCTGCCTCCATTCGCCAAAGCAGAAGCAGACGCAGACAGACATGCCGATTACGGCTCCCTGCGCCGCCGCGCCGTTCTGGAAAGGGCGTGGAGTCTAGGCTCCGAACAGATGGCATCTGGCCTAGTCTCCATGATGTGGACAGTGTCTGGCGTTCGGCGTCTGGTGCAAAGCGTGCGTCTTATTTCCGCGCGGCTCCGGTTCTCTATCAGCGGAGCCAGCTCCTGAAGCAATGATCAGTTTTCGGTCGACGCGGTGACTGGTGGATGACAAACTTACCAGCAGAAAAAAGCCGAGGCCAGCCTGCACTGCTTGCCTGCCAATGACCAACACAGTACTTTAGGTGACCACGGAGAGGTAGGTAGGGTAAGGTAGGCCAGTGCGTGGTTCTGCGTACGCTAGAACGGCGATAGGGCTGTCCCGGCATCGTCCCTGACGTTCCCTCCCCTGGATGACCAGCGTCGGTAGATACGGGCGAGGCTGATGGTCCCGCAGATCGCCGGAAGGTTCGCTCTTTCACACTGGCTTCCTCCAACTCTCACGTGTTCGGACTTTTGGCCAAAGTTTTCTCCTTTCGCCTTGGACGGAACCCGGAGATGACTGACCGACCTCACAGTGATGTAATTGAGCCTCACCATGTCTTTCGCACCAGGCCTCCTTTCCCCCCTCAGCTTATCAGAAGTTCAGAACAGAATTTTTAGAGAGGTAAGCACGTGATTCTAGCGTCCACTTTGGGGAAAACCACGGTCCACGGCTCAAGGAAGGTCCCACGGGCGAGCTTGCCATGCGACCAACAGCTTAGCCAATGGCGCGCCGCCCAAGACGTCGGGACACGGGAATTGCGGGGCCTCGTTCGGATCCGGACCAGTGACGGCGAGGCGGGGCACACAGTCAGACTTCACAGTGCACCAGCACCCGCCAGCCCTCCGCCGCGAGGCCCCATCCTCTCTCTCTCTCTCTATCGTCTGTCGTCCAACCACGCGAACATGTTTTACCTTTCGAAACAATGAGGGCTACTAAGTTGAGCTGAGTCTTTAAGCTTTACCTTCACCACCACGCCGGGCCCCGAGCTTCTGTCTTTACCCCTCCCCCTCGTCCTCAGTCTCTCTCGCGCTTTCTCTCTTTCTCTCCCCGCAATCGTCCAAGCCGCCGCTGCCGTCGCAGACAGCTGTTGCTGAAGGTCCATCCTCTGACTCCTGCATCGTCCTCTATCCGTCCCGTCCCCCAGTGCCCCGTTCACCCTTCGTCTCAGCCTTGTCTCCGTCTTGGTCCGTCGTAGTGTAAACCCCGCCTTAGAAGAAAAGACGATAGGGAAGAGCATTTCCGCCATGGCCGACGCAAGCCCCGCCAAGTCGACAACGTCGCCCCGACCTCAGCTGACCTCGTCCATGAGGAGCAGCTCCTTCCTGCGCGAGCACCAGCAGTACCGGCCTCCGCAGCACCCAGAGAGCCGCTTCGGCATCGACACCGTTGTCGAGGACCTGAGCAACGTCGCCGTCTCCCCGCCAAAGCAGCACAACCACAACGCCGGCCACAAGCACTATGCGGGCTTCAACGGCATCCCCTCAGAGGATAACCCGCCGACCATCCGCAGTGGTCTGAACCACAGCTACTCGCACCCCAACTGCGCGCCCGCGGGTGGGAAGAAGCAGTCGCGCCTGGTGGCCACGCTCTTTTACAAACCGAACGGCGGCGACGGCGCCGGCCACCACATGACAGCGGCCGGAGCAAGTGGCGGCCGCGTCGCATCCCCCTCGACCCTCACCTCCGACAGCGCCAGCGGCAAGGAGGCCCTCCCGGCCAACTTCGCGCCGACCCAGGACCCCGAGTCCTTTCCCCTCGAACCCCCGACCCTCGAGCCCGAGAAGCTCGACCACCTGTACGGCTCCCACGTCTCGCCCATGTGCGTGACCTCGTTCCTGCACCTCATGTCGACCTTCCCCCTCCCCGCCGGCGAGTCCGACTACAGCTCCTCCCACCGCTGCCTCGACAGCCAGGAGAACCCGCGCGTCGTCGAGCTGACCCTCGACCCGGCGCCCTGCCAGAGCTACCTCAGCCTGACGGACCTGCGGCGGCACGAGCTCATCTACCGCTTCGAGAGGGAGTGGAGCGTCGACGTCGCGTTGCAACCCGACACGCTGTGGCGCCGGCACCCGCGTCTCGTCGTCTTCGACATGGATAGCACTCTCATCACGCAGGAGGTGATTGATCTGCTTGCCGCGACACTCACGGACCCGCCCGACCTGGCCGCGCGCGTTGCCGATATCACGCACCGCGCCATGCTCGGCGAGCTTGAGTTCGACGCCGCTTTCCGCGAGCGCGTGCAGCTTCTCAAGGGTCTGCCCGCCTCCTGCTTCGAGCAGCTGCGGCCCGTCCTGGACATCACTAAGGGCGTGCCCCGCCTGATCAAGGCCCTGAAGCGCCTCGGTGTGAAGACCGCGGTGCTGTCAGGCGGGTTCCTACCCCTGACGAGCTGGCTTGCTGGAGAGTTGGGCATCGACTACGCGCACGCCAACGAGGTTGTCATCGACGATGCTGGAAAGCTCACCGGGGAGGTCAAGGGTCTCATTGTGGGCAAGGAGCGGAAGCGCGATCTGCTCATCGAGATTGCGGCCAAGGAGGGCATCGACCTGTCGCAGGTTGTCGCGGTCGGTGACGGCGCAAACGATTTGCTGATGATGGGTGCGGCGGGCTTGGGTGTTGCGTGGAACGCTAAGCCGAGGGTGCAGATGGAGGCTGATACGAGACTCAACAGCGAGAGCTTGTTGGACTTGTTGTACCTCTTTGGGTTCACGGGCGATGAGATTGAGCAGCTCGCCTCGTAGATTGGCGGGCGCTCCATGTAGACTTGTGTGTGGGTGTGGGAGTGGTGTTGTGGGCGTAAGTCGAATGGTGTTTTGGGGAGTTGGGTGACACCGAGGCAAGGCATTGCTGTTTTTTTGGGAGTATTTTTTTAAGTCGCCCTCATGATTCAATTGCATGCCATTGAGTTTCCTGCAGCAGATATGTTCAGATGAAATCCCGCTCCATGAGTATCCGAGCATATAAAACCGGTTTAGGTAGCTTGATGAGCCGCGAGGCCGAGTGATGTAGTTTCATCGTTGGAGATGCTGTCCAAGGTAGAAAAACGTGGATAAAACTGAATTCTCCCTATCTACACATGAGAACCACCTTCCGCCCATTGCACCTACTGCGCACAAACACGTCTTCTCAACGCAGGTATCTCTAATTCTTTAAGGGTAGCCGTCCTTGCCCCACTTGTTGTACTTTTCGTGCAATTCCTGTGTCATGAAGCGTCAGCCCGGCTATCTCCTCCGGCTTCAAATCCCGAAGAATCCCGGGCCTTGGAGCAAACTCGACTTCCCACGAACGGAGTCTCTCCGACGTAGTGGGATAAATCAGAAGGGTATATCAAAAACGTACCTTGGGGAGAGTGACATCGGGAATGATGACAGTGTTGACGGCGCTGGGAGCGTCTCTGGGCTCGTTTGCGGGGTTGCCACCGGGGTGGTACTTGTACTTGCCCTCGCTGTCGGTCTCCCAGGGCATACCGGCCTTCAGGACGGGGCTCTCGGAGGTAGAGGAGGTGGGGGAGCGGCCTGCGCGGGGAGAGAGAAAAAACGTCAATGGCTGTTCAATCGTCGAAAAGTATTTCACAATGGCTCGTAAGACGTACCGAAGTAGAGACCGGCACCGCCGAGGGCAGCAACCATGACACCGCCGAGGATCTGTATGTCAAAAATTCCGATTAGCCTTCCATTCCGGCTCTCTTGCGATGCACTTGTTTTGACGCCGCTTCCAGCCCGACCGTCCGCATCCCTCTGCGTAGCTATCGCTTCTTCGTAGACTCGGCGATATGTCCCGGCTGCTTCGGAGGCTCGTCTTCGCGGGGAAAGGGATGCGGTGGACGGCGGACGACGGACGGGTCGATTTAAGGGCATCTCGGCTGGATGGACGGGATATCACGCACGAGGGTCTCGGGGTTGCGCTTGGACTCCTGGGTGAGGGTCTGCTTAGCCTGCTCGTCGGCGAAGCGGCGGATGGAGGTAGAGAAGGCGCGGCGGGCGACGAAGGAGGCCATTGTTGCGGTGGTTGACGGGGTGTCGTTGGGGTGTGATGTTGTGAGTGGTGTCGGCTTGTCGTATGATTTCGGAGCTTCAGGTTCGTCGAGACAGGATCCCAAGGTTGAAATTCGGGAGAAACGATTGGCCGGGCTGACGGATGAAAGGTGATTGGTCAATCGGAGGCGATGTGGGCATTACCTCATCCTGCACCGGATAGATGACGCTTATGCACTAAAAAGATTTCCTCCACTAAGCCGTATAATTGACTAACGGTTTTCTAGCATGTGAGAGTCCTGCTATGGCAAGTATCTACCAACAGTATTTGTAGGCAATATGGAGATGCTTTCACTTCGATTCTGGTTGTTTCCCCGTTGGTTGCATCGACACATGGAGCGGCTTTTCAGGCTTATGGGGGGTTATCAGCTGCAGAATGAAGCTTCACTGGCTTATGAGCATATCAAAGGCTTTTCAAGCGTAATCTAGTGTGACTCTCCGAGTTCTATGTCCTGCATTGAACACCGCGGAAATACATAGTGTCAAGAAACAGTTGCGAACAAATCAAGAGGCTGCCTTTCGGTCTCTGAGAGGCTGGCATTAGACTCGGAGCCCGAGGGACCGCTGCTTCGGAATATAGAGCTTATCCTGGACATGTTGTTGCACAGGGGCTTGCGTGCTTGTCCTCATTGAAGTCTCACATTGTGCCTGGCGAACATCTCCGTCAGCGTCAAGACGCATCAGCAACCGATGTTATCGTGGTAGCGTCTATGCTCGATTGGCTCAAGAGCGTGCAAGTTGCCTTGCTTACCACACATCAAGTATTGCCGAGAACTTATGCTTTGGGGAGCCAGTGGACAAGATGGGAAGCAACGATGCTGATGGATAAATCTACCGTCGCTCCGCGAAATATGATTGTAGTTTCCCTGAGATCAATACCTAACCTGGTCTTCGATAGCAACCATTCGAACAGGCTCATATCCACGAGGCTAGAGACCGTAGAGCGCGGTTCATCCGCAGAAACGTGCGTCGGTTGTCAAAAACAGTCATAGTGTGTAGACTGTCAGAAGACCCCAGATGGTCAGGGTATCCCATGTTTGAGCAGACAAGCCACAATGTGGTAAACGGGACTGCGTTGGTGCTGGCAATGGCGGCATAATCGCATCCTCTTACATGTTAAAGCAGTAAATCTCGTGGATGAGGATCGGATTCAAGACGTCTCATTCACTGCGGCGCATGCGTGGATTGTGTGCGATTGGCCCTATTCGTGCCGTGTCCCAAGCATTTCCCTGGCGATGCTGCTCGGACGAAAGCGATCCGAGCGAGGACCAACCCAGCAGATTGAGGAGATCATTCCGGGAACCCTCAGCGTTGCAGCAGCTCAACGGCGTTCAAAAGAGCGACGAGACGCGTCTTAAGCCACGGAATATAAGTAAGACCAAAACAACGGTTTAGCATTCCTTCATGTCAGTGACGAGAGTGGAGGAACGGGAGGCTGAGAAACATCGTCAGTTTGGGTTCATAGAGACTGGAGAGGTGAATTCCAGGCTAGAACAACCATGGCCTGTGCATTTTATGCGAATTGCTGCTCTATATCCGTATTGGGTGGTGTTCGTAGGGCAAAGGCATCGACGACGGGTACCTGAGCAGAAAGACACGCTCCTTCGTCCGTCGTGCTCCTCATCTCATCACCCCGGCACTGCAGCCATCGCGGCGCCGCGTGCTGTTGGCCTGTTGCTGCTGTAGCAATTTAAAGCTGGGACCCAGATCCGGCAATTGTAATTAAATTGGCCAGGCCTAGTTGCACCGGCGCCTGCATAAAAATGCGGCCAAAGCCGTTTCGCAGGGGGCTTGAGCGCACGCACTATCGTGAAGAAGCCGTGAGACTGGCGGAGGAACGTTAGTGATGACAGACGGCAGCTACATCCTGCGCTATCTGAGCTTAACCAAATCAGGGCTCTATGCAACCTTCCACATGCACAAAGCACGGATACCCAGGTTATGCCGCCCCTTACATTGGGTCGCAGTATCCGTAAGGTAAAGTCTTGCAGCGAATCCAGCCCAGCACACCCAAGAAAACCCCCCCGTTCGACTTGCGCTGCGGTGCTCCAATCCAATCCTTCTCCCGTCACTGTTGGGCAATCCATGCCTGGACTGGGTCGCTTTCTGGTCTCGAAAAAGCAACACCAGGCACGAGACGAGACTCTGAGTCTTGTCCGACGTCTTCTTCGCTTCGCTCATTCACGGCTCGCTCGCCATCCCAACCTTCCTTTCTGCGTCTCTCTCTCTCTCTCTCCCACTCTCTCTAAACGATAAAATACGACAAACGATACCAACCAATTCACTCCCTCGCCTTAATACACGGGCCTTTCCCTATTCCTTCGCACGACCTCTTTTTAATACCACATTCCGACCGCAGACTTTTGCGCTTCAGCCTTTTCCAAACCTTCCACGATCCAGTCTCCGAACCTGCCGAACCCTTCGTCTCGCGCGATAGTCATCACAACCTCAAGTCAAAGCGCCGATTTCAAGACCGACCACCGCCCTTCCCCCCGGCCGCTCTCGACAAGCTCTTCTCCCAACCTCGCGATACCCTTTTATCAACACGCCAAAAAAGCGACATGTTATAGTGGAGGAAACTTGCGAACTATCCAAAATCGTTGCGCCGCCGATCCGACTGCGACATCAGCGCCCAAAATGACTTCAAAAGAACAGGCCGGTGGGCCCAGCACGCCGACCGACGATGGCGGCTTTCCGAAACCCCAATTTCCTGGACGCTCCGACCGACCAGGCCCGCCGAGTATCATCTCGTCGCGAATGACCGACATCGCGTCCGACGACGGCGGGGAAGCCGTAGCCCAGACCTTATCCGAAAATCCGCGCAGAAAATCTGGTCTGGCTTCAGAAACTGTGTCGCGGCCAGGGACGGCCAAGACAGGCATGTCTGGACCCCTCGAAGGCCGGAGACGGGGTCCGCCCCCACGGATGAATTACATTACCAGTCTCAACGAGAAGAGGGGAAGCATCGGAGGCGGTAGTACCGCTGGTTCGATCAGCAGCAGACCGCCAAGCTCAACAAGTCGAAGCCATGTTCCGTCTCTTACGTCTTCAGCCTTCTTTCGTCCCATGAGTTCGCAAAAGCTGCAAGCCCAGCGTGGTGGTTCACGACCTGCGACCCGCCAGCAACCTACATTGGAAGATACCGAACCTACGCCCGAACACAACCAGAGTGCCGCTGCAGCAGCAGCTGTAGCCAGTGGAGGACCAAATGCTCGGCACAGCGTCATCTCAAACCCGGTATCGAACCCCGTTGCACGCCTCCAGCGGCAGCTTAGCGACGACGACAACATGAGGCCACCTCCGTCTCGCGGAACCGAATACACCGACCAAGGAACATACGATCGAATCACCGCCAACACGAGCCCGACTCATGGTCACTATGCTGCCGGTAGTATGTCCGAGAGCGTCACCCCGCTGCAACGGAACCAGCGCAATAGCCGGAACCTGAGCGTCAATGTCGACAGGGGCTTCAGAGAACGAGGCAATCAGCCTAGCCCTATCAAATCGCCGCGATCTTTCCGCTCAAGTTTCTTGCTGCCAGGCAGAAGCGACCAGAACAAGTCTAACCGGACTCTACCGGGCGGCGAAAAGCTCTCATCGACCGCATCGACGCCGCAGCTCAACCCCGTAGACTCTTCGAGACCCGCCGATAAGAATAACTTGAAGAAGTCCAAGACGAACCTTGGCTATGTTTTCCAGTACTTCGAAGGCAATACCGTCTTCTGCTTGGGAGGCCGATTCCAGAACACCAAACATCGGCCAGTCAACGTAGCCACTGGGCTGTTCATCATTATCCCCGCCGTCCTATTCTTCGTCTTTTCAGCCCCTTGGATATGGCATAACATCAGTCCTGCCATTCCAATCACTTTCGGATACGTCTTCTACATATGCATTTCCTCGTTCCTCCACGCATCCCTGTCGGACCCTGGCGTAAGTTGTGACACCCTGACTTCGGTTAGAATATAGCTAATCGCGCATAGATTCTGCCGCGAAACCTTCATGCCTTTCCACCGGCTGATTCGACAGAGGATCCTCTCCGGCTCGGGCCTCCAACCAACGACTGGACGCTGATCAAGTCAGCAGAGTCAGCCACGGCCGCCATGGAAGTTCCAGTAAAACATTGTAGAACATGTAACATTTGGCGGCCTCCTCGGGCTCATCACTGCCGACTTTGCGACAACTGCATCGAGACCCACGATCACCACTGCGTTTGGCTCAATAACTGCGTCGGAAAACGCAACTACCGATATTTCTTTGCTTTCGTCTCCTCGGCAACCTTCCTCTCTCTCTACCTCCTTGGCGCCTCTCTAGGCCAAATTCTCGTACACATGCACCGATCCGACATTTCTTTTGGAAAATCCATCGACGACTTCCGCGTTCCCTTCGCTATGGTCATCTACGGCTTTATTGCCTTCTTATACCCTGCTGCCCTCATGGGCTACCACATCTTCCTCATGGCTCGAGGCGAAACAACGAGAGAGTACATCAACTCTCACAAGTTCATAAAGGCAGAGCGGTTCCGAGCCTTTACTCAGGGCAGCATGCTCAAGAACTGGATCGTCGTGCTCTGCCGACCGAGGCCTCCTACCTACTACCAATTCAAGAAGAGGTACATCGGTGGTGATCAACGCCTCGGTGCTCTCCGGGATCAGAAGGTCGACATTCAGGGCATGGAAATGCAGAACGTTAGACCAACGACAGGGTTTCAAGGACCCGTCTCCTTGCGCAACGAAACGAGCACTACCGCGACATAATTACCTATTTCTTTGATTGTTTTCTGCGTGGCGTTGTTTAGGAGCCATCATACGTTTAAACGGATCCTGGATACCTGTAATGTATGTTTTCTATTATACCCGGCTTTACCTATCAAAGCAGGTAAACAGACATAAAACGCCGGCTCTCTCCCTTAACGTAGGGGACGAGAGCCCGTATTATTTTTCATCGCGGCAATGCGCTACGATATCGGAGCCAGTACATAGACGTTTGGCGCAAATTACTGCGCTTGTAACAAATGCTAGTTCATACCCCGAGTTGAAAGCTTCCATAATCGCGTGACGTGTGTCTTCAGTTCCTGAATCACAGCTGCTTGCCTTTGGCAATCAATGATCAAACACGCTTCCACATCACCACTATGCTCAAACAAGCCGGGACAGTGAATCACTAACTCGTGCAACCGTTGGCAAACATATAAATAGGCTTGGTACTTTGCCATATCACCTACCCCGGAATTCCACTTATACACCCGACAACAGCAACGACAACCAACATCATCAGTCAACAGAAAAGACGCCTTCGAACCCTCGGAAATTTCGTATTTCAGAAAGTCTAGGCTGAGAGCGATCAAGATACAATGGCTTACGTATTCGACGGATACTCCGAAGCCAGTTCCGGTCGGAACACACCTCGCGGCCAGCAAGGGCCTGGCTCTGGACGGGGAAGAGGCCGTCAGCAGCATGGCTATGGGCATGGAGATACACCCGTCGGTGGCCTACCCGGAGGGATCTACTACGGTACGGGTCGCTTTTACGAGGAGAATTTGCGTAACGAGCAGCGGCGGCGGCAAGAGCAACAGCAAGAGCGAGAACAGAATCAACAGCGACACAGGCACGATCCACAGTGGCGGCCAGAAGAGCAAGATGGAGAGCAGCATCGACACGATCAGCAGCAGCAGCAGCAGCCGCGGTATTCCGCTTTTGGTGGTTTCAGCCAAGCGAGCGGCTCTGGACACGAAAGTGATAGGGTGAGAGAAGCTTCTGCTGCTGCGAGGGCGTTCCTTGAAGCGCTGCAGAGGGAGCACTGGCGGCGGAGACAGCAGGAGGCTGACGCTGGAGGCGGTGGGTTTGGCCTTGGTCCTGGTGATGGGTTTGGGGAGATGGGTGAGGATGACTTTGGACCGACAGAGGAGATCCGGTTTGAGGATCTGTTTGGGGATATCTTTGGAAGTTTCGGTGGAGGCGGTGCTGGTTCGTTTGATCCTCGTCCCGGCCCTGGACCTGAACCTGACCAGGGCCGTACCGATGGGCCTGGTGGCCAAGATGGTGGCAGGGGAGGAGGTGCTCCCGGGCCCGAACCAGCGGCTTCTGGGCCCGGCAGGGGTGGCGGTGCCTTTCGGCCGGGCTACGGACCCCCACCGGGCCACTATGGAGGTGGATGGTACGGCTACGGCCCCGCGTTCGGGGACGCGGCGCGTGCTCGACGGGGAGGGGCGGGGATGACCTTTGCTGATCTCTTTGAGCTTTATCAAAGCTGGCCTGGTCCGCACAATTCGTTTGGGGATTACGACGAGTCGGGAAATATGCCTCGAGCGTACTTTTGATGGCTGGGGGGTTTTGAGGCGTTGGTTGGAGGTGGTTCATGACCACTTAGGGGCAGTTCATGAATCGAGTGCCAAGTAAAGTACTCAAATAGCTAGGCGTTCAACATTCCTAGAAGTATAATGATGCAACTCCAGGAGAAATTTCTGACCATTGCCTCTTTCCTACGTCTCCGAAATACCCTTCCTTCGATCGGGTAACAGCAGATGAACTTGTCGTATGGTGGCTTGAACTTGGTGGTGATACAGGTGTGATAATGGCCAGGATTCGGCACCGATCATCCCACCGGTCTAGTGTACCGCCCCTCTTGGTCAGTCTCATTATTTATTGTACAACTTGCATGCGTACGTCGCACCATTTTACCCGGGTGCGCTACGTGGATCGCATAGCCCACGAAGTTTCCAACATAGCCATGGATCTGCTGGGCTGTTGCTGATTTGGCCTCCGATCTTAACCTTAGAAGGACCGTGAAAGCTATCCTGACGATTGCGAGATCCGCAGTCTCTTGTTGAAAAGAGGCGTTGGTACTACACAGCCTCCAACTGCTGTGCCGCCGAACCGGCGCAGCAGGGTGCGATCATGTCCATTTCTTTCTAGCAATATGTCTTAAACATACCGTGCATGCGTAGGTACCCGGCTTACGGCCGAAAATATCAGCCTGTGTCATCATCCTGCTCCAGCTTCCGTAGGCGCAACCTGTCAGGATTGGGGTTTTCCAGCAAGCCTCATTTGATCTTGCATGCTAGTGAACCAACAAGGCTGACAATCTTGCTGACATTGGCGTCGAGGCGAGGCGAGGCGCTATTTCCTCCATTCGGCACCTTGCAAGAGACTTTAAGCATGCCTTATGAATATTCTTATCTTTTCACACTGCTCCCACCCGGGTCCTCTTCATTGGAGCTCGTTTGCTATCAATACCTCCGACCATAACTCCGCGATATGAGTCCCGTCCCGAGACCCCAAGATCTCCGCGGCTTAGTCGCTGGCAAGATATATGCAACTGAGAAGGATTGGCACCATATGCAGCCTATTATCGCCAAGCTCTACCGAGATGAGAACAGATCACTTAGACAAGTGAGGGAGATCATGGAATCCCGATATCATTTCCACGCCACGTAAGTTAACATCGAGCCATACCCGTAATCTCCTGACTGAACCCTGTGCAGAACTAAGATGTACAAGTCAAGATTAAGTACGTGGAAGCTAGACAAGAAGCTTAAAGAAGCTGAAGTAGTGGTCATGCTTCGACAAAAGGAGGACCGCGACGCTGCAGGCAAGCGCTCTCGATTCTTTCTCCGTGGCCAAGAGGTCAAGTGGGATCGTGTGCTCCAGTATCTGAAACATAGGCCCGACCTACAAGACCCAACCAACGTCGATATTCAAAGATATCTAGATACGAATTTAGACGTCACATGTTCTACACCCTCACCGACCTTATTCAAGAATGAAATTCCTTGTCGGATAGAGCCGCATTCAGATCTACGTCTGCTTGACAACTCCATAAGGCTTATACATTCCTACCTTGATGGGGCATTTGAAACCGGATTGGTCGTCATCGATGGGCGAATTCTCTACGGACCAAACGGAAAACCCGCCAGGCAAAGGGTCAGGGGGTGGCATGAAGATATGGCCGACATACACATATTGTTGAGCAGCAAGGAAACTACTGCTGCGTTCCGCCTTCTCAACAAGCAACTTGATCTATTGAAGCAGTTGATAAGAGAACAGGATCCCGAGCTGCTATTGCTAACATTCCACGACATCTTCGACCTTGAACCCAACCTCGCGGAGTCGCTCCTTGTTTTTGTGTGCAGGATGCACCAGGCCATCTTTGGCGAACATCACCCTCTCAGCTTGATCTGGGACAATCTCGTTCGCTTCACTGCAAAAGCCCGCTTACAGGCTGTATTGAGCATGACCGCTTCCACCGCTAAGGAGATGGAGGCGAGGATGGGGCCTCAATCTGCATACGTGGAGGCTCTGGAGTGCCTTCAGGTGGATGTGCATAAACAAAGGGGATCCAAGGATGGGTTCGGGAGTTCATGAGGTTGACGTGCCTCCGAGGAGAGCTTCCACACGCTTAGAAGGGACCAACAACGTATAATAAAGAGTAGTTATGATTCGAACCTCATCAAATAAGTTTAGCGGAAGTAAATCGGCTACACAATTGTGTGTTTCAACGGCACTTTGAAAATGTCAAGAAAGATGCTTAGCAGACAGGTCTCTCTCGGCTAGCAGACATATCTCGTTGATCAAAACAGAGGTCTCATTCGGAGCTATAAACTGTCGAAAGCTACTAGTGACGAGAGTACAGATTTGAGAAGAAAGAGTCTTCCCTTCCTATACTTATCCCAACCGGAAACGACGCCTCTGCGGAACGAATGGAAGGCCAGAAAAAGGCAGATTCTCAGGACTTTGCGATTCGTGTGAACCCAAATCTTCGATCCTCATAAATGCCAGTAACCCTATTCTCACCGTGAGGCCAGGGATAGACTCAAGAACTATAGCGCACGTTGCGTGCTCCAGAGGCGAGAAGCATATTGCCGTAAGTTTTCGGTCGAGGAAGGTATCTTCGTATCCGAAGTCTGGGGTGAACTTGATAACAAACTCTCCTTTTCCATCAGAGGGTTTGCGTGTTGTTGGAAGATAGAACAAGTCGTCGTGCGAGGTGCCTGAACGCCGTTTGATCTTCCGATAGCAGAGGGGCCCGGTCTGAAATGACCAGCATTCGATGTGAAGATATCTGGTACATTGCGTGATTGACGAATCGAGACCACCAGTCTCAAAGAAGTCGGCCCATTCAACCATGTTTCCCTGAGGTGTTTCCACCCAAACCTCTGCGTCAAAGTTTTCTGTAAGTTCCACTAACTTGGGAGGCCTCAGATGGAAGTGGCCTTGGTGACCAAACAACGTCCTCCCGTTCTGGGATACCCACGACCAGCTGGGAAAACCTGCCAACCTGGCATAGTTCTTTCCTTCAGACCGAATCTCCCATTGGAGTCCAGCGAGAAAGGCGCGTCTCGAAGCAGTGGCGTCTACTACCGGCCAGCCGGAGGCGACTATCGGGATGCCCCAGTACGAAAGGCACCCTGGATTGACTCGTGACCACTTCTTCAACACTCCAGATATAGCCGCGAGCCTGTCGCTCGAGTAGGTCAGCTGGCGATCGCAGTACTTCTGAAGTATAGCCCAGACGCCGTCTGGTGTATTGAGGAGAGTCCATTCGGGCCGCTCGTGGTGTTCCAGGTTCCCCTGCAAAGCAAGAGGACGCGTAAGGTGTTCAAAGCACATCATGTCATGGCATTCGAAGGAGACCTCGTAGTTGGAGAAGTAGAGTCTTCTCCTGGACAGACACGTCTCTTGGAACGTCCAACCCCGCGTGGACCACTTTGACCTCGAGATCTGGTCCAACTGCCACTGGTGGCTGAAGTTTGTGACAATCTTTTGGTCGCCGATTGTTTTGGTGATTGGAGCGTGCTGCGTTCGGCCGAGAGACAAGCCCGGCAGCCCGTAGCTCGGATCCTTGGCGCCAATGGCGATGATGCTGAGTTCTGCATCGCCGTAGATCTGGTCCATCCTCTCCACCTGGCTCATCTTGTGAGTCGAGTCGTCTTGCCAGATGCAGTATCTGTCAATCCAGATGTAGCGGAAGCCGAGCTTGATGGTGGCCCTCATGGCGTCTTGGATGACTGGCGGAAGGTCGTCCGGCAGATAGGGGTATGTGTACTTGTCTGGAGGCGCGACTCCCCAGACGTAGCTCAACGCTACGTAGCGATACCTAGTGTTTGGGTCCGTGTTGATGATTTGACGGGTTTCACAGTCTATGAGCTTGAAGTGAGGGAGAGTCTGCCAGTCTGGGCTGGTACGACATGCGTCGTGCTGATGCTCGCATAGGTGTATCCATGATCGAACGAGGCCGTAGTCGATTCTCTCCTCGCGCAAGACTCTAGCTTGCATCGGAAGGTCCAGGAGAGGTTGAGTGGGCTCCAAGATAGCGGTGGATGCAAGAGAGACCAGACTTCCTGGCGCCTCTCGATGGGCGAAGCGGATCCACGCCGTCAAGCCGCCACCAGCACTGGCATTGCCAAAGTACTGAGCGGATGCTGTCTTGTAGTGTGAGGGATTCATGACGAGAAGGAGTACGGAGTTGAAGTCTGGACGTTCCCCGCCACCCCCAAGCTTCGCCTTCTCAGCAAAATTGTAGAGCAGATTGGCGGGGATCGCTAACAGGATCTTCTCCTTCTCGGCCATCGGGTAGCGGTTGAGGTTGAAGCCGATGGAGAAGACCAAGTCACAGAACGGGCAGCTTGGGATTATGCCTGGGGGGTATTGATTAATCCTATCCTCTTGGGTGAGCGGTCTCCAGTCTCCAACATGCTGTATGTATTTGGTCCAGCTGGTCTTGTAACTCTGAGCCGAGCCAATGGCCGGAAGACCGTCAAAACGAGCCGGGTCGAAGACTGCCTGAAGATTTAGCGTGGTGCAGTTGCGACAGAGCCGATCATCTGAAAATGACATTGTGATCTTGCATGAGTGACTGTTAGTGGTGCTAAGGTGCAGACGTGAGGTTGGCGAGGCTCTGGAATTCTGCCTGTCCAGCTGGGTATTGGGCGTAAGCGCCCCTGTCACGACCTTTCGTCCAATGATATCCACTTCATGCAGGAGAAGCTTGGCCAGCAACATCGCGCAAGACATCGAATCCAGCACCCATGGATCACGCAAAGACCCAACTCAGCTCACGCCAGGATGTCAAGCTAAATTCGTTATGTGATCCTGGACTATGGGGGAAGCCACACGCTACCCTGTTCTGTTTGGATTGAAATAGAGCGTATCCGTATTCAACAATTGGTCCCAATTGCCTGGCATGGGCTGTGTTCCCGCGGCAAACACCCAATCGAGATCCAATCTCATGTCCATATCAATGCCCTCGTGGTATTCTCGCTGCTCCCCTTGATGAACAGGAGATATGCTCTGAAAACTGCCTATGCTCTTCGACCCGGCCGGACTGTCGGTACGCGCTCGTTTGCGAGACGCCTGCTCGGTCTGCCGTAGGGCGCCGAGGCCGGACGGTAGCACGGCGTTACGTGAAGGACATTGACTCAGCCGGCGAGAGCGCAACTCCCACTTCCGTTGCAGCACGAGAAGAAAATCCCGAGACCGCTTGGCGCACTCCCAAGTGCCTGAAAGCTCCTCCAGAGCCCGGAAGCATACGCTCAAGTGTGTCGCCGTCTCTGTGGTCCTCTTCCGTCTGCGGCGGGATATAGATGCGAAGATGAGTATGATGGCCGCAGAGAAGACGATGGCCACGCCTTGGATATGAACTCGCTTGAGGGAGTATTGGCGTTCGTAAATCAAGATCAGCTTTGCCACTGCGGCTGCTGACTCGATGCACATTTGTTGCGCGTGCATGTAGCCGGGACCTTGAGGTGGTTGTGGTTGGATGTAGCTTGACGACATCCATGGCCTATGGGCATGTATCACGTTTTGATAGTATTGCATACTGGGCACAATAAGGTGAGCGAGAGCCGCATGACGACAGGAATCAACAATGTGGACTTAAACTCACTGTAACAGAAGAACATGAGGAAGGAGTGTTCCCTCAGAGTCTTCTAGATCGACTTGTATCGTATGTGGCAGGTTCTCCTTCCAAGCAAATAGTATTGAAACAATCTTCTCGTTGTTGGCCTGTAATATGTCCCGCGGAATCCGAGAGTTGCCGTATCTACCGGAAGAGCATTTAGTTCGACTAAACTAGACAGAAACATTGCTGATCGGGTGATTTACTTACAGCGTGTGACCAAGAGGTGCCATGATTTCGCACAACTCTATGCGGTATAGACTGATGACCTCAGTGTAGTCCTGTATGGGTATCGGGGCGTTGCCGTTGCTGAGGCGCGAAACGTAAGGAAGCCATTGCTCGATCCGTCCACTTGATAAGTCTTCTGTTGGTTTCCCAACCGTAATATCATCCATGCTAATACGAAAAGGCCGACCCCTGTAAAACCCGAGCGTCCTGGAAGATTTGTAGAGTCAGACCACAGCCCCGACAATGTTGGCAGCGGCGCCAGAAGCTTACTGATCCATTGTGTATGCGCCCCAGAACACAGCGCGACGAAGCTCTGCTTCAGCGGGTTTGAGAACACCCTTATTTACGTACGGTGTCATATCCTTGTGTAATGCCAAATCAAACGCGAGCCGAATCGCCATTGCTAGACCGAGAGCTGTTAGTTCCTCTTGTCTCATAGTTCACACATGTCACATGTGATAAGTTGGGGTGACTGTACCACTATACAACCAACCGCGGGAGTCCCTATTCGCCCCTATCTCATGGCTACTAAGAACAATCATTGCTTGCACCGTAGAGACGGAAGGCGAGTCTAGTTCGATCTCTAAAAGAGTCTTAGCTCTTGCGGCGAAGAAATCCGGAAGAGACTTTGGGAAGGTTATAAAGCTCGGGTGATATCGTGTTTCGAAGGTAGCGCCTAACGAGCACCTGGAAAAGAATTAGCATTATCAAGCAATGAAAGAGTTGAGAGGTTGAAGCAATGTTCAAAACTAACATTGCATTTCTGAGTGCCTCGGAATAATATGGTGTATCTTCCTCTCGCTCGTGCCAACTATGCTTCGCTTCTTCGTAGAGAGTCCTGTCGACTACATGCTGAAAGGGGTCCTGCCATGTAAAGTAAAGGTTGATCAGATGATCTTCGAGATCTTGCGGTACCTGTTTGCCGTAGCCCATGTTGTCGAGGTGTTCCTGGCCATTATTGCGCACGGTTCGATCCACAGCCAAAGTATCGGCTCCCACAGGTAGTTCCATCAAGCTGAAGTTAGATGTTGGTCCGAAATAGGATATATGACCATTAGGACCAATTTGGAGAGACCCTAGTCTATCCGATAACTGGTTGACTAGGTCCTCTTCCGTTGTGCCTGAGCCGGCATCGTCCTCTTCATTGTCGCTCAAAGCAGCCTCTCCGGAGTACGTGCTCAGCAGAGGATGGCTGGGGGTCTGGACGCTGGCGATGCCACCAACATTTGTGATGATGTTATCGGCATTCTCAGAAGGGCTCCATTCCCAATCTGCAATCGCTCTCGTTGTCAAGTTCAACAAACCGTCTTGGACCGGTGGTGCGAGACTAACGGTTGCGTCATTGCCTAAGTTGAAGGAAGACGGATCGAAAGGTAGTGAAAAGTCTAGGGGAAGTTGATCTGGAGGTAGCATGGTATTGTTAGATGGGACACAGGCTGCTGATGTTTGCGGCTCTAGGGATAAAGCTGGGTCAATCGGTGGTGTTTTGTCGCGTTCTATAGCCAGTTGCGTCGTCGAAAGGCCTAGAGTGTTTAGTATCCGTGTCAGACTTTTGGCCTCTTCTGAAGGCATAGGCGGGAGTTGGAGCCCATTCTGGTTGATAAACTGGCAAAGCTGGTCGACTCTACTCGACAGCAATTCGACTGCGACGCGCAGTGACAGTCTAGCGTTTGTAAGCCTCGATCAGTTCGCTCGAAATCAAAAGACTGCAAAGAGAATCTAACTTGCGCTTGTCCTCTCCAGCTTGGTAACGGCACTCTCGGCGCTTAGTCCTGCAGTTGGAGCATGAAGGAGCTGCACCGTCACACTATTGACAATTTGTTACTAGGATGCCACAGGTTCTAGCCTGAAGCCATCGTCGTGATATCAAAGCTGGAGGAAGGATACTTGAAAATGAGGCTGGGGAAGGCAGCGCATACCTTGATCTTGCTTTCCCGACAGGAAATGCACGCCGTAGTGACATGCCTCCTCTTGGCGTCAGACTTCGATGATTGGGGCATACTGCCTTGCTCCTCTGGAATATGTGTTCCGGACTCTGTGTTGAAGGTGTGGAGGTTGATGAAGTTTGGCTGGGGTAAATTCGAGAGATGACGGGGCGGTGGACACTTCTTGGCCGCACCGAGGCCCACTAGTAGAAGGACGTTCTTTTACAGCATGAACCCCGGTGTGCCAGCTACCTGGCCGTGCAACTTTGCAAGTTGCTTCGGTCGTGTTCGTACCGGTAGCGCTGACCGCGGGGCGCAGGGGCGCCAGGTCCAGATGTACAGGGGGCTTGCTGGACGCTAAAGTGACTATGTTGCGCCGAATAAATGTGCACTAAAGTTCACTCCAAATGTGGTCAACAACACACCGGACGGTCGTGATAAGATTCGGTGAGCTTTCCATTTTGATAGAGTAAGACTATCATATGTACTCTAATACTTGAGTACATGTAGTGAAGATGATCAATAGGACCTGGGAGCAAAAGACTATTCTCATTATGTCTCGTTGCCAACATGGGCTCTGCGTGGGTATCCGAATTATGGATCAAGAGCAGCTCAAGCACACATTCGCAACCACAGACTACTGGCCACTTGGACATGAATCAAGGATTTACGACTTTAGGATTACACTTCGTGTATCTCAATCGATGACCGAAACACGCAGTAACGCTACTCACTAGGCAAAGTACTATTGGGGCGGTACTAAGTCAACTCGCACAATCCGGCATATTGAGTCGTCCATCCTCATTGTAATGAATCGTAGCAATAGAGTAAAGACTGCTGGCCCGTGCTAAACCTTAAGCTTATTCAAAGTATGCGAAAGAGGGCCGGTGTCTTGCCTCTAGACATGAAGTACTGGCTGGCGTGTCCGAAAGAGCCGGCCCGCGGGACTCCCCGAGTCACTCCTCTTCAAATTTTCGACATGACGGGGATCTCGGTTTCTGAGACGGCTCCCTAGCGCAAGTATTGCTAGAAAAGAGGTAACAAAGAGCCGCTATCATTCAGATTCTACTCTAGTTGGCACTCTGTGAACTGAGATTGAATCTGTGATAGCTACATGATGAATTGCTGGCTTTCATCGCGGCAAGGCGTTCGTGATAAGCCCTTGCTCAATGACACAGAACCTTCTTGAGACGGCATGATGGAATAATTACCTTACTCTCAAAGCCCGACTGCCATAGGCCAAGAGTCCCATTATCAAGCCTCCCAGTACGCGTATTGCACGTGCTCAAAGGGACCCAAACGCCACTGGCACGTTTGAGGCGTTAAGGGAGCTCAAGCACGTACTCTGATAGAAAGACTAATGAGCAAATTACAGAAAAAGAACGCCTTACTCGAAGAAGAAGTTGCATCCAGTCCAATGAAAGGCCTTTCTCCATCCTTCGATCTTTGCTAGTAGCGAAGCCACAACGTAGAGCAGCCTCGGATTCTCGGTACCGTGCCGAAATGATTCCAGACGAACTTAGCGATGAAATCTGATAACTCAAAATCTGGTCCGAGGAGATATCGTGCTATTGATTAAAGTCAATCTCCTTAGTCAGAAATATAGCGATACCCAAATGAGTTTAGATTCGACGAGGGATCGGGCGGCACCAGGTTTCCCCAAAAAAGTGCTTCATCCTCATGATCACTTCTCAAGGCGTTACTACTGGATCATGATGAGTAATGACTTGATGAAAGCTTAGTCGGAATTATAGTCCGGGGAGGATCTAGAATCTGAGCCGCACTAAGATCTCATAGGACGTTCGGAAACTGGTTTCCGAAGTCTCCACCTACCTTGACCCCAGATGTCAGGTACACCCGGAGACAATTATCATGCAACGAAGTCCGATTTCTACGTTCGTCGCCGAATATCAACTCATAAGTCAAGATGTTTCCCAAGGCGATCAGCTGGAGGGGGAGAGATTCTGTGACGGCGAGCATCTCCGTATGGGGCCGATTCTCGGCGGACCTATCCGGAACTCAATCAGGCAATTCTGACCGGTGAAGGAGTGCCCGATTCCCAACTTGACCTCGTCAGACAATGCCCTATTCGGACTCCTGCCAGTGTGCGAATCGAAGCGATGGAGAAGACTAGAGGCCTGAGTTTTCGCATAGACTGTGGTTGGATCATCTTTACGGACTTCCAACGTCAGAACTAAGTCTCGATTCTCTACCGAATGTGGAGAGCGCCAGCCCACTACACGGTCCTTTCAGCTTAAATACCCCGCGCTTCTCCCTTCACGAGCGGCGGAACATGAGGTAATGTTATAACATACCCTACTCTATAACGTTCCATTGTCTCTCCACTAACGCCTCCAATAAGTACTCCAAGATGGCTATCAAGAACGGACCAGCGAACGGCAGTCACTCTCCCAGCACGAGCTCTTCTCGCCTCTTCTCAAAATCGGAAACGACAGCGGTAGAACGATTTGCAACCACCTGCTCCCAACGAGCCTCTCCAGAGGATTACCAGCTCGCCGCATCCATCGAAAAGAACATTCCGATCTACGACCTCCCTGAATATTCAACCTTGAGCGACTCAGAACGCACAGAGCTGCAAGACGAATGGTACCGCGTACTGATCTCTGGCCCAGGCGTCTTTGTCACAAAGGGCCTTTTCCGTGACAAAGCGCTGATTCAGTCAGCAAACGCGGCTTTCGCATCAATTATCGAGGACGAGAAGAAATCAGGAACCGCAAAGGGTGACCACTTTGCCAGCGCTGGCAAAAACGACCGCATCTGGAACTCGTTTAGCAAACACGGCCTCAAGGACCCGGCGTCCTTTGTAGACTACTATTCGAATCCATACCTCGGCCTCATCTCGAGCGCGTGGCTCGGACATGGCTACAGAATCACAGCGCAGGTCAACAACACCAAGCCCGGTGCCTCGCCGCAGGTCTGCCACCGCGACTACCATGTTGGCTTCCAGACGGCAGAAGCAGCCGCGCAGATCCCACGGGCGACGCAGATCGCCAGCCAGCTCTTGACGCTGCAGGGCGCCGTCGCCCACTCCGCGGTGCCTCTGGAAAGTGGTCCCACGCGGCTGCTGCCGTTCAGCCAGATGTTCGAAGCCGGCTACGTCTCGTATCGTCGCCCCGAGTTTAACGACTACTTCTTGAAGAATTATGTCGCTTTGCCGCTCGAGGTGGGAGATGGGCTCTTCTTCAACCCGGCGCTCTTCCACGCGGCTGGCAAGAACGAGTCGAGCGATGTGTACAGAATGGCGAATTTGTTGCAGATCAGCAGCCCTTTTGGCAAGCCGATGGAGTCCGTGGATGCCGTACCGCTGGTGGAAAAGAGCTGGGATCACTTGCTCAAGCTATACGAAAACGAAGGGCTGAGTGCTAGGATCAAGTCTTTTATCGCGGCCGTGGCAGAGGGATAAGTCAAACCCCCCACTTCCTGGCACCCCCCTGTTTCTGGCACCCACAAAAACGATGGGATCACAACCCAACCTCCTCATTACTATTAACTATTGATCCTCAACCACACCCACTACAATACAACTGCCAGCCTCACTAGGGCATTCAGAGTCGCTGGATTCAGCCGTAATAACCTCCTTTTCACCCGCTTCGATTTGAGCCCGATGGATATCCCTGATGTTCGCAAACTTCGTGTTGGGATCGATCTGAACAGTCTTCCTCTTCTAACTGCAGCGTTGGTAACAGGCCCTCAGGTGAGCCAGCTGCTGCTGGGCAACTGCCAGTTGCCAGGCCTGCTCTGTGAAGCCTTTTTCACCTTCCTGAACAGCAGCCGTTGGTGCTGGTATCATTGTCGAGTTGGGTGTATAAGTGCAGTTGACCGCTGAGCTCTGCCAGCTTCCTGGGTGTCGACCAGACCACTGCAGAGGAAGCAGAATCCCATGGCTCAACAGGGGTAGTTTGTTGACCATTATGGCATCGCTTTTGCCCCGACTGGTTGGTTTGGGTGTGGTGGGCTTAGCAGAAGGCTCAGGTAATACCATAAGGTTCATCAGGGCTTAACCATCGCTACAGGGTGTAGACCAGTCCACTTCCAACCACTTCTGATGTTCGAGACTGATAGACCAGCAAGTCAGAGCCTTCTGGTAACAGTCAGGAAGTTCCTTTTACCTATAATGGTAGAGTCGTTCCATTGAGACAAGTAACCGAGCTCCTTCCGATAGGCTGACTTAACAGGGCTGAAGACAGACTGGTCAAGTGGCTGGAGGACATGGGAGGTGGTGGTAAGAACAGTAAATGGATATTGTTAATATAGCAATTCCACATGAAGTCTGTCGTCGTATGACTCCCATGCCCATCCACAATCAACAGTCGAGCCTCGCCCTCAGCCTCAGGCATAGTCTGTGGGATAAACACCTTCTCTAACCATTCAATGGCAGTTAAGTCTGTAGTCCAGCCATTATCTGTTGCTGTAAACTCCCACCCATCGTATGGAACCAGATGTAATGGAAACCACTGTTGTTGGACCGTCTTCCCTTGAAAATGATAAGAGGACAGAAGTGCCCTACCCAAGGCTGAGATACACTCAATGATAGAGACCCATGCCCTCGACCCAGGTTGTTTCTTGCAGACAGACGTCGTCTCAGCCATGCCCAGCACTAACCCAGGCTCCCTGACCCTCGAGGATGCCAGTCTCATCCATATTATATCTGTTGGCTGGTTTGATGTCCTTGATCTCAGGGATAGCAGGGCTTAAACCAGTTCCTAATGACCTCAGTAGATGCCCCATTAACGCGTCTAGAATCGATGGAACGACTTCTCTGAACCTTAATGATAGGGTTCCTTCTCACGAAGGCATAGATCCAGCCTTTCCTAATGGTTTGGTATCCCCAGCAGCAGCCAGAACTCGCTCTGCGAATTCCTTCACCTGTTGGTGCGTTGGTGCGAGGCCCAGCAAAGCCTGAATGCGAACCCATTGTGCCAGCTTACTCTCCTGGTCAGGAGACAGCCTCTGCCAGTCAGCAGCAGCCACTTTCCTAGTCTGACCACCTTGGAGACGTAGTTGGAGGGTTGATCGTGGTATCCCATACTCCAATATCCCATACTCCAATGAGGCTCTTTTGACTCTTGCCGTTTGAGATGTCCTCGAGAGCCTGACGAAGCTGATCTTCGGTATATTGAGGCATTAGATATAGAAGAAGGTATGTGCAAAAAATGAGCCCATTTGGACTCGAATTGAAAATGTTGTGATAAAAGGAGGTTGGGGGTGGGCATTGCGTTGTGGTGGATTTTCGCGTTTTTGTGGGTGCCAGAAACAGGGGGGTGCCGGGAAGTGGGGGGTTTGACTTATCCGTTCCCTACGAACTTGGACAACAACCCGCCAAGGAATGAGGGTATGGCGCCAGAATCAGAGCAGGACAATGTCACACAGAGTTTGGTCGAAAAGCGAAGCATAACCGAAGCGGTAGAAGCCCTGAAGGCATTTGTCAAGAGATCGTCAGCATGAGCATATACGCATACGTCGCCTGTAGGACAAACATCTGCTCAAGGTATTTATTGCAAGTTCCATTATTGACATGCCCATTGCCAAGACCAAGTGAACCAAGTGTGCATCGATGGGTTCGAGGCTAGACGTAAGGTCACTGCTGGCTTTTACCTCCTAGGAATAATCGCATCGGTGGTGATAGACTCTTGAGTATTGCCTATTTGCTCAATTCCAGCGCCTGTCGCATCTATGTTGATCGACAACCCCCACATCTACGTTGGATCGGGATTGCTTATGCACGTCAGCGAAAGCGCATACGGCCTGTTCGAAGGACACGCGCATAGGGATACATGAGGTAACGAAGATCGATTGGCGCCGGTTGATGCCGGTGCTATGGTTCGTCAGCCTTGGAACTTGCGTCCAAAATAGACACGACTGTTAATCGTCCTCCCCACGTCTGCCTGGACCGTTGCCGCTTTGCCGATGACAGAATGCCATAACAATCGTTGTTCCTGGTATTTGACTCTCTGATTTAGCTCTATTCTAAATAGCTTTGAGGTGTGACGTTGCTTTCTGTTACTTCTTGGTCTGCTGCGACTTTCGTGTTCCGGCTTTGTCCACGTAGGCTCCATGTCCTGTCCACGCGCCATGCGTGTCTTTCGTTAAACGGGATTTTGTGGGATTCAAAATACCATCATCAATTGGGCCACCCCGAACACGGATCAACCAGTCGGAACCGGGCCCTGAACAGCCATCGGTCCCATTCCTCAGCTGCCATCGGGCAACTAGCGTCGACGGACACGGGGAAGAGCAACGTTGAGAGTGACATCACATGTGAGACCTCCATTCCTTCTACTGCCGATACGAGGTTTTGCGCACGGGGAAAGTTTGGGGGGCCACATAGGCACACACTGACCGCTTAGATGCCTTTTACGGGATCTGCACCGCTGAGTGGTGATCTTCCATGCCTACGCCTCTCGTGGCGTGTCAATGTCACGATGTTTGACAGCTTTCCAACGTTCCCAGGGAGAAGCTTTCTTGTATTTATTGAGACACGAGTCCCCACCTCTTTGCAGGGTCTGAATCAGTCCCTCACCGCGCAAACAATTCACCATAGCGTAGCTAGAAATACCATCGTCTTCCCGCAAGCATCTCCAAATCCTGTCACACATTCCACAAGTTTGGCTGTCCCATCAAAAGGACAAACCTTCCCATAACGACTTTGAGCCAGATCTCTCACCACAAAGAAAGAAACAGATTACCATCTTCTGACCCGCATCTCATCAAACTTTCAAGCACCCCAAGATGTATGTCAGCAACTTCATCACCGCCTTCTCCGCTCTCATCGCCAGTGCCTCGGCCGCAACCCTTCCCCTCCGATGGGCCGGCGTCTCAAATAACGCAGCGACCGCTGAGCGTCGACAAGCCGACGGCAGCGCCACTTATCCCACGACACCAGGAAACATCACCTGGGCCGCACAAAACTACATTTGGGGCTGCTCACCAGGTGGCTGCAGTGCTCGCTTCAATGTCAGCGCTCCAGCGGGCTACAGCTCCGGCGCGCCCGGCTTCAACGTGGTCTGCAGCCCCATCTACATCCAGCAGGGCTGGGTCCCCTGCCTGAATCCAGACAACAGCCCCTTCGGCGAGGATTCGCAAGTCTTTACGATTTGGACGGCCGGCGCGGACCGTGAGCGCATGTACCTTGGCGTCGAGCACATTTACAAGCGTCAGCAAGATGGGCTCACTTGGAATGCCACTGCCGGAACCGACATCCTTCCTGTGCAGAACATGAGCATCACGTTCCCTGTCAACACTGTCGTAGTTCTTGAGTCTTGAGTAGTTGCGAATTCGCAACAGCGGTCGGTACGGTCTTCAACTTGCACAAGGCATGCATTCAGCAAGGTGTTCGGGTTATGGACATTTCATTCATGTAATTATTTGATGTACATCTTAATGCTTAATTCTTCGTTTGAGCACCGGGTCTCTGCCTATCTCGCAGAAAAGGGGTCCTAGAATCGTCCTGCCGGTTTAAGCCTCCCTCGCCCAATGTATCGTCTACCACGGCTTCTCGTTAATCGGAGCTAGAGGAGTCTGGCACTTTGCCGCCAGAGCGGCTTTGGCCTCGTCACTGTCGATGCTCACACAGGGAGTGTCGATACCTCCATCTACGCCATCGCAGATGATAACAGGTTCCCCACCACAGGGCGACGTGACGTTGAAGTTCTTGAACTTGATGTTGTGGCATACGGCGTCGGGGTTCGTGGAGCACGTCAGCTTCGCGACTGCGTTGCCGTAGATGCCGCTGGTGTAGCCGGTGAAATTGTCAAAGAGAACGTTGGAGACATTCATACCGGACGGGTATTGCTCGCAGGTAGTCTCGTTGATCTGCCGGAAGTCAGTCAGCTGGACCAAAGGTCTTTCCCATACCACGATCGTTGGAAACCTACGTTGAAGTAGCATGAGTCGAGAATGACTCCGTAGTCCATCCGAGCAACCCAGAAGTTCCTTCAATCATTGTCAGAGATGCGTGGTCAAGAATGTCGAGACGGAGAAATACTCACTTGTAGGTGATGTTATCGACGAAACCGTATCCCACGTTAGGGCCGGCCCAGGTCTTGATGCGGGCACCAGAGTACTAATGCCTTGTTAAAAGAAGGTGTAACCAGAATCGTTGGATCAGACTCACATCTCCGTTCAACATCCAAACGTTCTCAATGTGAACGTCTTTGACGTATGACATTTCCCCTGCGTATTGTCCCAAGGAACCAATTGACTGAGTCAAGTTAGCAAAATTCAAGCATGAGGAAGGCCGTGCAAGTATATACCTGGCCGTGGGTACCTATAATGATGTTAACCTGCTGTTAATATACAACCAGGGGTCATGCCGCATACCGTTGCAGTACATGGTGTTCACGTAAAGATTGGTGTTGTTGGACTTCGGGGAAAAGCAGTCGTCGTCAATGTTAACCCAGACACGCTCAATCTTTACATCCTGAACATCCAAAGAGTCGAAGAAGTCAGTGTTCTTGGGGACGATGCTGCCGTTGTTGGTGATAGCAGTGGCAATGACATCTTTGTACTCAATGTTTCTCGCTGGCACATAGGTGATTAGCCCGAATCTCACGGCCTGGAGAAAGCAGACAGCGGCTGCCGTGAGTCTGGCTTACATCCGACGACGAAGTTGGTCCAGCAGGGAGAGTCCTTCATGTGGATACCCTCAACTTCCAGATTCGTGGTGTTCTCCACATAGAAAAGGATGGGCCGGAGGTATTTGTTGTCGGGGTTCTGGGCTGTTAATTGCTTATCGTTCATGAAACCGGACCATGGTGGGTCATACCAGAATCCTGAAGGTGATCAGCATGGTATCCTCGAGATAGTCTAAACAGTGAATACTCACGATCCAATGCCAGAGTTGAACTCGTTCCACCAGCGTTGGCTATGCGGAGTGTTAGACATGAGCGAAAGCTTCGACTGTTGGTCTACGAACCCTTGTCCGTTGATGACTCCATCACCGTAGATCTTGATGTCCTTGCCACCCCATTTCCCTACACGAGACTATGAGCAGGGCTTCCAAGTATGCGCATTACCGGGCTTTCTTACAGAACATGATCGATTTCTGTCATGTCGCATCAGCGGGGGTTCATGACTGCATGAGTTCAGATCTGGGACTCACTTGGAAGGGATGCGTGAACGCGTTTGTCTGAAGTTAAGTGTCAGCAACGCCGCGTCTCTTCCGTTTCTGCGGGTGGCTATTTTCGTATTGACGTACTTGCCAGTATTTCACATCATCGGTAAACTAGACCACTGTGTCAGTTCATCCTCGACAACCTTTACGATGCTAGATCTCACCTTGATCTCGCCCTCCAGCCGAACATGAATGTCATTGAGGAAAGTCAGGTCGAGGGCTTTTGCGATCACAAACGTCTGGTTTTTGGGTAGATACAAGGTCCCACCATTATTGGCCTCCTGAAGACCCTTCTTGAGCTCCTCAGACACATCGTCCGTGGCGTTCCGGGAAGCACGGATCGTGAAGGTCTTGCGTCCACATCCTTGGGATGAGGGCGTGTAGGGATGCTTGTCACGGAACTCTTCCAGAGATCTGGGTATACCCGCCGGCAGTTCGACTCCGTAGGAAGAGACCACGCGGGCTACGGCTCCGAGAAGGGCCAGTGATCGCGAGAAACGCATGATGGAGAGGAAGGAGAACAGCCAGAGGATGGATGCGGTGCAACGATACTAGCCCGATCTCGCCTTCATGTGAGGTGCTCCGAAGACAGCAACTGGAGAGCAGGCTGCCCCATCTTTAAGGCTTTCGAGTGATCAGCAAACTCGCTCCGAGGAGGATGTAGTCCAAGTGGGGACGACGAAGGTATTCCCACTTCTCTGCTCTTCTCTTAAAGTTCGGGCGAGCATCAAACCGGATGGAGTGACGGAGCACTGCCCCTGGACACGGAAAAGTCAAATAGACTCATTGGACACTTCAGGGCTAGAATGACCAGGCACGGCAACTTGAACCGTAGTCGAACTCGGAAGTAAGATTATCTAGGGAACGAGGGACCCCGCGCGCGCATCGGAAAAGAGTCCAACAAAAAACCCCGGGCTTCGAACGCACTTCACAAACCATTAACTGCGGTCTGGCGTTCAAGATGGTGGAAGATCGCGTGGGGAAGCGTTGGGGTTGAGTCTTGGGAACTTAGGGGATGTGCGGGGGAGACCCTAGGATAGGTTGTAGTGCAGGGCTCGGCACAGGCCTATTGGTGGGAATTCCTTGGCCTAGCCCAGCGACCTCGGAAAAAGGCACCGCGCTGTTGGTAGCTAAGTAGTGTGATCTTGTGCGACCATCCGCGGTGGGCTTCGAACCGGCCGGAGATCCGTCTCGTTGGTACCGAGGTGAACAGCGGGGATGCTACGGAGGCAAGAATCACGCTGAGGCTTGCTCGGACCTGGTTCACATGCATTCAGGAGATGAACTGCAGTGGTATCCTTCATATTACTGAAGGTCAAAATTTTGAAACAATACACAGGTGTATGATGTTATTGAGATAGTTTAGATCTACTTGCGGCGTAACGTGTTAAAGAACGTGAGAGAAGATGATTCTTGACATTACAGTCGGAGCAGAGCTTGCGCTCTGATTTACTGAGCAGTAGTGTCTGTGCTTCCTCCATCTTACAGAGCGCCCCGAACGTTGCTGGGTGAACCATTTTAAGTAGATAAGAGAACTCCCATCAGAACCGCTATTTTGAGAACTTCCAGCATTTTCGAAGATTCCTTTCCCTACAATTGCTCATATGCCTCATAGACGCCTCTTGCCGGCCTGGAGCAGAGTCTACTTCCAGTAGGACGGCCCCAGGAGCGCTGCAAATGTGATCACCATCTCGGATAGTTATTCGTCGCCCGTTTCCCAAGATTCTTCCAGCTCGCCAATATTGCTACGCGAGAGAAGGCGAGAGATAGATCTGAGCATGCTTACAAAACCCAATAACCCGGCTAACAATACCTGGTTACTCTCGCAAGCTTCGACCTTGCCAGCTACGTAGCATCTTAAGAAGGCACGAGGAAAGTTTGAGATGTGATTAAAGGCTGAGATCACCGGTGGCAGGAAGACAGGAAATGAGCGTGACCGTTACCTCATCAATGTGGCTTGAATTTGCGCACTGAACGCACTTGGCTCTTGGAGGCTTTGATGGCGCTTGATGTATCTGCGTTAGACAAGAATAGAACTGCAGATGATGCGGCTTACCTTGATTCAATGGCTAGTATGGCCTCAGATCGACTAGGCCTCTTAAGTAGCTAGTACCGCGTTCTCTACGCTACCGAACTCATCTTGACTATAAGCCCCCGGCTCTTATTTATTCGGAGGGGTTATCACTTTAGATAAGCAACACGATACTCAACGGCACATGTCGACTGTGTAAAATCGGTAGCTAGTGCAGCTTATCTTGGGAAGAAACATCTGTCTGGCCCTGATTATATCAGTTTCAAGCTAAGTCACTAAGTGAACTAGCCAAAAAAGGTAGTTTGCTGACAAACGTCTCCCGTTCACACTCTTGAATGGAAATAAGCGTTAGATGGAGCTTGTCTAGTTTCGTTACGCCTTACTTCCACGTATCACGAAGCGAGTTTCCAGATGGAAGACATATGGTAGAAAGTTGTCACGAGATATAGGTGTGGTTAATGCTGCCCACATTGAGTGGGCCCGCTTTTTGTGACAAAAGTAGCTTGATTCTTCTGAGTGGTAGACCCATAATGGGTCATTTGTAAAATTACTCTACGAGACAAGCGGTCGTTCCGTGGTAAGCGGTCTCGTGCGGCAATATACTAGGCACATGCAGCGCTATATGTGCCGTTGCGACAGCACGTCTAATCACTCTAGCGATCCTTGAACGTTGCCTGCAGAGTGATGGAGAGTGATCAGACGTCTATAGCCGGCGGAAGCTCTGCGCCTCTTCATCATCCACGGTGGTAAGGTCTCGAAACAGGACAATTTCATTAAACCTTTTTGCAAGGACCTCTACCCTCGCCGCCTCGGGGTTCGACATGGCCAAGTCAAGATCAACCATGAATGTGGCGCGAACATCGTCATCGTCGTTCTTCAAGAGTTCTCCCCCTGCTTCCATCATTTGTACTTCGAGAGTATTGGCTTCACTGACTGTCATGCATCCCCCACGGAGCGCCATAGTCAACAGTGCCCGAGATATCAGCTCCGCAACACGGTATGACCTTCGGAGACCTTCATAAGCATATATACATGCCAAGAAATAGAAACGCCATTCAGGGTCGTGTGTGTCGTGGAGCACGGCATTTGCGACATAAATGAGGGCTGTCTGCCATAGCATGGTGTAGGTGGAGGATTCATGATAGCAGCGATAGTTTATGACTAATTGCTTGAGTTGCCGTACGGACGTGCCAAAGGCATCATCCGGGGACAGATGTCGCTCGGAAAAGGATAAGACACGGGCACGATCTCGCTGGGATCCGTGTACAAAGGGCCGGAATATGTCGAGAA